GATAGGATATCGATTACATTATCTGAACACGACACACAGGACCATTGTATCTCGTCCAAATATTGCACGCGATGAATACATACAATTTCGGATATACTTCACATTCTTCTGCGGAAATGTATTCTACCTCTTCCACAAATCTGCCCTCCCTCATGCCAGACTATATGAACCAGCCAGCACCCAATGTTACAGGCCATACTTATCTCGCCATGTAAGGGGCCCCTTGAGCGGGATATCTAGAATTTACGAGAAGTGACTAACAATTTTATCCTCGTAGCTCCTCTCTATATGAACCACTACATCCATATCAAAGGTCAGTTGAAATGATGGCCTTGGTTCTTTAAACAGCTATCCCTCGCCGATTCAGTCTTCCTAAAATTTAATTACTAGTCCTCAACAATATCCGTTTCCCCCTACATCCGATACAGGGGTCGCCGTGACGCCAGCTCTAGCTGATGGCTTTTCTACTCGGTATAGCGTTTCACCTGCTCCAGAGGACCAAGTGCGAATTGTAAATTCGCGACCGAAACCACAGTGCTGGGATCATGGATGTAACGGCCGCGAATTCTCGACGTTTAGCAATCTACTACGCCACCAACGTGAAAAAGCAGGCACTGCTACGAAATCGGAGTGTCCTCATTGTGGAACTGTTTTCACTCGGACAACCGCACGAAATGGACATCTTGCACAGGGCAAATGCAAAGCGAAGCGCGAAGAGCAATAGCACCAGCAGCAGGAACAAGGCTGCTGTGAGCTGTTGACAAACCCTGATTATCTACCAAAATACTTATTTCCCTTTTTGTTCGTAGCGGGCGTTTTATCTTCTGGGGGCGCCTTTTGATAGGTGTATACATAGGGAGACTGGAGCCCGGATTGCTCTCTTCAGTCTCCTTTTTCTCAACTCTACCCACCTTGTTATACACGAAATGATATATATGACATTTTCAGCGCCATTTCAGCATCCCCGCTTTTTGCATCAGCACATCACGACTTAAGAAGCTAATGACAAAATATCACGAGTCTCTTCTTTTTGGATCATTAATCGAGACAAAATGCGGACGGAAGGGCAAATATATAATTTGATATTTCGCTTCCGTCAATTTTTAATTTTTAATTTATATCAAGCAAGAGAAAGCGGACGGTGGAACGGAGAAGAATGCAATGCGATATTTAAGTACAAAGAGCGTAGTTGCAGTGTCTTGCCCCCAAGCCAGGGGCCTCGCTGACTCTAACCAAGGTATCAGATACATTTGATTGGGTAACCAACGCCCGTTTACACCCAACGCCCGCCATTCCACCACTATTATGATGAAATTATTTCAACAATATCTCAACAATGCAATTAGATTTCAAGCTTATATATTATATGATGAAAATATATATAGAAAATTACATATAAAAATATATACCTAATTCTGTAGATGTTTGTTTGGCTTAATAACTCATCTGAAATGTGAAATCTTGAGTGGAGGCAGATTTGATGAGTAAGCAGTCATTAAATCAGTAAAGATTGCAATATCATTAAATCCCTCTGACAATGAATTCATGAGCACTCTGACAGAACTCTGAAAATATGATTTAATCACTCTTTATAAAATTGAGAATCTACTTTTTTAATTAAAAAGATGATTTTTAAATTCTTTAATTTATTTCTTATTTAATTATGATTGCAAATATATAGTAGCTTGTTCTTTCTCTTTTTTTTATTTTTAAATTTTTTTTACATCTTTAAACTTCTTTTCAATCTGTTGTGGAGCAGTTTTTACAGTTTTATTCATCCTTTTTTACAGTTTTATTGTTTGATAAATGATTTTTTATTTCATTTTTTATTTTATAACATCTGTTTTTTTTTATTTTTTAAAAATAATATGTTGCAATTTAACATTCTTCTTATGAATCTGTTCATTTTTTTTAACAATTTCAGAAACTGTTATATTTTCATAGATACTCTGCATTTTCACTGATGAAAAGAATTGTATCAATGATGAATTTGAAAAATCTAACAATTTCATTGCTCTGTTATATTTGTGATATTTTTTTTTTTAATTAAAAGTCTGTTATAGCTGTCTGTTCTTTATTAAAAGAATCTCTTTATTAAAAACAAGATTTTCTTCTGTATAAATTATCTAATTAAAATCATTAAATATTTGATGTTGCTGCTATTTGATTTGCTTCATCAATTTTTGTATGTTAATAATAAAAGTAGAGATTTTTGATTGATATTATATGTTTGAGGAAATGCAAGATTGTATTACAAGCTTTTTAAAAATCCATTTCAGATCAAATGAGTGTAGATCAGTGACAGTGAATGTGAATGCAATATTTGAAAATGTAACTGTCTTTTTTCATACATAATGAAATAGTTGTTAAAAAAATCTCTTTATAATGTATATGAATTTCATTTCAGTTCTCATTCATTCATTCAATTGATTAGAATATGATTTATTCAACGATTTAAATATTTCAATATTTAATAACTGTAATTGATGTGTAAAGTGAAAAGAAAAAACAGTGAGTAAATGTAATGTGACGGCGCCGAGGCGATTGCTACTCGGCAGCGGCACAGAGGAGGATGGTATATAATGGGAAGCCTTATGGGTGGGCTTGATTATCTCGCTTGAACCGCGAACTCGTAGAATACTATACAAATACTGAACTACCAGAGGTACTCGGCACACTAAGAATATTGTATGAGGACAGTGGTAACTCTGGTATCTTATTGTCAAAAGATAAAAGACGAATCGCTGGCTCCTGGAATAGAGAGCCAGCATCTAGCTATTCTATATAGACAACGGGCAGCCATCCTCCCCTCACTCTATAAGCGAGGGTAGCCGAAGCAACTCCGCAGTGGCGCTGCATTGATCTGCCAGAAGGAATCCAGACCCCGTATAGAAACAGGATTCTCATATCTCATCAATCGGATCCTCTTCTATTGCATCCGAATGATGTCATAGGGGTGGTTGGAAACCGGTTCGGACACCTGCGTGATGTCATGGGATAGATGGGATTTATCCGAGGGGAAACGATGGGCCCGTGTGGAAGCCGTCACGGGGCCTTGGCACAACCAAGGGTGTGACAATGCCCTCCCCTTTAAAGGCATAGTCCCGATGCCTCAAGATTACCGGATTGGGAATTATCTTTGTTGTGTAGCAACGGTTGCCAACCGCTTTGGCAGCGCGCGCGCTGCGCGGCATAAAGGAATGGGTGAGTCTTATTCAACGTGATTTTTCTGCTGAATGCGCAGTCCTTCTTTTTTTTCCCATCACTGTCATATCCAAACGTTCAGTAAGTGGATTATCGATTTGAAATGTGGAAACATGGCTAACAAGGGGCTTGCAAATTTTCGTTTTTGTTCCTTTCCTGTGTATGGAATTTCTTGCAAAAGTAGTGCAGGGGAACTTCGTCCTTGGAAGACAGTAAGGGGGCTTATTTTGATATTTTTTAGGGGGTAAAAAACGTTTACGGGGGGCAGCTGCGGCCTCTGTCGCGCCCAAAAGGCCCAGGTTGGAGGCGGAGGCGGAGACCCCTACCAGCTGGGGGGGTTCTGCTCCTCCCCCCCTGCCGCTGTCACCCCAACGCCCCCCCCGCCAATCAACAGGGCGATGTATGACCCCCGCATGGTCGTTCGGAGAGAACCTCAGGGAGAGCTTGGTCCGGGGACAGCGGCTCAAATGAGTCCAGTCCGTAGTTCCCCTCTTGCAGAGCGCCCGAGCCCTGCTCAGGGTGCCTGTGGGTCGGGTCCGCAGGGTTCCTTTGTTTTCTCCTTGTGGGGAAACCCCGGTGCGGCGCCTGGCTGGCACCGCTACCTGCTTTCGCTGCGCCAAGCAGCTTCGAGAAGGGGGGATCCTTTGCACCCGCCCCTCCGCCCATTCACGCTGTTTCCGTTGCGTGAAAAACAACGACACCTGCCTTCCTGTACGTACTGCTCCTTCTGTAACGGCGCCGTGCCGGTTCTGACAAGGCGTATAGGTGCCAAAGCAGTACAGGGCCAAAGTTGTGGATCTCCAGGCGTTGGCGGATTCCGTCCGTTCTGGGGAGGTTCCCAAGGCCCGTCTGGAGAAGGAGGCGAAAGCGTGGGTCTCCGAGGTGGAAAAACACTTCAGAATGGCCGGCCCTAAGAAGAAGGGGTCGGCCGGCGCCGCCGTTGGAAGCGCCACGGAGACAAATCGTTTGTTGGAGAGGATCTCGCTCCAATTGGAGCAGGTGACTGAGGTGCTTTGCAAATTGGTAAGTTGACACTTTGTTGTACTTTCCTACACCCCCCTGCGGCGCCGCAGCGCTAACTCCACGGCAGGCAAAGGTGCCGGTGCCAGGGACTCCGTCGGTGGAGGAGGAGTTCGGTGGGGGTGAGGTGGTGGAAGAATGAGGCCTTCAGGTGTTTTCTTCGATCTTCGTGGGCTTCGGCCCTTATAGAATAATAGCGACCCTCAGGCCAAATAAAATTGCATTAATTGTTGGTTCTTCATATCCCTTTTTTCCTTTCTACCGCTCTGAGATCTTTGAGCTGCGTAACCTCATTAAACTCCTAAAAACCCCTAGGGAAAAATAGGAGAAGAGTGTTACAGCGTCTTCGAGGCACCGGCTCACCACCGCGAGATCATCTCTAAAAAACCCTTTGGGAAAAAGAAGAAGTCTCAAGCAGCAGCTCTTGCCTAACCACACCTCTGACGTGCAGCGGGGCGGTCTCTACTAGCCACCTCATATTTTGCGATCTCTTCCTCGGCATTCTCTAAATGCTCAAGCGGTTCCCATGAGTTCTCGGATGATGGATAACCTTCCCATTTGACAAGGTATTGAACTTTGTTGTAGTGCATTCGTTTGTCTAATATTCCTTCTACAAGATATTCGGTATTACCCTCAATCTCGACGCCATCCGGCCGAGGCGGCTCCGCCCCGGGTCGTTGCTTATAGGGTTCCAAATAGGAAATGTGGAAGACAGGATGGATAGATTTGAATCCTGAGGTTAGTTTCAACTCATATGCCTGCTTACCCACTACCCTTATTATCTGGAAAGGTCCCAACCATCGCTCACTGAGCTTCTTGCACGGTCTCGTCGTCTTGATGTTCTTTGCTGAAAGTAACACTTGATCCCCTATTGAGAACTTCATTGGAAGGTGTTTTCGATTATAGTATTCCGCCTGTCGCTCCTGGGCGCGGCGGATGCTTTTCGCCGCCTCCCCGTGGATTCTATCCAGAAGCTCCAATCTAGCTTTTACTTCTGGCACCGAGGGGTACTCTGTCCCACGATCCCGTTCGACATTCCGACTGTCTATCCCCCCCTTTAGGACGTCGTCCGCGACGTCACTAGGTAATGAAGGATTATATCCATAACAAGCATAAAAGGGAGACACTTTTAAGGTTGCATTCTTTGCATTGTTATATGCGAATTCGGCGGTCGGAAGGTGTCTAGGCCAGTCATTCTGATGATATGAACAGAACGCCCGAAGATGGTGTTCTAATGTTTGATTCTGACGTTCAGTCTGGCCATCTGTCTGAGGATGGAACGCGGTGCTGAGGAGGCGCCTTATCGTAAGGTGATAGCAAAAGGCCGACCAGTATTTACTGGTGAAAAGGGATCCTCGGTCTGACACTAACGATTTCGGAGAACCGTGATCACGAATGATGGCATCTAGAAACAGGTCAGCCAATTCAGGGGCTTTAACCTTCTTGTGGGTAGGGATATATTTGGCCATCTTCGTAAAGCGGTCGACAATAACTAGAATTGAGTCATATCCTTTGACTCTTGTCGACTTCGGCAGGTCAACTATGAAATCCATCGATAGATCCTGCCATGGGCCCTTTGGAACAGGCAGTGGCGCCAACTCGCCATATTGCTTGTGCCGCGGAACCTTTATCCTCTGGCAGACATCACAAGTTTCAACATACTCCTTGACATCTGTCCGAAGCTTGTCCCAAACGTACTTACGTCTCAGGAGCTCTTCAGTCTTCTCTAATCCGAAGTGCCCAGCATGGGGATCATCGTGATGAATCCTCAATAACTCCTGGCGCACCGCCCTGCTACGAGGGACAAAGACTGAACCATTTAGCAGTAGGAGTCCACATTCCCCTAGTTGCCAGCGACTTGGTTCCTCGGCGGCACCGCCCCGCTCAGGGCTTGCCCCTTCCAAGTTCGACCCGGATCCTTCCTCCTTCAACTTCTGGATTCGAGCCGCAGTAAGGGCGTCCCCCTGCTGCAACTCACCAATGAATTCTAGAAGCCGTTGGGTTGGAAGGTTGTAGACCGTTTCGTCTTCCGCCAATTCAATGGCAGCAAAACGTGGCACGAGAAGTTCATGACCTTCAGTGCCAGTCCCCTGCGGGGACCCGAGTTCTCCTCCACCTGTATAGGGTCGCGCAGCTGCCTTACCGGCGCCGTTCCCAAGCTTTAGAGAACCCCAACCCCCTGCAGCCAGTTTCTTCTGCAGTGATGGTAGAGGTCCCTTTGTAGGATCCTCATCCCCATCAACGATATCATAATCGGGTCGCCTTGATGGCGCATCGGCGGGGTTAAGCCGACCTGGACGGTATCGGATAAAGAAATCATATTCCGAAAGCAGCTCCGCCCACCTGGCTTGACGTCCTGTCAAGCTCTTTGTTGTCAAGAAGTAACGCAAATTTGCATGGTCGGTGAGAACTTGCACCGGATACTTGCAACCTTGAAGGTAGTGTCGCCAAATCTTAAAGGATTCAACTATTGCCAACATCTCTTGATCATGAGTATCATACCTTCTTTGCGTGAGCGATAGCTTCTTGGAGAAGAAGGCCACTGGTCTCCATTCACGGCGCCTTGTAGTTCTGTGAAAAAGCCTTCTCCTACAGGCATTCCATTGCCTGTATCTCCAGAGGTTATTAACCCCCGATCCTTCCAACGTTGGAAAGTCTCCGGTGTCAACTGCGAAAAGATTCCGCAGACACCATTCCCAGATGCATCAGTTTCACACTGACTGGGTAGGCCGGGGTCGAAGTGATTTAACATCGTGGCATCTGCAAAAGCTTGCTTCAATTCTTCAAACGCCCTCACAGCGTCTTGGGTAAGGATAAACGGTCCCGTTTTCCTGCCTTTAACACTTCCCTTTAACAAATCTGTAAGGGGGGCAGCAATCCGCGAATACGCATAGATGAACCGTCTATAGAAATTCGCAAATCCTAGGAATACCTGCACCTCGCGGTACGTGCGCGGCGCCGGCCAGTCCTCGATGGCGGAGACCCGGCTCCTGTCCATTGAAATGCCATCAACCCCAACAATATAACCTAAGAAATCAATCTCCTGTGTGTAGAACGAGCATTTCTCAGTGTTTGCATAGAGCTGGTGTCGCCTCAAGCGATCCAACACCTCCCGAACGTGGGAATCATGTTCTTTTTCCGTTTTCGAGAAGATTAGGATGTCGTCCAAGTATACTATGCAGGAGACATCGACAAGGCCCCGCAGTGCCTCATTTATGTAGGCCTGGAAGGTGGCCGGAGCGTTGCAAAGACCAAAAGGCAAAACGAGATATTCAAAATTGCCGTACTTGGTACGAAAAGCTGTCTTCCAAATGTCGTCTTCGTTAACTCTTATTCTATGATAGGCGTCCCGTATGTCAATCTTCGAGAACACCCTTGCTCCGGATAATCGATCGATCATCTCATCAATTAATGGTAGTGGATAGCGATCCTTAACCGTCACCTTATTGAGGCCCCTGTAGTCTACGCAGAGGCGTAGCCTACCGTCCTTCTTGGGCACGAATAGTATAGGTGCCCCCGCTGGACTCTTCGATGGGCGTATCCAGTTCTTTGACTGCGCTTCTTCAAGATATTTGCGCAGAACGTCCAATTCCTTTACTGACAAATTGTAAAGGGGTCCGTACGGCGCTGTCGCGCCCTCTTCAAGATGGATCTTATGTCGCACTTTGGTATCAGGAAACTTCGCTGCTTCCTTTTCTGAAAAAACGTCCTTGTAATCTGTGAAGAGACGTTGCGTTCGTCCACCTTCAGTGGTAGACATCACTGCTAATCTGGCAGTGAGGGTGGCGGCTTCTCCGCCTGCCTCCAAGTCCAAGTCACCTGCTACACAGTATATCGACTCAATCTTATCCTCGAGATTCTTCCGATGGAACTCTTCGGGTTCCTCTATAGCTGCCTCTTCGTCGGTGAGGCGGTACCGCCACGCCTGAGTGACCCAGTCGATGAGAGGATTGTTTTCTCTCAACCACGGGAGACCTAGGATGACGTCCTCATCTATGATGTTGACAGCGTGGAGGAGCAGACTGCTCCCCTTGGAGGTTCCTTCAGAGTCCGTGGCCTCACACTTTGTTTGAATGATGCCGAATCGGTGGCATTTTGTTCCATCTGTAAACTTTGCGTGGCCCGGCGGACCTATCTTTTTCCAACCCTTCATGAGTGAAAAGGAATAGGATATGAAGTTAGCGTCCGCCCCGGAGTCGACTAGGCACCTCACTGGCACCTCCCCTGATGGGGTATTCATCTTCAAGGTTACATGGACTCGGAGTCGTGAGGATTGTCAATCCTCCTTGGGTTTTTCCTTTTTATCTTCAGTGGATACATTTGCCAGAAGGGGAGTCGTCTTCGAGGAGGTATCTCCTCGGTTCCTTCCCTTCTTCGACTTACGGCAATCACTGGCAAAATGACCTGAGATTCCGCAGTTAAAACAAAGGTTGTTATCCAGTCTATTTTGGCGTTCCTTTGCAGTAAGTGAAGAACTGGAACGCTTTGAGTTCTTCGTTGCATCATCCGCACCGGAGCCGTCATGGCGGCGTTTTGATCCTGTTGTCGGTTGCTTTGAGGGAGTCTTGTTCCCCTTCTTCTCATGGTGTTGATTATTCAAATAGATTCGAGAAGCCAGGTTGACAAGCTCGGTGCGATTGGTGGGCGGACTTTGATATTGCGATATCGTTGTCCGCACCTTATGAGTCAGCTTCGCGAGGTAAAGCTGCGTTTTCAATAGATTCAAATCGTCAGACAGTTCCTCCCAATATTCTTCGAATCTTGCATTGTAATCGGAAGGATTCTCGTCGTCTCGTTGACGTAGTGAGTTGAACCGCTGCGCCGCCGTGAAGGCGCGGTTACGGTGGTCTTCAATCTGGTCCAGAAGGAAGTTCTTGAATTCTTCCCATGTCATGGCAGCATTGCTACGCTCAAGCTCCCTTTCCTTGGTCGCCCATGTAGTTGCAGGGGTGCCTTCGAGGAGGCTCGCGGCGTATATGACTCGTACCTCATGGGTATTAAACTGGCTCAGGTTAAGGCGGAATTTCCGTTCAAGGGCTCTCGTGAAGCTGTGGAATTCAGACAGCGTCTTGCCCTTGTAATTCGGCGGATCTCCAACCTTGATCCCTTTATCTCCATGGTAGACATAGGAGTGTAGGGGCCGCGGCGGTGGCAGGGCGGCTGGAGGGCCCATGCCAAGGTGAGCGGCGGGTTCAGGAATCTCAGATTCCTGCCGGGGTAGAGGTGTACGCGCTCTAGGGGACGACGTGGAGGCTCCCCCAGAGGGTGCAGTCCCAGCACGGGTGCGTGGGGCCATATCGATCAATAGAGCTCGACTGATTCAAACGTGTAACCAGGTCGAGCGATTCGAATTGTAATGTGACGGCGCCGAGGCGATTGCTACTCGGCAGCGGCACAGAGGAGGATGGTATATAATGGGAAGCCTTATGGGTGGGCTTGATTATCTCGCTTGAACCGCGAACTCGTAGAATACTATACAAATACTGAACTACCAGAGGTACTCGGCACACTAAGAATATTGTATGAGGACAGTGGTAACTCTGGTATCTTATTGTCAAAAGATAAAAGACGAATCGCTGGCTCCTGGAATAGAGAGCCAGCATCTAGCTATTCTATATAGACAACGGGCAGCCATCCTCCCCTCACTCTATAAGCGAGGGTAGCCGAAGCAACTCCGCAGTGGCGCTGCATTGATCTGCCAGAAGGAATCCAGACCCCGTATAGAAACAGGATTCTCATATCTCATCAATCGGATCCTCTTCTATTGCATCCGAATGATGTCATAGGGTGGTTGGAAACCGGTTCGGACACCTGCGTGATGTCATGGGATAGATGGGATTATCCGAGGGGAAACGATGGGCCGTGTGGAGCCGTCACGGGGCCTTGGCACAACCAAGGGTGTGACAGTAAAATCTGATTTCATTCTGCATAATTGATGAATGCTATATTAATATGAAATGAATGATCATTTAATATAAAAAGTCTGTATTCACACTCTGTCTTCTTTTTCATAAATAATTGAAAGATTTTTTTTAATCATGTTAATTTATATTCATCATTACTTCAACTATTTTCTGAAGCAGTAAAATAGATCTGATTCTTTTCATTATCAAAATTCTTCAATCAAATATCTTGTATATTTTTTAATTTTTTTTAATATATAAAAGCAGATGAGGGTGAAGTTTCATCTGCATAAATTGCAGTAAATAATATTATAAATTTTTGATTGTCATTCTGACTGACATTTAATGTATATTCAGATTTGAGTGCATTAATTGATATAATATATTTGAAAATGTGGATGAATTCTAATAAAAATTCTTTTTCATTGAAATTGTAAATATTTGTAAATTCAATATTGTATTATACAATTTTTGTCTCCAGCTGCAAAATCAAGATGTCATTAGCTAAATAATCATCAAATTTTATATTAAAAACAAAAAAGCAATAGAAGAAATAAATCTATTATAAAATTAAAATAATACTTGAAATATATTGAATTGTCTGCAGTCTTGTGTTTTTGATTGATATTTCACAGATAAATAGACTTGATTACATTTTTGTGATGTTGACAGAATCTTGACACTCAATTGATTTCAATAGATGCTTTTAAAATCTCAACAACAAGATTATAAAGAATTTGAGATGTACAAGAGAAACCATGATCTGCTAGTTAATTAATATGAAAAAGAAGTTGATTTTCTTGTGAATCTCTGAGAATTTTGAAGTGAATAGAGCTTGCTTTCTTTCTTGATATTTGAACACCTCTATAATGCCGCGACAATGTATATCAACTGATTCCATATTTTTTAGCAGTCTCAGTGTAATCAGAGGCCAATTGCACATTCAAATCATCAATCACAGCTTGTATAACTGCTTCATGGTGCATCTAGTGGGTGGTTAAAGATGAATGAAGAATGAAGATTTGGGCGAGTGTTGGGTGTAAACGGGCGTTGGGTGGTTGATTACGTTAATTGATTGTTAGTTGATTCATGGGCGTTGGGCACGTTAGGCGTGCTCTTACATCAGATTCTTGGACCTCAACACAACGGGCGCTTAAACTACCGTTCATGTATTTATATATGAGTTGCTGAACACATGTGAATCGCTGGGTAGTTCTGCCATAAGGGCTGGACATGGAAATTTAGCGGCTCCAATGGTTCCAACCATACGCAACGTCAGAGTGCTAGCAGACTTTATTTAGTTGTGACCATCTTGAACCTGGAAACAGCTTGATTGCGACTCGAAAGAGTTAGGTAACTAACTAGCTGCTTATCTCCGAGCTTACAGTATATGTATCATATTGCACCACAAATGACGATCACGTCTGTTTCCGATACAGTCTCTTATACATACGTTGTAAGGAATGTTTCTACGGATTAGATATCTAATTTTGATTTGGATGTCGTCAAAGGCATAGTCGGCTTACACTCCATTGATTCTCTTTTTTTTCCGTATTTGCTTTTTCTTCGTTTCCTTTTGCTCACTGTCTTCCACTCTTAGCAGTTGGAGACGTTGCTATGTGCTACTAAACACACAAACAAACTTGAGTCATAAAGAAACTCGGATTAATGTGGCAGATGGTAGAAGACTGATCTACAAAAGTGCAGGAAAACGTCGAGGGCTGAGGATCGAGCGGAGGCGTCTCGGCCGCACGTCGTAACAGAGAGCTATGCATTCCCCCAAGAGGGCTGAACGTCATTTTTACCATGCATTTGGCGGTTCTTGGCATAGAAAAACGTTGCGTGGACACACCATTTGAAGTTTTGAACACACACAATTCACAATTTGTATACAAATCTGATGATATCTGATTGCAACATATTGTCTATCTCCTTATTCTCCTGAATGAAGCTATACTGGTTTCTAATCTAGTAATATTTTTTACATCATTAGAATATTATAATAACCCCCAAATAGTCTATCATCTTCAAAGTAATCTAACGTAATATGAAAGTGTAAGATTCTTTATATATAGTAGACTGACAGAATTTTCGAATACGCTAAATTGTCGCCACAAGGAGGAGTAGGAGGGCCAACTCTGCGAGCATGATACTTATAAAATATCAACTTTATGCCAAATTCCTAATAACTGCCTCGTTATCTGAGGTTGAGGAAGAAGTTGTGAGTTTCCCAATTCCAATATACCCAGGAAGTAGCCTTGTGGGTGAGAGCTTGGTGGTCAGATCAGGTCTGTGCCTGGCGGGGACGCTTGATGGGGACGCTCGAGCCGGTCAAATCTGATAACACCGGGAGGGAACTTCGCTGAGGCCCACTCAACCAGCGTGGTCTGACATGTCATCATTTCTTTCTTAACAAATCCACCAAGAATGCGCCCATAAGTAGGAAACAGGTCTTTCAATCATATTGAGAGCCGGATGGCCTCAACAATTGGGATGGCGAGCGATATCACATAGATACTGGACTGTACATATAAAAACGGGTGAGAGAGCTCACTATGTGACATATGTTTGGATATACTGTTTCTTTGGACATTGTAAGAAGTTGAGCAGTTTTCACCAATACTCCTTATTTGTCGTCTCAATTTTTCGCCCGTTTGCGATCGCTGTTAGCAATCTCCGAGCTGGGGGCTCCGCGTAAATTTCAAATACATTACACGGATCGTCCACTTAAATAGAATTTGTTTGTTAGTTAACGTAATTCCCAAGCGAGCGAGCAGCCCAAGCGAGCGAGCAGCCAAATTCTTCCACCTACTAATTTACCTACTCATCCACTTCAACGCGCAATTATGCCACCAATTCGCTCTAAAGATGCTAGGAACTCTATAGAGATAGAGGGAAGACTTGAACTCGCGATAAATGCTATTAAAAAGCAGGAAATATCCTCTATTTCTGAAGCTGCACGCATCTTTAATGTGCCACGCTCTACACTTGGTCATAGACTCAGTGGTCGATCTTCACGGGTGAATTTACGCGCAAATTCACATAAATTAACTCCTGCTGAAGAGGATAAGCTTGTTCAATGGATCCTAGACCTAGCTTTACGAGGACTACCACCCCGGCCTGCATTTGTGGAGAATATGGCTAATCATCTTCTTGCCATACGGAAGCCTAGCCATACAAACCACCCTCCTCGCGTTGGCAAGAACTGGGTGTCAAATCTAGTGGGCACGCCGTCCAGAGCTCCAATGCCGCTTCTCAAGACGCTATAACCATGATCGGGCCAAGTGTGAAGACCGCAGGATTGTGGAGGATTGGTTTAAGACCCTAGAGAGGGTAATGACTGAGCATGGGATTGTGTTTGAAGATATTTACAACTTTGATGAAGCTGGGTTTGCAATGGGGCTCTGTGCAACTACCAAGGTCATTACTAGTGCTGAGCACTACGGACGAGCAACTCTTATACAGCCTGTGAATCGTGAGTGGGTGACTGCAATTGAGTCAGTCAACGCGTCAGGATGGGCCCCTCCGCCGTATATTATCCTCAAAGGTCACAATATTCAGGAAGGCTGGTTTGACGGGCTGCCGGAAGGCTGGAGATTGGACGTTAGTCCTAATGGCTGGACCACAGATGAGATAGGAATCAAATGGCTTACACGGCTGTTTATTCCAGCTGCAAATCCACGCAGGGTTGGAACCCATATTCTTCTTATTCTGGACGGGCACGGCAGTCATCTTACTCCGGAATTTGACCAAATCTGCAGTGAGAATAAGATTATTCCTCTCTGCATGCCACCACATTCTTCACACCTTTTGCAGCCACTAGATGTGGGTGTTTTTGCACCTTTAAAGCGCGCGTACGGAACCCTAGTTGAACAGCGAATGCGGCTAGGATTCAACACCATTAAGAAGACAGATTTCCTAGATGCCTATCCTGCAGCACGTCGGGAAGCCTTCAAGGCTTCAAACATTCAAAGTGGGTTCAGGGCCACTGGAATAGTTCCATTGGATCCTCAATGCGTTGTTCAGCAGCTGAATATTCAACTCCGAACCCCTACTCCCCCAGCCAGCAGGTCAAGCAATTCAACGTCATCCTGGATCCTACAAACACCTAGTAACCCCCGGCAATTGCAGAAGCAGGTGAATAAGGTCAGAAATCTTATGGATCAGGATCAACCTCATGGGTTAGTGGAAGGCTTTGACCAAATAATCAAGGCCTGCGAATACGGGATGGTCAGCGCCATGGTTATGAAGAAGCAGTATGAGGATATTTTCAATGCAAATGAGAAAGAGAAGCAAAAACGCAAGAGGTCTACACGCAGGATCCCAAGTGCAGGGGGTCTAACTAGGAATGAAGCTCAGAATCTTATTATTCCTGCAGCTAAGCCCGTTGAACAGCCTGTTATTCAACATTCCGTACCTGCGGCCCCGGAGCCTAGACCCCGCATACGAGCGCCACAACGCTGCAGCAATTGCAATACTGTTGGGCATACAAGAATAAGATGTCCTCAACTTCATGTAATTTAATTTAATTTAATTAGTGGTTGGTGGGAGTAGATAATTTGATTTAAATTCTGGTTAGTTGAGATATGCTAGTTTTGCTGCTCGCTCGCTTGGGCTGCTCGCTCGCTTGGGAATTACGTTAACTAATGTTGGGAGGGATGACTAACTTTTTGTTGGGGGGATTGGATTGGGTGATTCGTATCCTCTATACTCCGTATACCACCACGGCGCTGGTGGTGATTGAGCTCTTTTGCCCTAGTGGCCTAATACTTTTGACGTAATTCACGTGACTAACTGGCCAACAACATTGCAGTTTCGAGTCATCAAAAGGCACCAGCGATTGCCGATGAGGTGACTCAAATATCAACATTGAAAGTATGGCGTCTTTGTCGTGAAAATATACAGCTGGACTATCTGGCTGCTGCATTTCCTCAATTCCCAATTGCTATCTCCTTGCAGATTTCAAAACCATACTTTGCCCAGTTTCCGTGAAGGCCAAAACGCCGGAACTTCAAGATGATGCAGTTAATCTATTCAGCTTTACAGACCCATTATTCTCGTACAAATACTCGACATTTAGTCCCTTATACCCAGTCTACGGACAACTCTGGCTACGGACTCGAGAGTGAACTTGAATATCGACAGGCCCACACGTAACGTGGTGGAGGGCAGTTTGAGAACTTCTCCCTTGAACAATATTTTATATACTGCTATTCAGGGTTTCGGATGGCATCGGTTTTCACATATGATCCTGACCCTCCACGGGTGTCGTCCCCCTGGTCGACCCCTGGCTGCACGACACCACGACGGGTTCCTTCAGGGAATCGAGGAGCGCCATGCCAGGAAGAGCTTCTGCTTACGTTCGATCCAGACGACCCAAATTTCCTAGCAGATAATGGAATTACAAAATTAGATGCGGAGCCGCAGGATGGACCGACAGAATATAAACTTCACCTGCTCCTACGTTCACGGCGTTCCTTTCTGTCACTGTCTACAGGAAACCTAACATCAGGTTCCTCTCACTCCAAACCGAGTCTAGCTGGTCCTGAATCACCACCAGTTTCTTCGGAACCAGTAACTAGACCGGCACAGGCACTCTCTAGCCAATCGCGAGAACACAGGCTCCAGCAATTGACTACTCAGCTTCTCTGGCGTCTACAGCAGTCCTCCCCTTTCCATTCATCTTCTACTCTTGGATTGGTTCATCCGGTTCTACCAGAGGCTACCCCAACCCTTGGTGTACCCAGTAAGCCTGCTCGACTTCTCCCTGGCCTTGAGGAATCTCAGGGAGCTTTGTACGAGATTGGAGTCTCAGATGATGGCACATTTGTTGGCCTTGCGGAAGATGAATTAGAGGAGAGTCTCACGAATCTTAAAGCGATGGCTGCGAGTTTGGGTTGTACCGTTGAAGTCCTAAGGAAGGTAGCCGTTGGACATTGCGAGTGGAACGAGAATGCGGATGACGACAGTAAACCGGTTGTACTTCGTTCTGGAAAGCTCTGGGTCGCAGAGGCGCTTGTAAGCCCTGATTTCAAACAGAGTGATCAACTTTCTCCAGGAGATGAAAAACGTGGATCTTTGGATTCGAAAGTGCGTGTGGCGCCATCGGCTAGCGCTGAAGATGAGCCATTCTTTTCAACACCACAACTTCACATTGCCATGGCTGGACCATCGGCTGCTGGGAAGTCTTCTCTTTTGGGTTCTCTGTCTACTTCCGCTCTTGATAATGGTAGGGGGAAGAGTCGGCTTAGCCTTCTGAAACATCGGCATGAAATTGCTTCTGGAATCACGAGCTCAGTCGCACAAGAATTAATAGGCTATTCCCCCGCTAGTACTAAGGGGGCCGAACCCACTCCTGATGTGGTAAATTATGCGTCTGGCAATGTGACTGCTTGGACCGATATTCATGCATCTGCCCAGGGGGGGCGGCTTGTTTTTCTCTCTGATCTACCTGGGTCAACAAGGTACCTCAAGTCGACGTTACGGGGATTGGTCAGCTGGGAGCCTCATTACGTGATGCTCTGTATTCCAGCCAATAGCCCGTTAGATTCTTCCAGGCTTGATGTGCCATCCGAACTTGACCTTTCTCTCTCATATTTGGACTTGTGCATGAAGCTAGATCTCCCCGTCATCGTCGTTGTGACAAAGCTTGACATAGCAACTCGTTCCGGCATAAGACAAACACTTGTCCAAATCCTATCTACGATCAAGCTCATTGGGAGGAAGCCTGTTATGCTGGCGGCTCCAACAGAGGCCTCTGAACAGGAGGTGAATCTCCAACAGATTCCGCTCTCTGACCAGCAGGACGTAGACAAAACAGTGGGTGCGGAGGGTTCTAACTGGTTGAGTAACGTTCCCATAGTCATCACAAGTTGCGTTACTGGAGCAGGTATCGGGAAACTGCACGCATTACTCCGCACCCTTCCAATTCCCTCGAGGAGCTCTACGAGACCTATACCAATTAGTGGCAAAAAGACTGCACAAAAGACTGCGCAGCATGAAGCTGTCAAGCTGTTTGATATTACCGAAGTATTTGAGGTGCCGGCGTTGAAGGTTTATTCTGTAGCTGGGGACAACAAGCGTCAGCATGATAGAGCTATTATATTATGTGGTCGCGTCCGCCGTGGCAATATCTCTATCGGTGACCAGCTTGTTGTTGGACCACTTATGATGAACTCACGAACGGATATTGATTCGTCTCACTTGGTTCCGCGATCGAAGCCTCTCGTTAGCAGATCACTTCCGGAGGAGCTTGCAACGTTTTATTTACAAAACGGACATGCAGATAATGAGCATTCACAGACCCAACAAGCTCGCTGGCAAGTTGTTCGTGTCGTCAGTCTTCGAAATCTTCGACTCCCAGTGACTACCATACTGGAGCATCAAATTGGCACGATCGGCGTAGACAGCGTCGAAACGACTTCATGCTTAGGGAGCATTCGAAAAGGCATGGTACTTGCTGATTTCCATCCAATTTCTTCCCATCTTTCGATTCCGAGCCCACTACTGGCGCCGGTCTTCCACACCGGGTTCATTGCAATATTCCCAGCATTGAACTTCACTTCAACACTCTCTTCCTCCCTTATAATGGGAGGTAATGCCATTGTTTATATTGCTAGTATCAGGGCGGCTGCCAAAGTAACATGCGTCGAAGCCAACAGAAATTCACAAAGACAATTCCTGACTGGGAATGAGGAAATATTTTCCCTTGACGCGGATACATTTCCTGTTGACAAAGCACCCCAACCTACCTCTCCCAATCCAGTTGCTAACAACGGGCCTGAAATGTCTAATGGATTTAACGAATCGGGCGACGTAAGCATCACATTTTCCTTCGTCTCTACGGTGGAGTGGATCGAACTGGATTCCCGTGTGCTTGCTATGCCTGGTACCGCGATGGTAACAACGTCATCGTCCGTGCCTGCCGCTCCTGGATCACTCGCACTAAAAGGGTTTGTTGGACGTGTTTGCAAAGTTCTGAGCGACTGATAATTACGCATACAGTCTTTCCATTTCCATATATTCTCTCTTTGTTTTTATTTTAAGCGACTTTTACAATTCCCACGTTCTTTTTGGACGTATATCCATATGCCAATAGTTCAAGGTGCGCGAAATTATAACATAAAAATTATGTATCAGAATTCTCAATTTACCCATCCCGGATAACTTTTGTATACTAGATAGATTGTCTTCATAAGCGTCATAGTGCGTTTGGAGACATTTTCTTTCCAGTTTCATCGCCACACTCCGGCTGCTGCCATTTTAATCGCGGATGAAAGATATCGCTACTTTACCGCTCGACCGTTTAAGCTGAGCAGCAATGTATAGGCTACAAATGAGTGCTACAGTTCCTGATATCTTTTTGAGTTGCTGTGTATCGAGATACCTGAGTATTTTCATCCACCGAGCTGGGATGCCCGTGCCTGTGCAAGATTTACAGGGCTAAACTTACCAACTCGCTGCCACTATGTAACGATTTAGATAAGATAGCTTAGTCTAAGCTCTGTTCCGTATCCTTCGGACACGGGGAATTGTTCGTAAAATAATCATTACAGATTCGGTATTCGGAGAGATTGTAACATCGGGTGTTAATCAAATACAACGGGCCGAAGATCATCCACGTGCGTTTTGCCGCATGGTTGCGGGAGGTAAGGATAAGCTTAATTTGACGACATATCTGGGCGCCGCCTGAATGACTCTGCTCTCATTATGCACTCCAACTATATTTATGATATGATACGAAAGTAAGGGGTCGACACATCTACTTAAACACGATTCCCCCCCCCTTCAACCTTCAACAGCCCACACCAAAGACAAATAAAAAGGACGAAGAAAAGTAAAGGCTTCACTGGTATCGGTTGTCGTTTCATACTGCAAGTCATAAACCTCTGGTTTGTTCACCCATACTTTATAGAGCAAAATCTGCGTATTATCAATTCGAAGGAAGTTGGGATTATGTCCATTTAGGAGAAGGGAATATGATTTCGGATTTCTCGTAACTTGCGGTCACTGAGTGGATAACTAGCTACATCGGTTGACTTGAGATTTCCGAATTTCATGTACAGCCTATCAAGCAGATTTACACGGGCGGGAAGCACACAACTGAGATTAAAGCAAAGGCAATTCAACCACATGGCGATGCAAGGCCTTGTTCGCCCACTATAAAAGAAGAACAAAAGAAAGATGTCGAAAACATTCTGGACGGACATAAAGAAATCCCCAGACGTAAAACCCAAATTTACCTATGGACGAAGTAGATGGGGTTTTCGTAAGACATGTTAGAGTTGACAAAATAAAAGTTTAAGATATTGTAGAATGGGCCTAGAAAAAAGTGAATACTATAACCAGTTTTCATGTGCCAAAACTCGGCAGAAGGAGAGCTAAAGGAAATCCAAAATTTAGAATAGTATACCAGAAGAAATTGGTGATGGTGCAATACTGAATTGGGAAAAAAAAAAAAAAAAAAAAAAAAAAAAAAAGGAAGCTGCGTTAGATCGTTTACGACGTGTTACTCAGAGTGAGGGGGCAAGGATAACCGTTCGGAGCCTTGGATAGATAGTAGGCGACGTGCAAACCAAGGGATGTCTCATCACTGCGCCCGACAATTGACTTAGCAGGATGAAGGCCCAAATACCAACTTTCTCCAGTCTCATTTGTGATCCACTCGTAAGCAATAGCCTGATCAAGGGTGGGGCTGGCAGCTTCCCGCATTGCTGGTAGAGCGGCTATCCAAGAGCCTTGCAGGGTGATGGAGCGAATTGATAGTTCTTCTAACCTGTGGCGACTTAGGAAGTGAATTGTGTCATTCTCGGAAGCAACAAGATTGCCTATCGAAAGGCATTTGAGCTGCAGCCAAGTGTAATTGGCAACAAATGATTTAAAATTTGCCTCCTTGCGGAAAGGAGCATCTTTAGTGGAACTGGATAGATGGGTAAGTAGCGAGGAAATGGAGAGCAATTTTATAGCTTTCCCGTTGTCGACTACATCACAAAATCCCTCAGAACCAAACAAATAGGCTTGTGCTTTGGGACGCCATGGCGTGTCCTTTATTGTGGAGAGGTAGAAAACGAGTTTTTTCAAGGATGTAAAAACTTCTTGAACTGGCTCCAGGTCCTCTTCGAACACGGAGTAAGTTAATGGCCCAAATTCTAGTACCGAAAGCCTAACCCTTTGTCGGGATAAAACACTCATCAGTGACATGAACTGACGGGCAGAGCAGGCGGAAGACTGGCGGATGGCAAAGTGGGGTACATTCAAAAAGCTTCCCGCAACATCTGCTTTCATTCGCCGCCAACCGTTTTCGAAACATCCCATTTAATTCGGAGTGTTGTCAGCTTTGGAAACCTTGGGATGGCAAGCTCGAAAGTGGACATCCTCTGCCGACAAAATTATCTCATCTTGTGCTTCCAATAGCGGCCGATAAACTGAGAATTGACGGCACGATTGTTCCACTGATTCATTCAAGAAACGTAGCTGCAAATGGAAGTGGCATTGATCTGGGATATGGACCAGGAGGAAGAAATCAAGCTCAAGGACTTCGATGTAAGCAGAAAAGATGGGATGTGTTGCCATGTGCTTCAATTTCCTCAAGGAGTCATGCGTTGTGCTTAATGTGCAGGAGCGGGTCATGTATTTAGCACACGCACTTGCAAACATCTTGCAAACTAAGCGAAGGCTCTTCCGATCTTGGTATTCAACATCTCGAAAGATCTGATGAAGCAATTCAGCCGGCAATTGATTTAGTTTTAGGTCCTCGCTTCGGTTCATCTTCAGCAATGTCTATAACACAACAGAGGCAATTTGATCGGGACTCCAAGTCAAACTTGAAGTTGAGGGCAGTTTGGAGCTAGTTAAATAACATCAGCCAAGAGCATAATGAGTTAATAGAATACCAATCACATATAAATTAAATTACTATAGAAGAAGTTGGTGTGGGACAAATGAGTAGCAGGTTCATGGGAAACCTTTCCTTAACCTCTGGAAATTGGCATTCATGCGAGAGTCTAGCATTAACCCCCACGGCTGTGCCAGCTTCCGGAGGTCTCAAAATGTTTTTGAGCTAAGGCTAACATTTTTCTTATTGAGAACAAGTGAAATTATTGCCTGCTGCACATTGTTCATGAGTGCTGGACGGCATAAACAGTACATGTAAGCTAAAAGGTAGTACTTGCGCAGAATGAGTGACATACATATGAAGCGAGGAGCTCTCAGCGCATTATCTGATGGGGTTGCCTGTGGTGTTGGCCCTTGTAACTTGAACTTTATCCGCTGCAGTGTGAAATCATCATTTGAAGTGATACATGGATGACCATGAAAATTCGTTGATCTGTAAAATAATTGGACTCCAAAGCCCTGAAGGACACATGCCACCTTTTGAGTAAAGTCTCGTGCTGGACATGGATTAGTACTCCTGGCTGTTAGACCATGATCCTGTAGGACTACCGTTCCAAGCTTCAGTTCATCAATTTCAACTTTTCTTAACGGAGTTATTGGTCTTCCTCATTGAGACATGGTAGTCCAGGGCAACTGCTACCATTGGGTACTCGTCAATAAATGCACATATATACTAGTAGCTCCAGAATTGATACGGGTGGTGTTGGTGACAAGCTCGGAAAATTTGGTGTTCGTGACGTTGGAACCTTGGAAGAGGTTATAGGTCATGTGACCATAGATCAAATATCGTAATCCCAAAATGTATCAAACTGAACTCAAGAATTGAGAGGTTTGCTTTTGACATTTTCTTTTCAACCATCACACCGTACACACGAACTTTGCGCGAAAGAGGCCATACGTTTGCTTGATCTATTGCTGTCCCATTGTGCCACCTGGCACCCATACCAAACATGAAGCTCGTACGGTACGTTATGCATCTTTGATCTTCTGAACAATGCACTCTTAGTTCCTTTGGTCAGGTCGCGAAAATTGTTTAGGGCAGCCAGCTGATATACCTTTCCATTTCGTACAGCTTTCTTATGAAATGCGCGAATGAAACCGTGACAATCGAACTGAAAAATGGTATGATCCCCCCCAACCCCCAACCGGCCCAACTACTGCTTTACCTTATCGGCGCACAATATTCGTCTCCTATATATCCACTGCAGTTCGCGCTCTATTCCTATAACGTGACAACAACACTTTATACATATTTGTTATGCAGCGGTTTTTTGCTGACAGTTTGCTGCGGAATTTATTAGGCACTATCCTCCACGGCACCATAGCTTCCGTTTCGCCGCAAATGAACACGGCGCTGCGCACAGTCAAGATGACGGCAAAAGGCCGTGACCCGATCTCCCTTGACACAATAAACATTCGTGGATCTACCATCAGATATTACATCCTCCCTGACAGCCTTCCGCTAGACACATTACTCGTGGACGACACACCCAAGCCCAAGAACAAAGCTAGAAAGGAGGCAGATCGCGGACGGGGGGGAAGAGGTGGCGGCGGAAGGGGTCGAGGCGGTGGACGGGGTAGAGGAAGGGGACGGGGTCGAGGGTTCTGATCGATTCGCTTACTCTTTATAGGGGTTTTATCACGATTGGATTTTGGCTGTACTTGTCACAACAGGCTGAGGCTGCACACATTGAAATACTTCTCTGGGAACAAAAGAGGCGTGAAGGTTTTGATTCCTCGTTCCTTTCCCTTTTCCCAGTCTATTCCCTTTTGCAATGAATCTTGCATGTACGGAACTGGATGACCTGATTCGTGGATCTTTTTATAATTTTGTTTTATGTATTTCTCTATTATCCAATACAGCGAAATGATGATAATGTGCTTCGCTTTGTGCTTACTCCACATAGCCTTTGTTTACTGATGGAAGATATCAAACCTCATGTGCATCACGAAGCAAACTAGATTTGAACGGCTAACAATCCAACGAGAGAGTTTGACATCCACGGGGCGAACTCTATAGAATTACCTGTTCGTTTTGTGTTATCTTATTTCTTTTATTTCTTAATTGATCTGTCTCCATATTCGCAATATCACCAATCGCTCCCAACCTGCTTTTACACCGCTCCTCCCTACAGTTTCAGCAGTCCATCCTGATCCCCAGCTAACGATACGCGCCTTCACCTCATCTGGCTTGTTCTGCGCGCAGAGTAAAACGTACGCAACGCCACGTACTGGATCTAAGACCTCTGGTATTGAATTTAGAAGTCTGTTTGTAGTTTCCATTCCAAGTTCTCCGCCAGCATAAGAGAGAGAAAGGAGGTGAGACTCGCGTTCGAATTGCGGGAGAGAGATGTTCCCCATATCGGATGACGGAATATCTGGCAACTCCGAGGTGGGTACGTAAGGGGGATTGAAAATGAGGACATCCACAGATCCTGGCCTGAGGGGTGTGCAAAGATCTGCAGTTAGGGATGACAGGAATTTGGGTCGCACAGTCGATGGTCCAGCAACAGGGTTCCCGAGTCCGCGTTTCTGGACGTCGGTAATCGCCAAACAAACAGTTTGGCGCGTTGCGCTGCAGGCATTGCTATTCACATCCGTGCCCAAGGTTAGTATATCCCTCCTCCCAAAAATGATATCGGCGTTTGCAGCCACGAACGCTAGGACCACGCCTGAGCCGGTACCGACCTCAACCACAAGTGGTTGAGGGGAATTTGTAGAAGACCCGGGCTTTAAGCTTGTGTTAGAGGCATTGAACTTCTGGGTTAGCCATGCGGTTTCTGCAGCAGAGGAAAGCGTATCGAGGAACAAATAGCTATCCTCCGCTGGCTCATAGATGGTGTCGAACGAGACGTGTGACGTCGATGGGGTTGGAAGCATGGTTGAACGATTGAGCGAGTCCCCAGAAGATCTAGCTCAGAGCGACATCCCACGCCCGCTGTGCGACGCAGCCGCTTCTGTTGATGGCTTGCCGGGTTTTGGGACTTGAGCATCAATAACAACTCGAAGTCGAGGCTTTTCGATTGAAAGACCAAGTTCTATGAATCACGTGGCCATGAAATATGGGCTCTTGTGCCTAATCAGGTATAATAATCAATTCGGCACAAAAATCTAGATACAATATGAAGTCCGTACGCAATAATTGGATTTGAGTTTTTCATTTTCTTTCTACATCATTAAGATAGCTCTCAAGCGCTATTGGCCAGTTTTAGCTTCTCCTCTTTTGCAGCAACTTGAAACTTCCACATAGTAGTGATTACCCATAAACCTTTGTTAGGCTTTATGCTTCTCAGGGTGGGGATTGTTCCAACTTCTATTTTTAATTGCAGCTGCACAACATGAGGGTGTCTCCTAGGTTAATGGCCAACCCTTTACCGATAACTCCAAGCTCTAGACATCTGTCCGCTCTGCTTCCGCCATTGCAGCTCTATCGCCGTTTGCTCAGGGTGCATCGAAAAAAACTTCCAAAAGACATGCGTTTGCTTGGCGATGAGTATGTGAAGAACGAATTTCGAGCTCACCGGAATGTGGATAACCCAATTCATATTGTAAATCGAACCTGGCCACTCGTTACGCATTTTCAAACAAAGGCTGATACATTGTTCGCCGACTAGGTTGGTTTCCTCACAGAGTGGCAGCTATATGCCCAGAAACTCGAAGGAGACACTTGGCAAGGCGAAAAGTTAGACAAAGCAAAAATCGATAAGATGAGCGGTACGTTTGGGTTTTTTCTTCTCTCCTTTTCATACCATTGTTTCGATTTTCCTTCAGATCCCTTCGTGCACAGTGACTGATCTGGTGTATACTTGGTATAATAAGACCAACAAATTGGACAGCTTTACGAGCTTATGAGTACCCTAAAAAAGGAAGATAAAGATTGACCGTGACAATGAAATGGAAGGTATATATTCTCTAACTGTTTGTCATTTGACCGAGAGTGCTCATCGCTGTTGGCAGGCATTAACCATGCTACCCCTTACAAGGGCTCAAACAGTGAAGAATGTTTCAATATACCATCTCCTTGTCCACTACCTGCGTTTATCACTAAGTTTAGAAATTGTGTTGGGTGTTCTGGCGTTACATATATTTATCTGCAGTGGCATGATTTTTTTTTTTTTTTTTTTTTTTTTTTTTTTTTTTTTTTTTTTGAAAATAAAAAACTTCATCTTCTTCCCTTTCATATCGAACCTCCACTTTCGATCGAGGGGTGCAATTTTGTTGGCGTTCAAATCAAAGCTTGAACAGACATAATAGCTTCCAAACGACACGTCGCGAAGGCGCGCACACATGTCACATTACACTGTGAAGCCTATTTTCAAAAGTCTCCTATCTCCGACCTCGCTTCAACGATATATCGGCATCATCTAATCCAATTATAAGTTCAAACAGAGGAGACACCATGTGTCGACCCGTTCTCTTCAAATCGCCGACCTGTCTCCATCGGTGGTTCACCATCGGTTACCCCTGCGGAAAGGGAAATGGTTTCAACAACTGCTCGAAGTTGACCGGCATCAACATCCTCCCCTTTAGTGTGGGATGTACTCTCACCTCCTGGCCCAAATCATGCCCCGTATGCAACCTGGAGGGAGACTATGATCGAAATCTGATCCGAATGGTCCAGTCCCCTGCTTATTACGGTGTCAGACACAGAGTTGGCAAAAATTTGATCGTTGATCAACGAATTCCGATGTGCACAATGATGTAGGTTGAAGAAACACATGGATCTACGACGACCCGCTAGCTGAGGACTCTCTAATTTTCTTTTCTTATTTTCGGAGGGGGGTGGGTTCTGTTTTTTCAGGATAGAGCGCATGCGGCTGGAAAATGTTGCTCGAGTTACAGCTTCACAAAAAGCGGTGCATAGGGAGTATTTTTATTATGTATCATCTTTATGTATATTGTAGGTTAGTTGTATATTGTTGTTATTTTTTATCTAATATGAGGTGTTTCTTTACCCAAATAATTCTATCCTGGCAGGCCCCTGAGACAAGTAACAATGCAATTATATATCTTGGTTGCCAATTGGTTGGCTTTCCTTAGCTCCCTCGTGCCTTAGATCATTGTACAGGGTGGTTTCATCATTTATTGGGCAACTAAATTACTCGGTCCAACCTTTCGATTCTTCAACAACCCACACCCTAATACCAACATCATCAAAGAAAACAGAAACCTAGAATAAATACTGAGTTAAGCTAGCCTATCGTTGATTTGATTTCATGCAGGTGATCAAACAACACCTACAGAGACATCGACGGAGTTTGAAACCAATGCAGATTATATAACCTCAATCACGCCGACTTGAATTCTCTACGAATCTAAGAATTTTATTAATGACAAGGTATTGGTACTTGCATAGTCTATATAGCTTCTTAACTAACTTCTATAGTATGAATCAGCATCTTGCAAAATGCCTCCCGGCATCCTTAGCTGTTTGATAAGGGTATTTCTTCCACATTTCTCAGACATTTCCTCTTGATGGCTTAGTGTGGGAGGTGGTGATTGCGAGCCACAAACCATTAATTTTACCAGGAATATGAGAGCTTAGTCCTATTCAATTTTATCAATTTACTCTGGAACAATATGTGGTAACAAAAGTAATCATGGAAGTTAATAATAAGGTGCGGATAAGCATAACACGCGGACATAGAAACGAGATAAACACCAATGGATGATGGGAATGTTCAGCCAAACACTCCATCAACCCGGGATAATGGGGCCTTTAGAATTTCATCAGTCTGCAGGAACGGTGTTGATAGGCAGGACACACATATATATTCCATCAAACTATACCCATACAACTACAGCACCTGGATACTTCATTGTTAGTTATTAATTGTATCCAAAATCCACTGCACTTCTCCCACTATGGTATCGGGTTCGGTAAGATGAACGTTGTGGCCACTATTTCCTGCGATCGCTATGGAGCCTTTCGTTGATAAGTTCAAGTTTGCTAGCTGGAGGGTTTCATCCAATTCCTTGAAGTCGGCCATTTTTCTCTGCCATGCAGCTGGGGATGGGATTCCTTCTTTCCCTGATCTGACGGCAGCTTCGTATATCCGTTCATGATCCTGTGTAGTGTCTCCCATCACTACACTGACGGGAACGGATCCGAGAAGGGGAGGATCTGCTTCTAGCTGCTTTTTCTGCCCCAGTTCCCGACAGCTATTGGCAACTTCACCGCACTCCGCCTCAGCTGTTTCTTTGAACTTTGCAGTTTCTGCTTCCAAGTAAAGGCCTTCCCTATCTTCTGGATCCAGGACCATGTCTTGATAGAGCCCGGTGAGTCGCAGCCAGTCTTGGCCCTCACTCATTCGCTTCACATTCTCATCGGGCCTTAACGCAGTGGTGTTTTCTTGATCACCCTCGACAAATACCAGCCCCACAATATGGTGAAGTTCGCCCTTGAACTGTTTCAAATGAAGAAATTCCCGCGCAATAATACCGCCGTATGCATGACAAACAATGACGTATGGTGGTTTGATATCAGCCGTGCCCAGCAGGACGTCAAGCTCGAGAGAAATGTTCTCAGCGGTTGGAGCAGTGGGGTTTGGCATTTCTTCTGAGTCACCGAGTCCAGAGCGATCATAGAGCATAGTTCGAACTTTGCGCTGAAGGAGTCTGCGAACAGGGGTCCATTGCCTGGAGCTGGAGGCGACATCTGGGATGATGATAACAATGGGGTCGCCAGCAGAACGATTTGGGCCGTAGATTCCAAGAAAGAGGCAATGGTTTGCGATGGAAACGAGACCTTCATGCTCCCCGTATTGCCAGTTTGTGTTTGTGGGTTCCATTAGGATCGAAGGAATATAGATTCAAAATAACCCCGTCTTTCAAAGTTCAGTTTTTTTGTTATATGAATAGACCTAAAAGAACATCCTGCGATATGAATTCAAAGTTAATTTGCGCCTGGATGGCTCATCAAGATGAAACGCAAAGGGAAGAGCCAACTCTGGACATATTTGCATGCTTGAATTTGTTTATATTGTAATATCAGAAGCTGCAATGGTGATGGATCACGCCTCCTCAATCTTTGTCGCATATAAAAGCGCCACATTGCGAGAGGTGCCCTTCTGGTAAGTCAATCCGATCAATATGATGAGGCAAGCACAGTCAACAGGCTCAAGGTGCTCTCAACTGGAAATAGACTGCAGATAGTGTTCTGACTTGGAAGGCTTGGGCCTAGTCAGTTGCTCCTAGTATCACCCTCCAGTTGTGGGCGTATGAGAGAGATGTCGGCACCTTTGGGGAAAATAACGGTGAGATAAATAACTAGCACTAGTAGTTACTAAAGGAGTGAAAGCCAGTGAGAACCAGCATGTTCCAATCCTACAAGTTGCTCATAATGCTGTGATGGAGATATTCTCGATGCATAAGATGGTCTCAATGGGATTCTCTACCTGTTCAACATCGATCCACTCCATGGAGTACTAGATAGTTTGCTGCTGAATATTCTGTTTGCTAAAATGATAGTTAGCATGTCCAGATGCTCAAATGACTTATGACAGAAATAAACTATTAGTAATTCAATAAAAAAGCACATAAACTTGTTTGTTCTGTATTTGTTCATTCCTGTGAGTTCATCATTTCCAGAATTATCAGTTCAGATGGATTATATATACCAGTAGCACCTTGTTTTCATTCTGGTAAAACCAATCTTCTTTCATTCAATTCACTTCTTCAACTTCTATACTAGTAAACAAATCATTGCATCTCATCGTCAAATCAATATCCGCTCATATTTTTTCTATAAGCAGATGGGATCCATACTTTGTCCACTCTCTCACCCATTTTTCCAACAAGGGTATCATCCCTCCACTGTCACCTGCACAACTTGAAGCGATCAAAGTGCTTGAGGAGACCCGTCTCAGGCTTGCGCTCCACATGGTTCTTGATGTCGGAGACATTCAATTCCTTTCCAACACCCACTTGTTCCATGCCTGAATACAAGGATTAACCACTGCCTGCACCCCGTAGACATTTTATGCGTCTCTGGCTGGCCACGCCAGAGAGCGAAGTTAGATGGACACTCCGGTTCTGGGATAGTAATGAAAAGAAGAGATGAGGCATTCAGGTGAATGGCCAGCCTCCCATGGCTCCGTTAGATGCAGAGTAGCTACAACGAAAGAAAGGGAGCATTCAGAAAGAGCTTTCAAGGGAGTTCGGTCAGGGAGAAGGCTTTAATTAAATACTAATACTTGTAATACTATATGTTAGTGTGATTTGATTTCCGCTCAAATCTTTTTACCTTTGTTGGCTCGTTGCTGTTTGGTCCAATTCAAAGGCGATATTTCGTCTGCCATCTCTTTGCTAGCCTCCAATTTGTGATACGCAATAGCAACACTGGTAGAACAAACTCCCCGGTGAAAAGTTAATTTGTATCCTGTAGCAGCATCTATCAAAAGAAAATGTAAATGGAGGAAGTTCTTAGATCAGGGCAACAAAGTGCATTACTTCTGTGAGAAGTGATATATCATATCAAGCATTCTGTTGTTGATGATGATGATGATGATGATGATGATGATGATGATGATGATGATGATGATGATGATATTGTTTAATGTCTTAGAGGGGAGTAGGTAACACCTGCGTCCCAAAGCCTCCTGAAGGGCATGGAGACATGCAAAGCTGGAGAAATCTCTATATATAAAGTAATGATAGACATAGGATCCAGATAGCAACTCTTGAGAAGACTTAGTCTATATAGACTGTACATCCACTTCTGGCCTGACGTATGGCCATTCATGGTAGAGATAATCAAAGCACACAAGTGCTAAAGAGAGCAGCCGCAGGGCGGAGGCAGGAAACTCGGACATCGCATCACACTGTCACATCGCCCCTTTCTCTCCTGGTCGATTTGAGGCCCTCAGAAGGCTGAGGCTGAAGCCTCTTTTTCAGTGAACATTCCATCTTTGTTGACTTGATACCTTGCTGCTGATCAAGCAGAAACATAGCATGACTGAGAATTCATCTGCACTGAAGCAGTTTGAATCATGTTCACATCATGCATCAGCCACACTGCAAGACTTGAATCATTGAGGAGAACTTTTTCTTTATCTGAATATGTCATCCTTGCAATCAATCAGATCTTCCAGGTCTTGTGCTCTAATCAGAGCCTGATGTGTAATGGTTCTGTGGTGCAGCAAGGCAGATACTGTTTCTGCCATGCAGAGGCTTTTTTTGTTCATTGATGTACCATCTCAATAAGTGGAGGCCGCCCATCACCGGCGTGCACCACAGGTGAGAAACATCGGCTTGGCCTACTGATTGCGAAAGGGAGAGATTAAGGACAGCAAGCACCAAGGCACAGACAGAATGGATGGGATTGGCAGCGTTGATAGAATAAATGTGCAGAGCCTCAAAACATCAAATATAGAATGTAGAGCAATAGCTAGTCATGTATGTGACAAAAAATGAGATCAACAAAGTGAACAGGAAACCTCATCCAGCCACTGTTCTGGGTAGACTAGATATCTCAGTAGCAGATCTCAGTCTGTGCATGATTTTAGGGTAACTTGACAGTAGAGTGAGGTGAAATTGTATTGGGGAAGAAGGGAAAGTGGACATGGTCATCATATCAAGAACAGTTTCAGCTGCAGCACAGCCGGACCAGGTGACACTAGCAGTGGGGCCCAAGAGGGAAGAGGGAATGAGCACAGCACACACAAGGAAAGAGAATTATGAAGAAAGAAAGAGAAAATAGAGATGATGGAGAGAGGATGTTCAAGCAGTGGGGGAGGAGATTTATATAGTCCAGAAAGCAGCGATGTTGCGCTAAACTCAATCAGAATTGTACTAAACCACGGAAGGCAATTCCCCATGATACAGTATTTACCTAGATACTACGAGTTGACAAGGAAAACAGAGAAAAATCCAGGGGACCTTCAAAAATCACTAGTCTCCCCCTAAACTTCCTAAAGCTTCGCCGACCCAATCTAGTTGCACAGCACTTACCCCCCTTGCATAGCTTCGGTTGGTAAATACGTACTCGTTATACATGATTGCCTCGACTTTGCGGCCGTATAAGATGCTAGATGGATGGATGGCAACTGTCTGATTTCCCACGATGGTTTTATAGCTCCCATCAGGGGAGAGACGGGCAGTGTTGGAAGCGAACCCTGTGAGGAAAGATTTTAGGATCGAGATAGGGTTTTCTTCCGAGGATATCGTATGATTGATCTTAGTGCTGGTGGTGTCGTTATCATCTGGAAGGAGTTTAGCTTGTCGACATCGCGTTATTAATTGTTTTCGGACATCCTGTATGCATGCAAGATTAGGCTGCTAATCCCTGTACCTCCGTTATATGCAGGCAAAAATGATAGAATTTGGCAAAGAGATTCTTTACATACCATGACTGCCTGCATTGCGCGATGTGAAACAAGATGTCTACCTGCCCATGCCTTCCGATCCGACTTTTCACCCGCATACGCCCTGACTGTAGCAAGCATGGTCAGATGATCCCCTTCTCTCCGATACAGATCCCGCCTCGCTTTTTCTGCTTCATTTTTCTTCTCCTCAGACGTTGTGCTAAGGAAAATGTTCTCAACACTAAGGCATGAAATGATATCGATGACATTGCGCAAACAGTCTGGTCCGTATTTCGCACTAGCTAGAAGCACACGACCTAACTGCACAGTGAGAGGAAGTTTGGCGATTCTCACACCAATCTCGCTGATTTTGCCCGTTTCATCAAGTGCCTGGATACTGAATAGTTGCAGGAGCGCTTTCTCAAGAGCCTCTCTAGAGGGCCGGGTTAAGAAAGGGAAACACATAATGTCATCAACGCCCCTCGCTTTCATGTTTAAAATCGCCTGGCTCAAGTCGCAGCGCAAAATCTCAGGTGTGTTCGTCTCTTGTAAAGCCAAGTAATCCTTTTCTGTATAAAGCCTGTAGCATTGACCAGGCGCTTCTCTCCCTGCACGACCTTTCCGCTGAATTGCTGCAGACTTGGATATCGGTTTAACAAGCAGCGAATCCAAACCAAGACGCGCGCGGAATTGTTTCATCTTGGCTTTTCCGCAGTCCACAACGTAGCGAACACCGGTAACGGTGACGGATGTTTCTGCGATATTGGTAGATATGATTACTTTGCGCGTTCTGTGTGCTGGAATAAAGACTCGTTGCTGTGCTGCTTGAGGGAGAGCGGCAAATAAGGGAAGTACTTGTACTTTGGGCAAAGCAGGGTCCATAGTGAGCGCGTATTCGTTAACAAGCGCCTCGAGAGATTCCACTGTTTCTTGACCTGTTAGGAATACCAGGACATCTCCCGGCAGAGGTTCTTTCATATGGATCTGGAAAATGGTCTGGAGTGCTGCGTCCACGAAATCGTGAACTGGCTCAGGAGAATAAATAACTTTGACAGGGTATTGACGGCCCTTTATATGGCAAACAGATATGTCTTTTGATGGCGATGGCGTAACCCCGTCGGAAGGTTTATAATTATTGTGCTTCACCTTATCCATTTCGCAATTGGTATCTTCGTCCGATTTTCCATTCCATTCCGATCCCGAATCCGCTCCTCGATCCTCTCGCTGTTTTAGTCCCTCCCCAAAGAACGAAAGTAAACTTTCCATGTCAGCCGTCGCACTCATAACGACCACTTTCAACGGAAGCCCACCTCTCCCCTCGTTCTTCCCCGAAACAATAAGTCTCAAAAACCCCAAAATAAGATCAACATTAACGCCACGTTCATGTACTTCATCAACAACAACAGCGCTGTACTTGGTCAACCAAGGATCCGTCAACATCTCCTGGAGTAACATCCCCTCCGTCAAGAACTTGATCTTGGTATTAGGTGACGTCGAAGAATTAAACCGTACGGAATATCCCACTTTACTTGCAGGTGAGGAATTTCCCAATGGTGTCCCCATTTCGTCTGCCACGCGCCTCGCCAGGGACACGGCTGCGACACGTCGAGGTTGCGTGATGGCGATGCATCCACCAACCGTAATGTCCTTCACATCAGACTCCTTGTGAGGTGGATCGTGGTCTCCATTTGCTGACTTGGTCTGAGATTTTGATTTCTCGTTCATTGTCGTTGGAGCAACCTTTACAGTCCTTGCCTGCGCCCATTCTTCATCTACCAAAAACTGTGGTACCTGCGTACTCTTACCACTACCTGTCTCGCCAACGAGCAACAATACATCATTGCGCTGGAGGTTTCTTCTAATTTCATCTCCATAGGAAAATATTGGTAGCTGCTTGCGAACGTGGTATAGCGCTTTGGCTCGGTCTTTTAAAGGCGTATGCACTGCGCCAGTGGTAAGGCCATTTCGTTTTTTGTCTTGGGTATTTCGATTGATATTTGGTCTATCATTCGTTGCAGCAGTAAACTTGTTCTTAATTTTACTTATAGCGCTATCCCTCGTTATCTCGTCCCTCAGGTTAGTGGTGCATGTTGTACTCGCTGAATCCTTCTCATGTTGGATTACCGTTTTGGGGGCAGTGTGTTGCTGGCCCGCATCGGTAGTGGTGTCTTCATTTCGTTTCCGCTTCTTGCTCATTTTCTTATATGCAAATGGCAGTGTGCTTGCCGTACCACACTTGATCGAGTCGGGAAAAGTGGTTGGCGACGAGAGTCCTGTTGCAATATTTTTATTTGAGAATCTTTGGCAAGGAGAGGGCTAACAGCATAGAACAAGGGTATAAAATGAAACAAACAATTAACAAAATATTAACTTAGAAACATAAGAATGGAGTAATACACCATATCACCAGGATCGGTATCTTTGTTTTTCCGACCATTGATGAGAGTATGAAGATTTTCCTCACAATAAAAATTAGGTGTAACAAAAAGGTAAAAAATCATGATGATCTGTATCATGAATACGGTATTATTACCACCACGCCATCTTTTTGTGACAGCGGTTTACATCGTATACGGAACGTTCTGACATGCCATCTCTGCTACATATGCAAAAGCGACGATTTCACAACCGGCATAGTTTTATCAATCTCGAGCCCTTGACCGGTTTCTTTGGCTGGGTTGGCGCTTCCTCTCCAGAACACCGTCTCCAACTTGAGAAATTAGGCATGACGATCCCAGTGAAGATGAAAGCAAAAAAGGATGCAAACTTATGAGAAGAGTCGCTTTCACAATATCAAACTTGGCGGAGTTTTTGATGCTAGGTACCAAAAACTGGGGGAAGTTAGGATTCGGCGTGAATTCTACAGTCCAAGGGACCGGCCAACGGCCTTACAAGGCTTTTAAAATCCTCATCCAACAACTCTTCAACCAAAGAGAAATAAATCCTGGATCGTCTCTCCACCTTTAAGTCCTTTCAGCCTGGGGAAAGCAAGTTCTGAACAATGCTTGACGTGTTTGAAATTAATGGGCATTAATAATAATGCTTCATCCATTGGCCGCTAATAATTTATCATTTTCATTTTCAGTCACATTGTTGACCACTGGATTTCAGAATGTGCTCTCATACCATTCATTACTACTGGAGCTGTTAACCGCCCTTAATATCTTCTAAGGCTCATATTATTCACACTGGTTAGCATACTCATGCGTACCAACAAGATACCGGCGTGGCTGACTGCTGTAATTCCTAGATATATAAAGAAAGCTATCATGAATGCCACAACAGACCCAGAACTCAGAGATCTTATACCTTTGGAAAGCTGTTGACAATTATACACTTTAGAGATGACAACTTTTCAAACCAAAGCTATACTAGAAAGTTGAGGGTATACTAATTCTAGCAACCTTCGGATAGCTCACATTGACAATGAAGGGCAGAGAGCCCTCATTTTGCCAATTTTATACCATGCACCTGGGTCCGATTTGAAACACAAAGTGAACAGGAAGGATAGAGATTCCAAATCTTGGGGCTCTAGTAGGTTTCTTGAAATTGTAATGGCTTCTAGGCACGGACAGGCCCTTAACCACTCGACCAAAAAGGTCATACACAATAACAGCCGCCGCTGTTATTGGAACCCGTACCCTGTTTCTAGTTAACCCCCCTGGGGGATGCCTCAGTCCTCAACCTAGGCATTACGGAAATACTTGGATAAGTCAGATACACACTGACTGTGATATTTATAGTATGTGTTGAATAAATTCAATGTGAAAAGAGGTGTGGAGAATCTGCAGCTGAGCCGCAGAAACCTTTGAGGGAAGATATATAGAGTGGTATTGTGACACTCCCGTCCCACGGATAGGATGGAGAAATGGCCGAAATTTAAGAAAAATGGGGTCGTTCAGCAAAACTACTGCACCTTGATTCAAGTAAGCAAATGTAACATGATGAGTTAATCAGCCATTGGCAGGTAGTTATTGAACCAACAAATCTGTGCACCCCCTGGAGCGGGTCGGATTCAGATATAGTTCACCATGCGGTCGTGCAGGGTTTCGGCTCCCCTCAGCTCTTGGAATTTGGAGGTCGGGAATTTCCGTTCAAAACTGGTGTGGGGGTTGGGCTCGTGTCTGTACAGAGTATTCTTCGGAGAATACATTAAAGTTAAAAGGGACCAAAACGACCCTGGATGGCGCGATTTGAAACGTCAGGGTTCCTCGTGGAATAAAATCACAATGGAGGAATTCGCCAAGGGGTTGCCAGGCTGCTTGCAAGGATATTCGCATGTCGCCCCAAAAACCGGCCCATTCGGTATTCGGTGAGGTCCCATGAATTTAACGCTTCCCCGACACAAACGCCCACTGGTCACACCGAATACAGGACTGATGGCAGAAGATTGTGTGCCCTTCCTTGCGCTGACGTTCATCAGGACTATATTATAGCCCAAGGACCCTGTGGAAAGGGGAATCCCCACGAAAAATGTGATTTTACCACACGGCACCCTCAAGTCATTTGACAGCGCCAATATCGTTTTTATTGGCCGTGCTGGCAGTTGGAAGTTTGTTTCTTTACCGTGGTTAGTGGGGCACAAGCGTGGATGTGTTTGGGTTGCGGTCACCCGTCTGGGCTTCCGCCGCCTTCTCAACCTTCCAAACTGGCCTAATTGAGGGCTCGCCTGCTACGTAATTTGCTCATATAGTTAACTAACTACATAATTCGGAAGATTTCACTACGCCAGGACACAGCCTCCCCTCACCTCCATTTTGCGCTGGGTACCCCATCCTCTTGCACCATGGCTTTCCGTCTACCTACACATCTTCCGCAAAGGCAGCAGGCCTACACTGCTGCCCCTCAACCTTCCAGCTTGGAGATCAGATCTGCAGTTGCGAACCCTCAAAATCCCTGTCAACAGCATCACCACCACCAACAACAGCAGCAGGAACAGCAACAACAGGAACAGGAACAACAACAGCATCAAGTTGAAGAGTCGACAGAATGGGTCCTCTTTTCTCCATCTCAAGCCGGCTCCACTACGGCCCGCACCCATACCACCTCCACTGAAAAGACCCCCCGCACAGCTGGCCTGTCGCAAGTCAGCGATTTTGGGTCACTGGACTCTCCACAATCCCAATCCGAAGATGATGAACTTGATGATGACCAGTTGGAAGATGATACCGCAGAGCTTGACAGCCTGGATGATGGTCTACATGCCTTTCGTGAGCCTTCTGGATACAGGATGATATCTACTGAAGCAGCCCCTCATGATTCCGCCATTCTCCCAACACATGATGGCCTGGGTATGTTTGCCCCTTCGAGTCAAGATGTACAGGATCAGCTCTGGCAACATGAACAACACAATCCGCGACGAAGAAGAGAGGGAAAACATATAAGGCGGTCTAATGAACAGAAACAACTGGAGACTATGGAAGAAATCCAGGCTCGTGAGATTGAGTATGACAGATGGCGGCGGATTGAGCAGTGGAGGACGGAACAGAGTCGAGCGTTGTTGCAGGAGTTTGAGAAAGAGACAAGGTGGAGAAGAAATAGCCGGGCTGGTCACGCTGGTGAAAGGTTAGTGGCTCGACAGGCTTTTGGAAGCGGTACCTGGGAAATCGATCTGGAAACGAACGCCCGCGAACTTGGTGCTCAAGAAGCCCGATCGAGCCAGGCTGGAGAGTTGCAGGACGATGATGGTGGTGCAGGTGCTGTTTCTGCTGACGATGAGTCGTTCTGGAGGAGGATCACACGGAAAGTAATTCAGGACTTAATCGGCATCGACCACTCTTTGCTTTCGGTCATCTTAGGGGAATCACTTGTGCCGGAGCAAAGAGAGCAAGATGGAAGGTCTACGCTAAACGATTTCAGCGACACCACATCAAATCGCTTGCACGAGCCTTTGAATATGGGCGGGGTCATGAACGCCGTGGATGATGTCCCACGAACTGGCGATTATTGGCATGAAAGACTCCTGGAGCGTATTGCTCGCGAGTTGGGCATTTTGGTCCATCAGTTATGCGAACATCCGGGTGCTTTCAGCACTTATGTTCATTCTTCTGCATCTATTTCAAAACAGTATGCTGGCATACCCATTATTTCCCCACCTCCTTCGACTACCATATCATCTATCCCCCCTCAAAGCTCGTCAAATAACACAACATCCAATCCTGCGTCGACATATTCTCCCCATTACGAATTCGGCCCCACCCTCCATGACGCAGTTACCTCTGCATTTGAAATTGGAGAAGAAGCACCCCTCTCTCCTTACAACCTCAATACCCAGCCCGTGCCATCAGCAGCCGCAGGCCAACTCCCCTCAAGCTGCGAAGCCATCTCAGAAACCTCTCGCCTGGAGCGCGAGCGCGAGTACTGGGAACGCGAACTAGATGTCAAAATGGTCTTCCACTTTCTCCGCAACCGCTTCATCAGAAATATTCCCTTCACAAGCGATAACGAGAAAAACACATCCTCACTCCGTCGCAGCTCTGCCACCGCTCTCTCAACTTTTCCGATTGATGAGCAGGACCCATCACACCGCGCTGCCATAATTCGGCAACATCATCCCCTCGTCGCGCGCGCCCATGCCCGTTCCCAATCTCAAAGTCAACGGAGCAGAGCCCGGCAGCAAGCGCAATGGTCCTCAACATCTGTCTCTGGCTCTTCCGTGGCAGGACCCATCAGTCCCCTCCTGCGCCATCGCATCCGCCACCCCAGCTCCAGTTGCACAAGCCAAAACGCTAGGATGCCTGTGGTCTCGGGGAAGCGGACGATGGCAGGTGGTAGCGGGTCGAGTCGACATTACTGGGATATCGGGGGCAGTGTGGGAAGCGGAAGTGTGGTTGTTTCCGCGGTTGGGGGCACGGGGACTTGGGTGGATGTTTAAGAACGGTGTTTGATTTTATATTATGATGGTGTTCCGAGATGGAGTTTTAGTTTTTTGGGTCCTCCCTCTTCCCTCGTGCCTCCCTCAGTCCGAAGCTCTCCCTGATTTCGGTCCGAATTCACTGCGAGTCGAGTCATTATAGCAACAACAGCTCATCTGGCTGTATCACGCTGTTTACGCTGTTGGAGGATGCTGGGGCATGCATGGTAGATGCAGGCGTTTACAAGGGGAGAGTTGTGAGATAGGTGGACGAGTTTATTCGAAGCCTTTTAAATAAAAGGAAAATATGAAAGAGGGGAAAGGGTGAAAAAGCCTAACTGTCATCCCGCTTTAACCTCCCTTTCCGCCCTCTCCCAGCCCGATTCATTCCCATATAGTATATAAATATATTCTTACTACCTGCGAACGACGTCGTTTCCTCCTTGTGATTCATATATATTATAAGTCGGCATGGAAGGCGCGTAGGATTGCGATTGAGCGAGGGAACGAGAATTATATGCAGCTGGTCTTATACATTTTGTCATTATACATTATTCCCTAAGCATGCATGCAGAATCAAACTAACTGCACATCTGTCTAGATAGGCGGGCTAATCAGTGATAGAGAGATAAATCATTGATACTACCATGCTGCCACTTCAATTAATTGATATTCGTCTGAGAACAGCCTTGAACCTAAACTAGTGCTCACTGCCTACCCTACCTACCTACCAACATTGAGATATGAAAAAGCAAGAGGATGGAAATGAAGTGAAGATTTGCTTTGGATTTGGTCTAATCCCAGGTTTCTCTCTGAGTGATTGTGTATGCAGGTTGCAACATATCAGGTAAAACAAATCAGATTCCTCACAGATTGACTGAGGAGCTAGGAATTTTATTTTATTTTATTTTATTTTTATTTTTTTTTATTTTTATTTTTTTTTTTTCAATATATAAATTCATAGGCTAGCAGTAGGATGGCTAGCGAATATATTGGACTTTTCAGTGTAAATCTCTAACATCGTACATATCTATGAAAGAATAATCTTCGCTGGTCAGGATCATGCCTAAGTCATTCGACTGTATGTGAGATGCGTTCATTGCAGAGGGTTGGTTATATGGGCTGACAGATTTGCTTATTGCTGCTTCTTGTTGTTTTCGCCCATGTTGCTAAAGAGGGAGGAAGAAAGGTAGATATGTTTCTACAATGTTATTTCTGGAACAATTAAAACTTAAGGTATCTGCGGGAATACAGTGGTATCCGTGGTCATTGAATACTCATGAAAGCGCCGTGGATTCGTGGATGGACTACTACTTTCTGATACGGATATCCGGTGCGAAATTATGCCAGGAGATCCACTCATTATGGATGTGCAGAAGCCATGCTTCCGTGAGCAAACAATCAAATTCCAATTCCATCGTACATAGCACAATGAAGGACGGAGTCCCCAGGGATATATCATCTATTTTGTTGGATTTTCTTTTTCTTTTCTTTTTTTTTTTTTTTTTCAATCGCTTAGATTCATGTCATAAAACAAGGAACTAATAATCAGGAGGAAAAAAAACAAAAATGCACCATTTCTTCCCATTTATTAAAAGATCTATGCTTGCGACAGATTCTCATAGGCCTCTGGGAATCGCTTCATGTTCTCCTCAATGTTGCCCTTATTTCTCAAGAACTGCACGTAGGCACCATCAATCTTAACACGCCCCTCTTGTCTGAGACGGATGTACTCCTCCCTTCTGAGTGGGGTGAAGCCCCAGTTCTTGCTGACGATGATCTTCTGGCGACCGGGGAATTTGTACATGGAGCGGCGGAGAGCCTCGACCGCGGTGGCACGGTGGGTATCACGGGTGCGAACACTAAGGAGGATCTGGCCAATATTGACACGAGCGACAATGCCGTTAGGCTTACCGAAAGCGCCACGCATACCGGTTTGGAGTCTATCGGCTCCAGCACACGACAACATCTTGTTGATACGGACGACGTGATACGGGTGGGCGCGGACGCGGAGGTGGAAACCTTCTTTACCGGCAACCTTGACGAGGTATCTGGATTGGTGATATGGCATCAGTAAAAAATATCATTATACGTGGGGGGTCGGTTGGTGGTGGTAGTAGAGCGCTTACTTGTTGGCGCAAATACGGGCAGCTTCAAGAGCTTCAGAGCTCAGCTGTTCGTACTCGTTGGACACCATGTGTACGCATAGAGGGAACTCATCGACATTGGCCTTCTTGCGGCCAAGATCGAAGATACGGATCTTAGGATCGGGTACACCGCGGTTGAAGCGGGATTTGGGATATGGCTAAAACAGAGTATTAGCATTTCATATTTAACTTCCGGTCCCATATAATTTTTCAGAAAAGTCCGTCAATAATTCCCCCGTCACATCACAGGCTCAAATATCCCACACGGGTAATCGAAGCAGCAGTAATTTATGGTTTCTTTTCTTGCTGGCGGGCGTGCGAAGTTTCGCCTTTTCTTCCCCACAACGATATTCATGTCGAAAATCAAAAACTAGGAGAGAGAAAAGTAGCGCCGTACCTTGTTCTTGCAGTAGCGGTAACATCTGGCTGGACGACGTGCCATTTTATCGGATGGTCAAGGGGAATGACTGCACTTCCTGCGAACTCGATGGTACGTGAGAGGCAGCCAGGTCGATAGTCGTCGTCGTGGAAGAAGTTCCGGCTAAGTATTACGAGTTTTGATTTCCAAGCATTGGGGCTAGTGATATCACATGACGAAGCCCTAAGCCCTAATGTCCCTAAATAAGACCCCTTGGTGGCGAATTAGTTTGAAGAGTCACTTCTGGTCTAGTATCAAGAGACTGAAAGCTTGGTGCAACGATATAAATGAATACGGATAAGCCATCTGTGCTGCTGAAGACTCGGGAACGAAACTCCAGTTTGGGTGCTTGGCCAACTCCCATCGAGTCATTCCGTAGTAAGCACCAAATATGCCCCTTGGACTCTGGCTCCTTATGGTCATGCATCACCAAGTGTCAGATTGATTGATTCAAAAAACGCAGGGACGAATGTTGTTTGCCACTCTAGGGTGGGAGCAACAACCACCCTTTGTGATATCAGTTTTCAGCCCCAGAATGCCTTTGAAAAAATTGAGCCTTCGGTCCAGCGTTCCCTCAAGTTGCGTCCAAGGACCGAAAACGAGCAGGCGTAGAAGAATTTGACGTTCCGTGCCTTAATCCAGAAAAACAGTGTACCACTGATCCGAACCTACGGAGCATAACATGGCTGTGTCCCAACATCCCGTGGCGATTCAATAGTGTAATTATTATCCAACGTATCTTTTGCTTGGGATTGTACGCTCAGGTGATAATTAAATAGTAGAAGAATCAGGAACATACAGCGAGTCTTTCGTCCAAGTAGTACAAGTCGTCCAAGTGGTCGGATTTTGGCTTCACAGTATTTGTTTTTTCTGGAGTTGCATTTGTTGGCATTATATCTATTTGGATGCATTTTCATTTCCTCATTTTCAGTTTTTCTCTACCCAGGCTAGTAGCTCAGGTACGGTACAGTACATACACAGGCTCAAACAGGAATATAACAAAAGCTGAAGTCACCGTTCATCCCCTACGATTGTCTAACCACACAGCAGCATCTGACGAGACGCTCGCTACGCTTCAGCTCCAAAGATAATGGCAGTGGTAGCAACCTCCAGCCTGAACACAGAGCATCTCATCACCCGCACGATTTTCATTTAAGCAGTGGTGCCACTGAGGATATCGGAGTCACCGGCATCCAAGATGGCCATGGTGGAGCACCTGAAGAGCTTTCCACACGCAGTTCCAAGCTCGATCTAAAATGGAAGGAGGAAAAATATTTCCCGCAAATTCCATTCCCGCAATCGGGGGAGGAAGACGCGGAAAAATAAAAGATTTCGATGGTTAGCGCCTTGGTCAATACCCTCCGAAGCTTTTGTAGATTTTGCGGGGAGACATGATATAGCTTCTTCGCTGGGTAGAACATGACTACATGTGCCTGATCCTGCTCATAGATCTCGAGCTCGACTCAACTCCCACATGTGTATCTTGGCTCTTAGCGCTCCACATCACATGTTGCCTTGTTGAAAGGAAGCTGTGGTCTTGAGCTGAGTCGAGGCGAGGCGAGCCGGCGAATGTAGCATATAAAGGATATGGGGACGAAGGCAAAGGGAAGTAGTATGGGATTTAGTTTTATCTTACGTTGTTGCCGGAGAAATGGTGGACACTGGTCTTGGAAAGCATGGAGTAGTCTGTAGAAACGAAGAAAGTATTGTCAGACAAAATTCTTGGAACGCATAAACCGTAAAACGAAAATAATACTGTAGACGATAGTTCTTACATTCGAGCTCACTCTTGCGAAGAGGAGGTGTGTTGCCAGCAATAATGACGAGCTTGGCCTTGCCTGAACGGAGGGACTTCAGGGTAGACTTGTAGCCCAGGGTGACTATCCAATGAAACGGAAATAAAATCAGTTAGCCCCCGAGTCCATCCAAAGTGATGAGAAAGGTAAGTCCTTGAATTGATCGCCTTCGCAATAATGTATTTTAAACCGCAGAGTGCACTCACCCTTGCCGGATTTCATCACAAGCGCAAGGCGCGAGTTGATGTTGTCGGCGCTTTTCTTAGCCTTCTTTGGTGCCATCGTAACGCGTTAGAAATACCAGGAGGTTTTTCTAAAGAGAGATAATTGAAGCTGATAAATTTTTGCGCTCCGGCACGGAATTGAGATTGAAGGATTGAAGTTGCGGTGCGTTTGCTCTAGCGAATTTTCGAACGAATTTCTGTGTGGGCTTGAATATCGGAATAGTGTTTTTCCGGGACAGAGAAACTTCCCATAACCAAGTGCTTTTTCATTCCAAGATTTCATTCCAGGAAACCCGATGGTATCGACAATAATACATTATTGTTTAATATTCTATTCAGGGAATTTAAGTAGCGTCGATAACATATTGTCTGGCGTGCTACGTTCCGATGGGTGCTGATCCGTCTTCAGCATACTCTGCAGAATTCACTCAGGCAGGGACTTACATGACCAACACCATATCGTATGCTATGCGTCCACGGGGATGACTTTGCAAACGCAATCTGCGTTAATGACTTCAGAATCATAATGTTCAAGGCCATGATCACAATTTACGAAGAAACTCGGGGGCGAAGCCAGCACCAACACTCTCAATTAGGCAAACGCTGAAATGGGACGTGCGGTTGATTTAACCCTGACCTCTTGATGACGATTATCTTCCTCCGAGGGGTCCTCTGATTATTTCCATCAGGAAATTCTAGAGTTGGACTTGATATTCAGAGTGAGTTGATACTCCCAAGGATAGATCCAAAGGTTTATGGGTGAGTGAATACTACTTATAACAGCAGAGAGATCATCTCGGCTTATCTTTTGTAGAAGATAGGCAGGATCTAGGTATCATTGCTTCACAGTTTGGCGTGCTTACCAGCTGGAGATATGGTGGAGAGGCAAACCAAATTCCAAAAGTTGTAAGGCCGGGAAATTGAGAGTACCAAACTCTTCACCGAGCGGGTGGTAACTCACTGAGAAACGTAACTCTCTGTCGGTTTCGATTTTGAATGACTGACTTGTGTTGGGTTGATTAGATTAAGGCTCGTCGTGGGCCTCAACCAAGGGCACCATCCAAAACAGAGTAGCGTTCATGCAGGAATTAATTAAGTGGCGCGGCCCGTTGGGCTAAGGCGTGAGATCGGGTCGCAATGAGGCGAGTAACCTGTACAATGAGGAAACGAAAATAGTCCACAGTTTGCTCAACAGGTTGAAGCCCTGGAAAAGCAACCTGAACTTGATACGTCGGAATAAAATTGGAGTTGATAGTAATGGCAAGCGTGTTACAGATGACTCCAGCAGGGATCAGCGAGTGGGAAAATCCATCAGGGCGTCTTAAAGCCAGCCCGAAGGTACGGTCGTAGGTGATAAGGCAGTATGTATGTGCAGCAAACTGTGAGCTGACTTGTCAACAAAACGGATAGGTGCTTGTAGATGTCACAGCGGAAGGTTTTGAATGAAGGGTCTGGAGATCGTAATAATCCCAAACCAGAATAGCGTGCCAAGCGGGAGGGCTAGCCTGGTGCGGAGATTACCACGTACCGCGTATTGTTCACATTTAGTATGGCCCGTACATCAAATCGTTGGTATTGCTGGGGAGACCAAGCAAAATGGGAGTATTGATCGCGTATGGGCTGCGTACCAGCCAAGTAATAACTTAGACTTGATGAGATCAACGCCTTGTCTCGAGACAACAACAACCAACTATTTTTTTTAAAAAAAAAAATTTAAGTGAAAGACACCCTCCATCATTGATTTTTATATACCTGCTGGACATTCACCAAGTCACGGTACTAGCCATCGTCTATCTGTTCTTTATTGATTTTCAGCAGGCGCTCTCGGGATATTTTTACTCTTGAAACTCTGGTGTCCGTCTCACAGCCTCGATCGAGATATCGCATTCATATCTCATTCCCCCCCCAATTGACCACAGCCCCCCACGGACATCATTTCAGCCTTGAAAAGCCACCGTTTCGATCAGGGCTGCCTTGGTATTTTTGCAAACTCATGTGTTAAGACGAGCTGTTCATATCTACTTTATCATCACGGCGCCATGTCGAGCACTGCAAGAAAGACCTCATACGGCGGAAGTGGTCACAAATCCTCAACCGTGGACTCTACAACAACCTCTCCACCTACACGATCGCCCTCGAATTCGACCCAGTCTTCAGTGAATGGTGTTGGACGGTCCACACCTACAAGGCACTCTCCGAGCCCTGTCTCCGCTCGAGCAGCAGCACGTAAACCCGGCGCGGGTCGATCCAACCTCAGTATGAGTTCTGTTCCCAGAATGCTCTCAAGCCCCTCAGATGATGATGCGAGAGCCCAGAATGCCGCCCTCATCGATGAACTGAAAGAACAGGTTCAGAAAGCCGAAACTGTCTCCGATCAGTACCGGAAACAACTCGGCGTTCTGCAGCTACGGCTTGATGAAGCGGTTAGTGAACAGGGAAGATTAGAAGAGCAAGCACATGAAAAGGACAGCGCATTAGGTGTGCTCCAGGCAGAAGTTAAAGAATTGACGAGGCAAATTCGCGATCTAGAGCAAGCTCATGAGACGGAGCGGATAGCCATGGCAAAGGAGAAGGAGCAGCAAGCGAAAAGAGAGGAGGATTTGGAGTCTACAATCCAACGTCTGAAAGAGACCATTGCGCAGAAGGAATTTCGTATCAATGTGGAAAATGAACGCAACGTCTCCAGGTCGCGTAAGTTTCCCTATTTATTTATAAATGAATTAGTGTTTTCTGCGGTTATTGACTCCCAATTTTTTTGTTTTTTTTTATAGCGAGCTTTCGAAATAGAGCTTCCGCAGATCTCGAAAATGGACAATTTGCCCCGTCTTCCCAACTCCAACGCAGCCCTTCCCGAAACAATTCAAAATTGATTTTGCAAAAGGATAAACTAATTGAATCTCTGAGACTAGAGTTAGCGGAAGCCCAGATAAAACTTGTCGAAATGGAAAACTTGGGTGGTGGTCGCCAACACGATCTGGAGCGCGAGCTTTTGGAAGCTAGAATGGCAAACGCTCGCCTGATGGAGGACAATGAGAGTTACCAGCTTCTCCTGAGCGAGAAAACATTAAACGGAGACTTCTCAAAAGGAGATTTCATGCATGAAAACAACCAAGGAAACCAACAAGTAGGCAATGGACTCGGATCACTCGCGGATGAGCTTGAGTCGGTTGGCGAAGGTGGAGGTGCTGACTCCCGTCGGCGACTCGAAGGAGAGGTCAAATCCCTCAAAGATCAAAATAAGGCTTTGAGTCTCTATATTGAAAGGATCATAGGGCGCCTGCTACAAACTGAGGGATTTGAGCATATTTTGGACAAAAATGACACTGATACTTCGACCTTGCTCGCGAGCAAGCAGGCAAATACTGAAAAAGATCTGCCTCCGCCGCCCCTGTCAGACAAGGTAGAAGGAGCTGGGACATCATTCCTCCAAAGAGCAAAATCCGTTGTGTCGGGGCAAGCTACTCGGCCAAAACCCAAACCGCGGACAATGAGTAATCTTACACAGGGCCTGATCCATCAACCCCAGCTTGAGACCCATCCTACGATGAATGAGAATCCGGATACCGCACCAAGTATCCCTCTAGGACGTTCACGGACAATGCACCGGAGGTCCCGTTCAGATCAAGCAGACGGCACCGCTGCCGCCGTCGTAGGTCAGATGTACCGTGGTCCTTCTTCCAATGGTCCTCTCAGTCCTGGGATCAGTCCAACACTTTCATCGGGACAAGGACCGTTCTTCGCCTCAAGCATAGCGTCAAAACGAGCTTCTGTCCCCGTCGGTTCCATCTCGAGCAGAACCCACGATCGAGGATTGAGTAGCACTCCTAGCGTGTCGAGCGATCGCAGCGGTGAGGTCGGCTCAAGTGAAAGCACATCCAGCCCTTCACGCTCCAGCCCGGGTATGAATAACTACACCGGCGCAGTGATGACACAGAATAAATTGCGGCCTTTGCGCCTTGTTCAGGAAAACAAGGAGCTTGAAGGTGGTGACCAGGCCGATGAAGACGCACGCAAGAAAGCGAATCGTGGAAGCTGGATCTCCTGGTTCAATCGTCCTGGGCAAACCGATTCTCCAAATGTCACTTCGCCCACCTAATTCGACCATTATAACCACAAAATCATGCGTCATGGGTATGCTATTCTTGGACAACGTTATACATATTGGATTTTCTTCTCGCGATCCCATTTACGACCCCTTTGAGACGATGGATGTTTCATAGTTTCTCATCTCATTACATACACTGATTTTTCTTCCAATCTGACTTGGCTTTTTTGAAATTTAAACCTCGCCATGTCGAGATCATCTGAGTACACCATATTTGATGTTAATTTCCTTATCGAGGCAGATATTTCAAGACTGAAGACTATATGAATATACCAGTTAATATGTCAGGTGAATTCCATGCTGTGGTGTTAGCTAGGACTCATTGCAAGCTGTGCGCGCTCGCCTACGTTTTTATGTTAATTTGCTTTTCTTGCCTTAACGAAATGTTTTGGATCCTTGCGTGTTTTGATGTTACTTTTTATAAATTTCATACCCCCCTTCTGTGTCAACATTCCAGCTTTGATCTATGAATCATCATTTACGATTGGCCGTCCTTCACTTCGAATTTGTAACTATCTAGAGCGGTAAATTGCCCAGTGTATCTCTCTCGAAACTCATGTCGTGGCATGCAACTCCTTACCACCAAAACCAGTGCTTTGTTTCTAGTTGATTATTCTTCAGGGTAGATATTGGTGTTATTGTATATACAAGCCCCTTACCTTCCACTGTGTCATGTGCATATTTTATTGTGTTCTTCCCGCAGTCTATTTCTGCGAGTAGCCCTTCATTTGAAGGGGCAGATGTAACATCACGTGATTTACCCACAGGTCAACTCCCGCCAGCGAGTCTGGCTGGCAATATCACCAATATTAATATTACACCTCACAACGAATTTCCACCAGAAGCCCGCAGCACACGCAATACGCACAGCCAAGATGCCGGCCCCAATATCACTGTTTTCTGTCAATGCAATCCTTATAATGTCCACGGATGACTCATCGAGGATCTTCGCGAAGTACTACTCCCCTCCACACCCTCCTTCCGGGATACCAGCCAACTCCTCAGATTATCCTGGCGCAAACCCGTATCCCACCGTGAAGGACCAGAAATCGTTCGAAAAGGGCCTGTTGGAGAAGACTGCCAAGCAAACCAGTGATATCATCTTGTATGACAATCGGGTCGTTGTGTTCAAGACGGAAGGCGACGTGATGTTGTATGTTGTTGGCGGAGCGGAGGAAAACGAGGTTCTGCTGTACAATGTTGTCATTGCGCTAAGAGATTCGTTGAACATTTTGCTACGGTATGTATAAAAATTGTATTTTCTTTCCTCTCTCCTCTCTCCTCTCTCCCAGGCTTTTTGTTTGTTTGAAAGGAAACTGACTGGGTTGGCGTCCTATTTCCGCACGTTCTTATAGATCCGGTGTCGACAAGCGCAGCATTATCGAAAACTACGACCTTGTTTCGCTAGCCGTTGACGAGATTGTAGACGATGGCATCTTCCTTGAAACGGATGCTGTACACATTGCCTCGCGTGTCAGCCGTGCTCCGGCACAGGATGTCCCAAATATGAAGGGAATCGATTTGTCGGAACAGGGCTTGTTGAATGCTTGGGAGTTTGGCAAGAGGCGGCTTGCGGAGCAGTTGCGGCATGGCTTGTGAAGAGACGGGCTTCTCGTTTTTGTTTGATTATGCCGACGATATCTATGCGTTGACGGGATACAGCTTCTGTGGGCATTGGCGTATAAGGTGTTACTTCGATTTTATGCGGTTCTCAAGCGAGAAATAACTTACACTTACATTTTTTGCGGAATATTTGTAGAATGGATTCCCTTCCTCTATTTGCATGTTCAATACCTATATGATCCTTCTTTTTTCTGTTTCTTACTCCTAATGAAACTGTGGAGTATCGAACTTTTTGCCGAGCTCAGCGTGAAGCCGAAAAGTTGGCGCATACCAACTCCTCGTGTTAATGTTCTTTATATGTATTTTCTTAGCCCTTATATTCCCAATGGGCAGGAATTCCGTCTTGCGGAGATAGAGTTAAAATCTTTTACTGGTCTATGTGTAGTTAAATTCTGCCCCACTATGTCACCCAAACTGCCTATTCTAAACAGAGGTGTAACTTCCATCCTCATTGCACTCACAACAATCACCCGGCCATTCTAGGCCCCCGTGAAAATGAAACAGAGATTCTCCTCTCTCGACGTCAAGGTCCGTCAATGCCGCTTGTTTTGGGTGAAGTTGTTCACACTCTAATTTAAACAGGTCATATCGAGGGAGCTCTCACAGGCTCTGGTTGGTCTACGAATTTCTAACATCTATGACCTGTCATCAGTATGCAGTTCCTCTCCCCATCAGTTAACACCTCTCAAACCCGATTTACTGAGATATATTCTACCATAGCGAATATTCCTCTTCAAGCTAGCCAAACCAGACACAAGAAGGCAACTCATTGTCGACGCCGGCTTCAGATGCCATCTTACGGAGTACTCTCGCACTACTGCCGCCGCCCCCTCCTCATTTACCAGTCGCTTGCGCAAGTTCCTGAAAACAAGAAGGGTCACAGCTGTCTCTCAAGTGGGCACAGATAGGATCGTTGATATCGAGCTTAGCGATGGCAACTTCCATGTCCTCCTAGAGTTCTATGCGGCAGGAAATATTATCCTAACCGACAAGGATTATAAGATACTTGCACTTCACCGGATTGTACCTGAAGGCAGCGACCAGGAAGAGGTTAGAGTGGGATTGCAATACGTTCTCACTAACAAGCAGAATTATAATGGGGTGCCGCCGTTATCTATTGAGAGATTAAGGGATGCATTGAAAAAGGCGAAGGGTGTTACGGGACCCGCCGAGGCTGCGGGGAAGAACAAAAGAGCGAAAAAGAAGCAGGCTGAAGCTCTAAGGCGAGCTGTCTCGCTGGGATTCCCGGAGTATCCGCCTCTGCTTCTTGAACATGCATTCCATATAACTGGTTTCGACACGAGTCTGAAACCGGAGCAGCTGCTAGAAGATCCCAAACTGGCGGAAAAGCTTATGGTGGCGCTTGTGGTGGCAGAAAATGTCAACTCCAGTCTTTCAACTGCGGAGGAAACGCCAGGGTATATTGTCTCGAAAACAGAAGGTAAAGCCGGAGAGGATGCCTCGGTGGATTCTACTGTTCCATCCAAGTCGAGCAACGTGGCGTATATTGATTTTCACCCTTTCGAGCCGAAGCAGTTTGAGAGCGAACCTGGAACATCAATTCTGAGGTTTGATACGTTCAACAAAGCAGTGGACGAGTACTTCTCGTCAGCCGAATCACAGAAACTCGAATCGAGACTCACTGAGCGTGAGGAAATTGCAAAAAGAAAATTAGAAGCTGCCCAGAAAGATCAGGACAAGCGTGTTGGGGTGTTGAAGGAGGCTCAGGAACTTCACATCCGCAAGGCGCAGGCAATCGAAGCCAATTTGCTGCGTGTTGAGGAGGCAATAAATGCAGTCAACGGGTTGATAGCGCAGGGTATGGACTGGGGCGAAATTGCTCGTTTGATAGAGATGGAACAGGGTCGCCAGAATCCCGTAGCCAATGTTATAAAATTACCGCTGAAGTTGTACGAAAATGCGGTTACCTTGCTTTTAGGGGAGCCTACGGAAAATGAAGAACCGATGGATGAATCTGAGGATGAGGCGGAAGTGGAAGAGGAGGAAGAACAGGAAAGTAGCGAAGATGAAGATAGCGGGAAGAAGCCTGGAGTATCCAAAAAACCACGGCAACCGCTACTATCTATTGATATTGATCTTGGGATCTCGCCCTGGGCTAATGCAAGACAATACTATGAACAGAAGAAAGTTGCCGCAGTGAAAGAAAAGAAAACTCTCAATTCCACCAAGGAGGCTATAAAAAGCACGAAAAAGAAGGTTGCTGCGGACCTTAAGCAGGCATTGAAACAGGAAAAGCCTGTGCTTCGGCCTACAAGGACTCCGTTCTGGTTTGAAAAATTCATATTTTTTTTGTCTTCTGATGGATATCTTGTTTTGGGGTTGGTGACCGTTCTCATGTCCTGCTGCTTTTTATTATGTTTTTATTGCTAACTGTGTGAGTAGTGGCAGAGACGTCCAGCAAACGGAAATACTGTACCGACGACATCTAAAAAGAGGGGATGTGTTTGTACACGCTGATGTTCAAGGAGCTATTCCCGTCATTGTCAAAAATAAACCGGGCACCCTAGATGCTCCTATCCCACCGGGGACTCTTTCCCAAGCCGGCAACCTCTGCGTAGCAACTTCAACTGCATGGGATTCTAAAGCGGTAATGGGGGCGTGGTGGGCGAATGCCAATCAAGTATCCAAGACTACGCCATTAGGTGAATACCTTGTAACGGGTGGTTTTGTTATCTGTGGCGAGAAAAATCAGCTTCCCCCGGCTCAACTTCTCCTCGGGTTTGCAGTAATGTTTCAAATTAGCGGAGAAAGTATCAAGAATCATACCAAGCATAGAGTACCGGATGAGGCTCCTACCTCAGAGAGTGCGAAGGATACTCTAGGGACCGAAGAACTACCCTCTAGTCTCGGTTTGGAAACGCCAAAATACTCTAAAAGAAATGAGACAGATCATCAGCATCAAGAGTCTGATAGTACGGATCAAGAAAACGGGGAAATTGAAAAAATTGCGGACAATAAGCGAACAAATCCCTTGTTACATGATGGGGCCGAATCGAATCGTTCTGGAAGTGAAGGTGAGGAACCGAACATTGGAGAAAATGGATCCCAAGATGTCGACGCTAGATATGACAAGGGATATGATAACTCTAGATTCGAAGCTGTGGAAGTACCAAAATTGGGAGAAATGGAAAACTTACCCAAGGAAGAGGCCAGCTCCGAAACGCAAACGGACTCCATCACAACACAACCTGCCAAACACCCCTTTGTCAGGGAAAGACGTATGTTGAAAAATGGGATCTTCGAACAGGTCCCTGCGCGCCTGACTGATCCTGCGTCCCATTCAGCCACCAATGTACCATCACGTTCCTCAACTCCATCCATAGGGGCATCAACCGCCACGCCAAACATCCGCGGAAAACGCGGTAAAAACAAAAAAATCGCCACCAAATACCAGCACCAGGACGAGGAGGACCGTGAGCTCGCTCTCCGCCTCCTGGGTTCCGATTCTAACCCGGATAAGCTTCGCGAAGCTGCCAAACGCAAAGCGGATCGACTGGCCGAGCTTGAAGCCCAAAAGCAAAGACGTCGTGCACAGCACGATCGAGCTGCTCGGGCTGAGCGAGAGCGACAAAAGGCATTGCAACAACAAGCAGAGACACGGGCGGGTGGTGATGGTGCTGACGGTGGTGATACGCAACTCGATGCAGATACTGCGGCTGATCTTTCTTGTCTTCCTTCACTCATTGGCACTCCTGTGGCAGGTGATGAAATCGTCGCAGCAATTCCCGTCTGTGCACCTTGGACAGCCCTCAGCCAGTATAAGTATCGCGCCAAGTTACAGCCTGGGACTGTCAAGAAGGGGAAGGCTGTCAAAGAAATTTTGGGAAAGTGGATTGTCGATGCGACATCGGATGCGAATGCAATAAAAAAAGGAATGAGGAAGTGGAAGCGGAAGCAGGGGGACCACGAAAGTGATGGCGAGGCTGTCAATGAGAATACGAACGAGGAAACAGGGAGAGAAAATGAGGGTAAAGGAGAAGACCGCAACAATCATGGGCTTAATCAGTTAGCGCAGGTAGAGCTTGAGCTTATAAAGGGATGGCGGGATGTTGAAATCATGAATACGCTCCCTGTAAGCAAGGTTAAGATTGTTTCTGGCGGTGGCGGTGGTGGTTTAGGTGAAAAGGGCGGGGAACGGAAGGGTGCCAAAACCAGTGGAGGTGGAAGGAAGAGTGAGAAGAGTGGGGAGAGTAGGAAGGGAGGGAAGGGGGGGAAGGGGAAGGCCAAAGGAGGTAAATAATGGAGGAGCGTTGGGTTATCTTAGAGAGATGGAAATGTATACTTGTGCATTAGTCCAGTATAGACCAGGGTGCGAAATTACTTGAAAGCGAATATAAAAGCCAGAAAGATCCTATCTCGAAGAATGTGTTTGGAATATCTCTAAGTGAACTTTCCCGCAAAACCTCTTATACTAAATTGAACGGTAACGGACATCAACAGCATGCGTATGGCCATCATGAACTACGTTGTTAGAGTGGAAAACGGTAGCAAAATTTTTATATACTTCTCATCTATCAACGTGGGACGAAAAATATACCAACAAGAGATGAGACGGAATTTATTTTATTTTATTTTATTTATTTTTTTTTTTAAAAAAAAAAGAGGAAATCGACTATCATTATCCTCGAATCTCTTCCTCAGCTGCTTTTCGCAACCGGTTCATAATTGCAGCCGCGAGATCACCTTCAGTATCAGAGATGCCCTCAACATATATAATGGAGACATTCTTCTCGTCTAAACCGCGAAGAGCAGAAAATAAGCCTCTTGCAATAGAGTCTGTGTCTGGGCCGATGTCGATGTCGAATAGTTCGATTGGGGTCCCCACATCTAGATCTGCGGACGGGACTAGCCGTAGACAAGTGGGATGATAGAGAGTAACAGGTGAAGAGGAATCGAGAGGATCTGTAAAGGTATTGGATATACTCGATGCTTCAGAACCAGTTGCTCCATCGCTGATATCACAATCAGTACCTGTGATGCCCAATCCCATCTTCCAGAACTTTGCCCTGACGATCCCTACGCGGGGGATGGAGGATGTGATCTTTTCCCCACCATGTCCCTCATGGCCCGCAGCGACGGATAGATCACGAAGCAGTTTACTTTTAACAGCTTCGACGTCTTGTCCTGCTTCGAATAGCACAACCTTCGCCTTTGGCGAATAATGTTTATATTTCATCCCGGGGGCCCGCGGAACCTCTTTACCCTGCAATGCGCCATCTTTATACCCAATCTGAACATCCTCCCAACCAGGGCAGGCTCGGATCTCTTCAATACCAACTCCTCCCGGCCGGAGTACGGCTGGTGGATATAGTAGCCCGTCGACCACAGTGCTTTCCACCCCAACACCGCACGGGCCTCCATCCAAGATCATATTAATTCGCCCTTGCAGATCGGCATATACATGCTGAGCAGTGGTGGGGGATGGTTTGGTCGAAGCATTTGCAGACGGTGCGGCAAGTGGCCTATCGGCGAGATAGATGAGAAGTCGCGCAACTGGAGACGATGGCATTCGAACGCCAAATGTGCGAAGTGTAGAAGTGACCTCTGGGGCGAGTGGGGAGGGTGTTGGGTTTGGGAGGATAATAGTCAACGGGCCAGGCCAAAATTTACTTATTAAAGGCTCGTATATTGGTGGGATGAAATTCCTTTTTCCTCCTTGTTGAGATCCCTCCGTTCTCGAGCCGTATTCGCCTCGACTTGGACTGCTAGAATGCGGTTGAAGGAGACGCTGTAATTGCTCCTTTGAGCTCACGTGGACGATGAGGGGATTGTCTGACGGCCGCTGTTTTGCTTTGTAGATACCCTGAACTGCAGCGCTCCGTGTCGCATCCGCACCTAATCCATACACAGTCTCCGTAGGAAATGCCACCGGTATATCGCTCGTGCGCAGTGCTTCTGCTGCTTCAAGTAAAACTTTTGCCTCCGGGTTGCCCCGATCATTTTCTACTGTCCACTTTTCAACCAACGCCTTCGTCGTGTCCTGGATTGGAAAATTCAAAGAGTGTACAGGGAAAACGCAGGTAACTCTCTCTCCTGCATTTCTGTTGATTTCTTTCGGGGTCTTCCCCGGCAGACCATTCCGAGCTGCCATGACCGGGAGAACTTTATGCGCAGTCGGGAAGCGGAGAGCGGGGAAGAGGCGATTCGGATTTATCAATGCCGTTTTAGCAACTTCAAGGCTTTTCGTCGTCCCTTCTCCTCCGCGAGCGTGGCGAATTATATTATATGAAGAAACTATGTTCGGGTACCTGGCAGGTACAAACGAAACTATATACGCAAATCAAGTAAATCGTTGCGCGCGGAGCGATACTAGGACGGCTGGCTGTAGGGCATAGGCGGGACTGAATACATTCTCAGCAAATAGAGTGAAATATGTACCATTTCAATAAAAGCCGGATATGTTGAAATAACAATAAATATCCTAGACAGCAGCCCATTAGGTAGTAGCGGTGGATATCCGTTCATTGAGTTGTTTTGCTGAAGCTGAGATTTGGCTGCTTGAACTTTTTTTTTTCAGTTGTTCGATGACGTCAGCACAGCATTTCGATACCTAGTCAATACAGAAAATTGTCCACAACATCTGCAAAAGAAAACAGAAGAATATGTTTGACCAGGCACTATAACACGGCAGTTTATTGTATAATATTTACTCGGTTATACCTAATGATACGTGTGAATGGCAATCAATCTCAGGTATGTATCACTTTCTCAAAACTCCTTCCGAGTCAATTTGAGAGGGGAAATGTACAGTCGTTAATACATGAGGCTACGAAGTAAACGCACAGCACTCGCTTCGTTCGAGTCATTAAGTACAGAAGGGGAGAAAGGTTACAAGAGCAAGAGCACAGAAGAAGGATGAGCTATAGATATTTTAGCAAGGTTAAAGTTAAGACATGTGAGACTCCACTGGGATATAAAACGAAGATGACTATCCATTGAGCGATAAATATCTATTCAACTCCCGCTTTTTGGCATTGTTATAGAAGATAAATTTATAGAAGAATGATCCGTCCTAGATATTCAGCCACTATATCACCGATAGGACTGCGTCTGAGTGTGGTGGTGAGAATGAAAGCTCAAGAAAATAGACCTTTCGATGGTTGGAAATTCTCGCTGATCGGAGAAAAGTGATAAACAGCCACAGTAAATGCCTCGCATGTTATTCTCCAACCGAAACGTTCTCAAGCTTGTAAACCTCGTAACCGGGCTCCTCGTAGGGATGAGCCTTGACAAGCGCTTTTACAGCTTCCTGCATCGTAGCTCGACCCATGCACAAGACTTCCACGCGCATTTCTTCAACAACCTCCAGGGAACCGACTTTACCGATGGTCGGATTTGCATCCCCCCCAGGGAGGAATTGGCCGGTACCCGGGGATTGGAAGCAGACCTTAGTGTATTTCCCTTGTGGGTATTGACCAGCGCCTGCGTCGAATACGGCGTCTTTGCAAGCCTCCACATGAGTTAGCGGTGCAAAGAAAATAAGCTTGAAGCGATCTTGGTCCATGAGAGGCGATGAAACGTAGGACCTGGCTGGTGAGGATGGAACTGGATGCGGGGAGGAAATAGTTGAATGACGGGTTAGTGTCGAGATCCTGGGAATGCGCCCAATAAAAGTGAGGAGCATTCCTTTTCTATCCACACTTCCTCTCTTTTCTTCTCGGCTTGTTGTAATAGAACTGGGGGAAATAGGACCGTATCGATGCTGTTGTTCGTGGTTAATGGGGGATTTCACAGCGCTGTTGACCTTCTTGTTAGCGATGACATAAGACACCGATGTGCCGCTTTTAATTGGTCAGTGGACCTTGAAGCATCAACCAGAACAATTTGGTCGTTATTTCGATCGTCAACTTATTCCCACTTCCAATTGTCTGCCATCATCCTTTTAGTCTCTAATTCCTAGGGTCCTGCTCGACATCAGGCCTTGCCGCTCCTAATTCTTCCAGGAATGGCATCCAAATTGGTCCCCTTTGCTTTGCGGCCGGGCCGTTTTGCTCTCTCTCGCTTCCCAAGCCGACAATGTCGGCCGTTCACAGTTGCGGCGCCCCTCCGGAGTGATACCCTCGCAGTCGTATGTCTATTTGACCTGTATACGTGAATACCGCAAGTATTTAAGCTAATATAAATGGCTACGTTAGCACAGAAACACCCCTGAAAATAACCCCGGCATCCCCTTCAAATTTTCTGAACAGAACCTCAAACTTATCGATGAGATACTCCTAAGATATCCTCCACAGTATAAGAAGGCAGCGGTCATGCCAATCCTAGACCTTGGTCAGCGGCAATATGGGTACACTAGCATCAGCGTTATGAACGAAGTCGCGCGCATACTGGAGATGCCCCCGATGAGGGTGTATGAAGTTGCGACATTTTACACCATGTACAATCGGGATCCCGTAGGGAAATACTTTGTTCAGGTTTGCACGACTGTACGTATTGACTGCTTAACTAGCCATACAATTATTTCTCTTATCCTCCTAGCTCCATCTAGAGAGTGATCCCCTACTAACCCAGCATGATTTTGCCTCTCTCGTTAGACACCATGCCAACTAGGCGGATGCGGTAGCGCCAAAGTTATGAAAGCCGTCACAGACCACCTCGGAGTCTCCAATGGCCAAACAACCCCAGACAAGCTGTTCACCGTTCTCGAAGTCGAATGTTTGGGCGCCTGCGTGAACGCGCCCATGATTCAAATCAACGACGACTATTACGAGGACCTCACCCCAGAATCTGTAGTGTCTCTTCTAGATGCCCTAAAGGGGGCGGAAACGGATAAATCTGTCGAGGTTCCCGCCCCCGGCCCTCTCAGTGGTCGGAAATCGTGTGAGAATAGTGCTGGTTTGACCAATTTGACGAATCCATCATGGAGTCCAGAGCTGATGAGGTCGGATGGGGAGCTGTAAGAATTTAATACTATATCAAGTCAGAAAATCAATGGAATTGGGGTTCATAAGGAGGAAAAGTCCGAAACTTTTTCTTCTGATTGATTCGGAATGTTTTTTCATTCAACTTCGGCTTCATATTTCCCCAGGTGTTTTAACTTCTGGGTGCATATTATAATGCCTTTTCCTTTCCTTCTCATAATGTTTAAGTCCTTAGAATCCTCTAGTCAATGTAGAATAAGAAATTAGCCTGTATTCAACGCACACTTTATCATTCCCGCATCACTATAGGCACATGGGAAGAATGGTAAATCCTCCCTTCACGCAATATAGCTTATCGTATTATATTAATTTCTAGCTCGTGCGGTAGTGCGGTTTTACGTATATTGGCTATCATTTGATCAACAACTCTAACACATATCCTTCAACGATAGAGCGAAATAGAAGAAATTCACCAAAGACTAACACCAGAAATATCCCTATCCCAGATACTAGAACAAGAAGAGGGAAAAATTCCGCTTTGAAAATCAAGGTTTCTCTCATCTCCACATAGACAAATGGGATTCAAAAAGTGAACAGGAATGAAAGAAAATAGGTTAGTTTGCAAGAGGAAGCCCTCCAACACCCAAATAACAAAGGTCCGCAATCACCAAAACTCAGACTTCAGAAGCATTACTACCATCCAACGAACTCCCCTTCCATTCAACCTCGTCCGTGGGCAACAAAACATCATCACTTGACAAAGAGAGAAATCCGCCATCTCTTTTCACCAACCGCTCCCGTCGACGCTGCTCAAAAATATTTACCTCAATCGTTTTTAGCGCAAGGAAGTGGTATATATGCACATGCTTCTGTTGACCGTAGCGTCGAGACCGACCAGTTGCCTGTGCCATTCCCGAATTGTAATCGTACTGTGATTTCGTGAATAGGGGGTGGAAAAAGATAACGTGGTTTGCGTTTTGAAGGTTTCTGTGGCATTGGTTAGGGATCAAACGCTGAAAGGTTATATAAATCTAATATATTCATATTGAAAAGGGCATCAATGGAGGGAGGGGCTGATATTCGCAAAAACTTACAATCCAGACGCTGACACATCTCCTAGGTGCAAGATGAGAACCTTGCTCCCAACCTTTTCAGCCCTAGTCTGGAATTCTGCTATCTTAGACGAGGACGTTCGATCGTTGACGGAGATCATGAGATGAGGAATGTTCGCTTTCTGCAGCGCAGCAGAAGCGGCTTCCATGAGATCTGGAAATTGTATGAAAAGTAGCACCTGTTCGTCTTCTGCGATCCTCTCGGTATCTTGTACTAGCCTTGTCAACTCTAGAAGTTTTGTCCCACCGTACTCTTGCCACTTTTCGCCATTGGCATTGTTGTCGGTGAGTCTGTTGTTGATGAAGGCAATGTCAGAGTAATTGATCATCCGAAAAGCTTCTGCGCCACCACTACATGCAGGAAGACGACACGTTTCCTCAACTCTGGCAATCTCGATGCAGGCTTCGCAAAAAGCATGCCCGCATTCACCAAGGATGGTAAGTGAAGTTAGGTTGGTGAGCCGCCGGAAACATGAGGAGCAAGCAAACACATCTTCTGGCTGCCGGCCCTGGAGTGCCCGGACGACAACGAAAAGCCTAGCAGCTCTTACACGAACCAGGGCTTCTTCAAGAAGTCTCCGCAAGCTGTCAGTGCAAGTGTTAAGGTCACTAATAAATTCTGATGGCGTTTTGGGAAATTCAAGGCGAATGTCTGCTGGGTTTTGTTTTTTCTATACATTTGTGTCAGTCCGTAATAAATCTATTTGTATTTGTGGTGTGTACCTCTTGAGCTGTTAAATAGTAGCATTGTCCATCTTCAGATGTTTGTGCTGTGCGCGCAGCGGAAATTGCTTTGCGAAAACATGAGGTAACCCCTAGGTCACCAGCCCCATTCCTCTCCAAATGTTTTATCAGTGTATCGAAATGTGTTGTATTTTCAATTTTGGATCGCAACCAAAAAGCATGTCTGAGTTTATCAATTATATCTATTGTAAGATCATAGAGCTGTCGATCTCTTGCGTTTTCCTCACTCGAGCAGAGTGAGGTGAGATCTGTTACAGGTGACTTTAAATCCTTTCCATCACCACTTTCCACATTGCTGCATGCGTTGGGCGGCCTTGCAGAATCGTCCATTTTGATACCCCTTGTTTTATCAATCAATCGTTTGCCCATTACCCTTTCGAGGGGTACAAAATGGGAAGAGCATTTTATCAGCGCTTCTTCGGGTCCGCTGCTATTTCCCAGTATAACATCATTTCGAGACATTGCAGAAGAGTCGTATAGGCCTCTTCCGTTTCTACGCAGCTTTAGATTCTGAGACATTAACTGCATGAACAACTCGAGGTAGGCTGCTCGCTCTCGTGGCGCAATTGTAATGGGGCAGATATGTTCTGTCCAAGGTATTTCATCAATACCAGGTACATTCTAGGGAAATCAGAGTGCCATAATATCAGCCATATCCCACAATCGTGAAGGGGAGCAGTGGAAATTACCTTCCGCATAAATTGGTCAAGAAAGCTCTGGGCTACATTATGTCGTCTTCGATGCCATGCTGTACTACGTCGGGTAACGAAAGGTTGGAATTGTTCGGCATCTACCCAGTTAGCACGTACGTCGAGTAACAATTATGCCAGATGCTTCGTGCAAATACCTGTCTGCTCTCGTTGAATCGTTCTCAGCCTTTCGTTTTCTGTCTTTCTCACGCTCATCGTCATCTACTCCGAGCGTGATGCTAGAAAGGGAGAAAATGATTTGACATCCGCAGTCATTGAGATTCGGCGTCTAGATCGATCACTTGCTACGAGCGGGGATAGAAAGCACTGATGAATAGTTTCGATCCTTCGAGTACGTGAATTCGTCTATCACAATTCGGCTGTATTCAAACATATGAATTAGAGGGGATCGCATTCTTTTCCAATCGCCGTTGCAATTCAGAAGTTGAAACGTTTTGTCGAACTCGCTACCGGGTCCAATTCTTTTCGATTTCTTTGCCTGAGGGGCTTTGGTTGCCTCCGAATTTGCAATATCGGGTTCGTTTCCCCTATCGTACTCCATTGTCTTCCTCTTCTTATTTTGCAATTTCGATTGAACGATGTTGAGTTTGGTTTCTGAGTCGTTAACTGTTTCGTGCGTTGCCGCGCTATCATTGTTAATTTTCTGCATCTTTTTCTTGAGGTTAAGCAGATGGTCTTGGAATTTTCGCCCCTTTAACCGCCTAGAAGGCTGGAATCTTGAAAACACTCCACTGTTCCTAAAATCAGCTTGCTTCTGAATCATGTTATGGAGTACTACTTCGGGTCCTTTTGTCAGAAGAAGGTCGACGTGATCCCTAACGGCGGCCGTCGCGTCACTCAGCCATTCATCAAATATCCTACCATCCCCTTTCGGCACCGCAGATGTTGCTGCAAAAAGCTCCATCCTTTCATAGTAGCTCGCTCCACGAATCACGGAGGTTGAAAGTAACACAATGTCAGCTATTTCAAATCGAAGAATAGTTAGTGATCGTAGCGAGGCAATTGATTTGATCTCCAAAACATTGTACTTCTTGCCCAAAAATTTGGTAATTTCTCGAGACCATTGATCAATCAAATGATGAGGAACCACGATCAAAGTAGCCTTGATTGGAATCGCCCCTTTCACAAAACGAGGCACATTTTTTACATCCTTGGTGAATTGATAGTCGATTAAACCAAGAGTTATAGCTGTTTTTCCATATCCAACGTCATCGCCCAAAATACCACCGCGCACAAAATGTTTAACCGTGGCTTTTGCTTCCGCCCTCCAATTTATAGCTGGTAACATTGCCTCCACGACCTCCTCCTCTTGGAAAGGCTGAACCATATCCTCCTGCTCTTTCATCCAGGTAAGTGATCGCAATTGCTCGGGCCGGAGATTAAAGAACTTGAATCCGGGAGGTTGTGTTGATTCAATGTCGCCTTTGTTGTTTTGCTCCTTCAACATAGGTAGTCGCTGGCGAAGAAAACCGACATTATCAATGCAGACGCGCCATTCCAGAGAGACTTGGGACACTTGCTCCTTTTTAACCAGCTTTCCCCTTGCTTGATGAATAAGGGTTATCACATTCAAACATAGTTTTACCTGTAGAATAGAATCATGACCAAACCTAGTAAACCCCAGAAACGTTGCTGGTCGTTTCTTTATGCTTTGTTCATACACGGCAGCATCCTCTGGGTCTTCGTACGCATAGATGCGGTCTTTTTCGTCCAAAGCCCATAATAGTCGAGGTTTTCGAGGCGCGCAAATATCACACTCTTTTCCGCATTCCTCATTATCCAGACATATGCCAGTCCATTCGCTAAATTGTTTCACTGAACTGGCCGGTTGTAACAACCATGAAAGTTTTCTTAGAACAGCTGGTGATTCCATCAGATTTGAGACCTTCCATGTACCAGGTTCCCAGGACAATTCTGCGCCAGTTGCAGGAATTGAGGATACAAGCATCGGTACGTAAGAATTTAGACATTTGGATCCGATGCTTGTAGCAATAGTTTTGGGGGTTGTAGTCTGGTAGAAAGGAGATGGGGAGTAGATGTCAAGAGAGACCATGTCAGTCATAGTGGTCTTTCGGAACCAGCAGCGAACGGACTCGGGCTCATTGGAAACGGTACATGAATCCCAATTCGGGCGCAACTCTGCTATTATAATACGCGCCTCCCCGATATCCAGCCGATCATGGCTGAGCGCAAAAACCCAAGAATCAAACTCTGCAGGACCAATATCTGTAGGGTCCAGGAAACAGTAAACAGGAGGGTCACAGCCAGACACCATTTTCTTATGCAAGCTTCCACTAGCGGCACCACAGTCTTGCAGAAGCTCGTATTCTCCGCGGATATCAAACTCCAAATTTTGAACAGCAGCATCAGTTGCGGATATATTGATTTTACTCCAGACCTTAGCATCAGCAAAGTGCGAGCGCTTCAACCCAGCTCGCGAACCGATAGATGGAAGTACATTTCCCTTACCAGAAACAAAAATATCAAAATATGAACTAATTGGGGACGTAATATGCCAAATTCCATTCAATATATTCTTGCCGGACGGGGTCATGGAAGCGATGGGATAACGTAAAACTTGCCGGAGGGGAGAATTGCTCGGTTCATCTTTTGGTGGCTTAAGGTAAAGGGACCATTGCAACCTTGTGGAAGAGCAAACAAATTTTAGTACGGATAAGGATCCTGTATACGTTATCGTCCAGGATCTCTTTCGGGTCACCCCTTGATATCGCAGCTCATCCCCTAATGCTGGAAGAAGGACTTTGAAAAAATCATCCCACGTCGACGAAACGTCAACCGGCAGATCGTCTTGCTTTAGTTCTCGGTATAACGCAAGGGGTAGTCCGTTAACTTGAAGTCTCATCGGCAGCTTTTTCTTCAATTGGGTCTCGAAATCTATTGGGGACACCCGCGCATTCAATTCATCCTTGGGAATTGGAGAATATACATGTGGAGGATTGCGTCCACATGATTTGCATGCAGTAAGCCCGCATTTCAAGCATATCAACATGTCAGTTCTTTTCGTCAATGCTTGGCCTTCACAAATACACATTCTCGAACTTCGCTTTCCGATTTCGAAAACCTCGTGTGTAGATAGCACAATTTCGTCCCCCGAATGAAGGGGGACGAGCTCCACAGTGTCATTGTCAGCAATTTGCATCTGAGTTATAAAGTGTTCTTCGTTTTTGGAGTTTCTTCCGCCAGTTTTGCCAGGCGCAAGAGCCTGGTATCCTACAATCAAAGCACTCATAATCGCCACCCCTACAACAGTTGAGCTCATCGCGTTGCCTGCAAGATCGTTGAGATCTCGTTGACTGTCATTGCCTAACAGTAACCTATCGATAGGAATTCCCTGCAGAGCCAACGCCTCGATACCTAAGAGAGGACCACCCCGCGAAGTGACAAAGTGTTGACCCCGTGGAGTCAAACAACCAGAAACCCCGGATGCACGCTGGTCCAGCTCCCTGTCAAGCCCCTGAGAAAGGTCGATGATCCGGCTATCAATTTGTTAACATATATCATGAACATGGAAAGCCCAACGCGACTTACGATTTGAAGTTGATATCAAAACCTCTGATTATGCTCCGCAGGTAATTTACGTCAAGCGTATCCCAAACACGTTCGGTCTGCACCTTGCTCCATCTGTGCCAATAGAAGTCAGGCATTTGACAGCTACCGTTGTCCTGCCAACGAGTAAGAGGTCTTTTATCCCCAAGTCCTTCCCTCATCCTATACCGAAGGTGACGTGCTTTGTACCGAGTCCAATCAACGGCCTGGCGGTCCTTGGTTGTGTTGCAGGATATATCATCGATGGCGTCCAGCAAACGAGGGTCGTCGTTTTTAAGTAAGAATTGCGTGACGGGAGAACTCGCAGGGCGTTCAAAGTTTTTCATCATCTTCGCAAATGCGGATGATTTAGAGTCTGCAGGAGGTAGAGTTTCAAGTCTGGTTTGGTCTATGCAGAGCATATATCCTCTCTCACGAGTTTGTGGCAGGTAGTAGTTTTTCGTGTCTACTTTAATGTGATAGGCGTGGTAATCAATTTCCTTGAGAGCATCCTTGATATGGCCCCATGGGGCTCCGCAGACGTTCTCTAGGATCATTAAGGGTGGCCTACAACGTTGAGTGTATCGCAAGACGCCATAAAATGTATGGCCTGATTCCCCCATTTCGTCCAGAGTTTTGCGGTAGAGGTTCATATTTGAAAAATCCACACAAGAGAATCCAACAACCAGTAGATCCAAAGTCGAAGGCACTTTCCGGAGTGAACCAAATGCAGTAACTCTGGGGATCAAATCAGTATACGATCCTTTCAAGGGAGAATCGTACATACGCTTCATCAGCAATTAGCTCATTGACATCTCGAAAAATAATATCGGGTGAGAAATTCCGCTGGATGTATGACTGTTTGAAAGGATCTATCTCTGCACTGAATAAATGGCGCATGTTGAACTTCTTGCCAAAGATCTTTTTAAAACCTATGGCCATTAGCAAAATCAAATAAAGAACTATACGGGTCACGTACTAGCCATCACCATTTCTAGAGCGAGAAGAGGCGCTTCAGTACCAGAACACATGGTGGCGACGCGAAGATCTCGCGAGCCAATGTGATCGAGGAAGTTATTAAACCCATTCCTTTCGGCATTGATCGAAATATCGTCAAATATATCCTCAATTTTGCTTATTGGAGGGAGGTTGAAATCTAGTCCAGGCTTGGGTTTCTTTCCAGGCAGTGAGTGGTATTTGCCTCTCAAGATTTCTGGAGGTGAATTTATCGATATTCTCAGGTCGTTTTCCTCGGATACATGGGCGTTGTCGTCACCAACATTTTCCGACACGGAGGTGTTAGTTTCCAAGCCAGGATTGGAGGAAGTAAAGGTATCAGGAGTGACACTGGAGTTAACAGAGTTTTCTTCATCAGTTGGATCACTAAAGACTTCGTCCATGGGAAATGGTTTTGTTTTCTTGAGGAGATGGAACACTGTCTCCTCCCGCTTGACATGTCGAGAGAGAAAATTAGCTGGTGGTCTTATCTAGAAAAAAGTTGGTAAACGGTTACCTTCTGGCTCATTGTAATTGCAAAATCTTTTTGCCAAAGAAGGCAATATATAAAAACGCGTAAGTTTCTCCAGCCTTCTCTTAAATTCTGAAAGAAAAGATGATTGAGGGTAATGAAACAAGAGGATGAGGGTAAGTGAATCCACATGACGGGCCTGTTATCTGTAGATGAAATGATCTTGTTTGTTGACAAGTCAGGGGTTGGACAAGCGATGAGAATAACATCAACACACTGAATAACATTAAACATCTAAAGCCTGTAGGCTTATTGTTATCTAAAAGACATGATTTGAGTGTATTCCATGAGCTTCTCACAGAATCAATCTGCAGTGTTTGCATCTCACTAAACTGCTATATTTGATAAGGTCTGATAGGCCAGCGACAGAGGGTGGAAAGCCAATGGATATCCATTTCATAGAATGCACCTCAAAACCTTCATCAAGAAAAAAGTCGGAATATCCCAACCGGAGCTTGGATATTTCCCGCCGGGCACTCAAAAAGAAGTCATTTGTAGACGAGGTGTAGTGGAAATTAGCCCCTGTGAAGACTAATAGATATTGGAGTCATCTGCGAAAGAAGTCATCTGCAAAGAAAATACCGCATCATTCGAATATACTCAAAGCCATCCGATATATCATGGATGAGAATTTAAAACTGGCCGGGCAACGGGTATATAAAGATACTGGCCGAGACCCCTTTCTGAGGCCAGCCAAACAAGAGTAGAAATTTTGACCCATACTAGTAGTTAGCAAATGGACGTAACAAGGCCAGAAAGCAGATTTCGAACAAAATTGCATGGAGTCGAATGGCAACATAACTCCTCCAAATTCGGCAGGCGTATATCCTAATAACAACTTGAAGGTATAAAAAAATGTCAGATAAGCAAGATCCAGTTTAAATATCAAAGCAGCATTTGCTAACAAATACTTGAAACACGTGTTTCTTGCAAGGGCACTGATAGAATGACTTGTGTGATGTTTTGCCAAGGTTGTGGATATATATTTTTCTTGGAAGTTGTGGCCACAGGTTTAGCGCCTGCCGCGCGCCTGCAAAGTCTCAACTACCAGCGTTACAAAATCCAAAAGTAACAAAAAGGCATGCGGAAGCATTGCGTAAAATTTGCTCTTCAAGATTTGAATAATATTACAGCGCCGTTATAACCCTAAAAAAGAACACAACTAGAAGTGCCGTAGAAAATGTGTATTTTGCCCTAATTTGTCCTTCTCGCCAAAGGCCAGTACGGCGTAGCAAGGAAGAACACTGCAAAACCATGTAACAAGAGCATATCAAGGAACCGTCACCATTGCGCCATATTCCCGTATCTTCCGCCGTAAGCAGTAGGATTCATTTCGATATGAAAATGCAAACAAAATCAATTCATAGCCTACAACCCCCAAACTATCGCATTCCCCCTTGGAGCAGCTGCTGCCTCAGCAACATTATCTGGCTACGTTCCGTAGGTGGCAGCGCATCTATCGCAGACTGTGGCATGTTCAATACTTGCTGAAGCAGCTCGTCCTGACTGGGAATCGGAGCAGGCTGTTGCTGAGTTTGAGGTTGAGTTTGAGGGGGAGCGAAAGCGGCATGTTGTACTGGGGGCGTAGATATTTGGCCGGGGATCGATGGATATGGTTGGAACTGTTGAGGTATCTGAGGTGTCGGCTGTGGTGGAGGCGGCTGAGGCTGTGAGGCATGTTGAACAACAGAGCCAAGCACGCTGTAATCAACGAGATTCATGAGTAATAACGCTTGGAATATGGCATAAGCTAGATGGGGAGCTTGTCTTAATAGCTCTGTGGCGCGAGCCGGGTCTGCCATCACCAATGACTTCATCTGCGTAATAACATCGAGTAGTTGAGGAGCCGGGAGGGAAGCGAGAGTTTGCGATATCGCGTTGGGGCAGGTAAGATTTGGCGGGAGTTCCGTTCCTGGAGGTAGCGGCGGCAGCGCAGACGCTTGCGACTGGTCTTGTCCCTGCATCCCCTGCATTATACCCATTTGAGGCTGTTGGGGGTAGTCTGGAGGAACGGAATCTTTCTCATTGTTATGTGGCCAATCCACTCTTATCTTGCGACCCATAATCTCGTAATCATTCAGGTTCCGTACGGCAGAAGCAGCAGCGTCTGCGTCCGCAAAATCGGCGAATCCATATCCCTTTGGTTTTCCGGTCTCGGGGTTTATCATCAACCGAAATTTCGTAACAGTGCCTGCGGAGCTGAGGATGTCTTTCACCTGCTCTTCCGTAAGGTCTGCTAAATTGTAAGCTGAGCTGAACCTACAACATGCGAGTGTATTGGTCCAATGAATGGCTTACTGTAGGGGATATTCCCAAGGAAAACGCTTTTACCGAAGCGTTCTGGAGGCATTTTCAAACATGCATCACCCAAGTGCTAGTTGTAAATTATTTTGGAAGCAGTCGACAATGCAATCTTCAGCGCCGGTGCATATGAGCTTTGAATGTTCCGTTTGGTTGATAGACCAGGAATTGCAAGCTGAGTTTCATATGTGCCAGTGAAAGTTCACAGAAGCGCTAGAGACGCCTTTCCTTATCAGGCCTAGTGAGATCAACTCCGAACTTTTGATCTTCCATCCAACAAGTACACTTGGATTCCTGTCAGTAAACAGCCCTAGCCAGCCGGAATTCCCTTTCCACATCTTCGTTTTGGCATCATCATGGCTGGAGATCCTCGTGAGACGTGGGCTAGGCTGCAGCAGTCCCTGCAGCAGCAGCGGGCAAAAGGCGGATTTCCGGGAGGGGGCAGCCCAAGAAGAGCTTTTGGGGGTGCTGGAGCCTTGATTGCACTTGGGTTGGGGGCATATGTTTTCATGAATTCCCTCTTTAACGGTGAGTCTTTACCTTCCGGAAGCCAAAAGAAACCCAAGTTTAACTAACGTCATTTTTGCATTTTCCCAGTTGACGGTGGTCATCGAGCAATCAAATATACGAGAATAGGCGGCGTGAAGAAAGACATCTATAATGAAGGTGGGTTTTATTTATTCAATTACGCACCTACGTTCCACTGCCTAAACTTATTTGTCAAAAGGAACCCATCTCCGGATTCCGTGGTTTGAAACTCCTATCATCTACGACGTTCGCGCGAAGCCGAGAAATGTTGCCTCCCTCACGGGCACCAAGGACTTGCAGATGGTGAACATCACCTGCCGTGTCCTTTCCCGCCCAAGAGTCGATGCCCTACCTCAGATATATCGTACCCTAGGGACTGATTTTGATGAGAGAGTTCTTCCATCGATCGTCAATGAGGTGCTGAAAGCTGTGGTGGCTCAATTCAACGCCAGCCAACTTATTACACAGAGAGAGAACGTCGCCCGTCTTGTTCGCGATAACCTTTCAAGACGCGCTGCTCGTTTCAACATCGTTCTTGATGATGTTTCCCTAACGGTATGATACGGAAATCAATACTTCCTACTTTCTCTATTCGTTTTTTCATTCATAACTAAACGTTTTTTTTTTTTTTTTTTTTTTTTTTTTTAAATCAACAGCATCTTGCGTTCTCACCTGAATTCACCGCCGCTGTGGAAGCCAAGCAAGTTGCTCAACAGGAAGCCCAGAGAGCTGCATTCGTCGTCGACAAAGCACGTCAGGAAAAACAGGCAACCATCGTGCGGGCGCAGGGTGAGGCGCGGTCCGCTCAGCTGATTGGAGATGCCATTAAGAAGAGCAAGAGTTACATCGAGCTGCGCAAACTTGAAAATGCCCGGAACATTGCAACGATTTTACAAGAATCTGGTGGAAAGAACAAGCTGTACCTAGATTCAGAAGGCTTGGGACTCAACGTCAACGTCAAGCACGACTCCTTTTTATCGTTAAAGAATTGCAGAATAATAAGCGGAGCGATGAGGCTGCAGCGAAACCCTTTTATTGTGATAAGTAGCATTGGCTCCAGCGTATCGAAAAGGCATAAGATTTCTGAATTGACATGTGGCGGTGGGATAGAATTGACCATTCTGATCACAGCACCTTTTCTCCCATAACCTTCCACTAGGTTCCAAAATGTCGAATGCCCGCAGGAGGGGGTGGTCATGTATGAATATTTTAGCTTCCCTCTATATTTTTCCTGTATTTCCGTTACTAAAAAACTGTTACTACTACTAACATGGACACTGAATATAAAAACACAAAAGAAAAAAATCAATCATCTCCCATGTCAAAAACACTCGTTACGATATACTGTTTCTTGAGCGTCTTATGAAGTATGCCTTCTTCGCCCACAGAAACTCTACCTAGACGCTTCATTCGTAACTGCTGTGTTGTTCAGTGAGGGAAAATCAATCACACAAAAATCAAAAAGACCTAGTACGTTGTATGGTTATCCTTCCCGTGCCGGACTAAAAGGCATTGAGGCATTGCCTGCGTCGAGAGTTGAGTTATAATTATCATTATTTTCAGCACATTTATGCTATAATGCTATAAAATAAAACTATGTACGGGAAAAAAAGGTTCCAGACGAGCACAAATTCCCAATGAATGCAAAAAAGTTTTGATCTTAATAAAAACATTCAAATCGTAATATCATATTCACTAACTCTGTCCATCGTTAGATAAGTAACTTCCTGGCAAAACTGAAATTTCTGGGGGAACCTGTGGCCGTCTTCTTCGTAGAATCCCAGCTTAAGACAAATAAGGATTATCCCCAAGATCTCGACATGCTTCTCTATCCCCCCCCTTCACTTCCTTCTTTTCTTCTCGCTAAATCGAAAAAAAGCATAAAAAATCTCAAAACTAACTAGAGACAGAAGGGAAAAACAGAAAGAAAAAAACCAATGGTGTTGCGGCATGATGGAAAGGGGTAGTTATCAATGTAGATACCGTATACATTTAATTCAAGACAATCAATCTTGACTCATTTCTCTTTTATCATTATGTAAAAAGTGTCCCAAAAATCGGTGGAAATCACGAGAGGTTCAAAAGGCACATGCAAGGTACATGGCAACGAATCCGTCATGTTGCCTTTGACACAGTAAGACTAGATGGGAGAAGGAAGACGGCGAACTACCGGAGCTGGGATACATACACCAATTGGCGTCCTCTTTCTAATCTGACGAAAGGAAAAAATCGGGAAAATGTCCGCTTTGAAAATAGCCCTTTTACAATGACTATTCCACAAGCTTCCGACAAAAGGAGAAACAAGTCATCTGGGTTTTGGCTGAACTATTTACAAAATTGACAGGTTGACTGTAGCTGATCTTGGGGTAACTTCGATGATCGCCGGGCCAGCAACGACGATGTTGTCAGCGATAGAACCACGGGCCTCGGAGTTTGTTAGGAAAACATATGATTGTCCACTAATCACTGACGGAATGTTGACAGCAAAGAGGCGATCAACACGCTCAACTGCAACGCTGACGATATCGAGGCCACTAACGAAAGTTAGGAAGAGGCCTCCTTCACCGATGTTAACATTTTTCCCGATACGGAAATGGGCTCGAGATGAAATAGCTTGGGGCCCGGGCTGGGTTGGCGCCAATGTTGGGAATGCTTGGAATGGGAGAGGGATGTTGTTTTTAGGACAGGATACGATAAAAGAAGCAGCTAAAGAAAAGATGGCATTGGCATCAACTGGCGTGCCCGTGACCTTGGCTGAGGAGATCTGGTTAAGACTGTTACGGAGGACAGATTGGTGGATGCCTTCTGCGACAAGAATAGCACCTGCTTGTGTCAGGATATCCTTGTTTGAGATAACTCTAGCACCACCCAAGTAAGCGGAGGTGCCAACGCCTTCAAGGACGGATGCTAGAGCAAGGAAACTGTGAACGTCGGTATATGGGAAATTGTATTCACAGGCTGAAACGGGAACCACCCCCGCAGCCGAGAGAGCCTTCGTGATAAACACGACATGATCCTCCTCATCCTGGGCAATGAATCGCAACTGTTGGAGCAATTTGGAATCGAAGCCAGCCTCGCGGAAATGATTCTCTGTGAATCGAGAGAGTGCACCCTTATAGAAAACATTTTCGAGATGTTCGAGCTGTACGAATCAAACTTAGCTATGGTACATCTGCTAGGGGCCTCAATTGGATTATCGCTATCACCTACAGTTAGGGCAAATTGAAGGATATCAACATCCGAGACTCCGCGTGCCGGGCGCTTTTCCATAGGCGCACTGAAGACAGCAGAAGCGGAGAGAACTCCCATGAATGCACCGCGCAGAAAGGACTTCATGGCTTGATCTGTTCCGCCCAAAATAAAATAAAAATAAAAAAATAATAAATAATAAAAAAAAAATGACAGAATAAAATATTAAAGATGTGAAAATAATACTAGAAATCGGGTATCTGAATATGCGAATGATTGAGCGAGTGGTGACCAGCACACCAAAGCGTAGAATATCAGAAAAATGAGAGTATAAAAGCAATGGTAATTTGAAAGACTGTGGGTAATCCTTAGGGAAGAGTGAAAACGGTAGATTTTGGTGGAAATGCCTCCTTTTTACATTCCAGTCAAGCTCAGTTCGATAGATTGAACTACCATCCTCAGGCGGCTAGCAAGATCGCCAAGATGCCTTCCTTCGCAGGAGTAGACTCCTTGAGACGCATTTTAAGTGGATATATGGTAACTTTGAGGCTCGTGAGACGTTAGATGTAGCTGCCAATGTACACTATGTGCCTCTGATGGCCTGATGACAAGGGGTATCTCATTGTGGTGCGATGAAGCTGGGTTCAGGCATAGACCCAAACCAGTTATTGCCAGCTTAGTAGTCAAAGCCACACAGGCATTTCCCCATATGGAGGCATCTCATCCATAATCGTTATAGCATGTAAAATTGGAGTTTGAAATGTCTTGGTTAGGAAATCTCAGTCAGGGCCCGAGCTCTGGATATGAGACGATCCCCCCTGTTCTCTGATAGTAAAGGTGTGTGATCACCTAAAAAGGAAAAATGTAATGCGCATGACTTCGTATTTGAGTTAAATTCCACATTATCAATGGCATCAGAAGCTTGAAGAGCGTAAAGAAGTAACATTGGTCAGCCCCTAATTTTCTTCTCAAAGTTGTCATAATGTGGAATATTGCCATGAAGCTATTGCTCCTCCCCAATGCTTAGTGTCTCAAAATGTATTTATAATTTGTATATAGAAAACATTTCTCTCTCTATCCCTTAACAAACGGATTATGTTCCGTATAAGCGGTAGAGACAATTTCAATCTAGAGACCTTGAATCACTTGATAACTAGTAGGTATCCCGTATAGTCTCGATCAATGCGTCGGTTGCAGACTTGCAGTTCCATCGATGAATCTACGCAGGAATTCTCCTCATCAGTAACAACATTTGTGCTTTTCACCTGTTACACGTTAGTCTCATGTTTGTTGGTCCGTGTCTGAGGATAAGCCACAAGCGCCACTCCCTTCTTAGCACTTCAAAATCATTGACAAGCGTGCGTCAATTGAGATAGGATTTGAATTGTTCTGGAAAAATAGGCTGGCTTGAGACATTCTCTTTCCCATTTATGAATTCATTTCCATAGAACATTAGTATATCTGCGAAGGTCTAGTAATAGTAGTTAACGAGTATTTGGAGGGAGGAGGAGGTTGGGCCACCACCAAAAGGGGGACGAACCAATCCAAACCCCAACAGTATGCGATCATGTGATATAAACGAGTTCGTGGTGGGGAAATTAAACGACATTTTTCTACGGTGTGCTTGACACATAACTGGAGGAGACTCGATCCTCACGTCTCATTCAGCTTACAAACGACCACCACGTGGAACGAAAGGGGTGTTGAGTTGGGGGCCAAGCCTTTTGATATAAAAAATCATTGAAAAAGGATAAGAGGGGAAAATCCGATATCCTATTATTTGGCCATGGCAGATTTCAGGGACGAACTGGGCTCTATAGACGTTGACACCGACATACAAGAAATCCTCCTTGCTGCATCGCAACATAACATTCCAAAACTTCGTCAACTAATCCGCGCCAATGAGAAAGCAGAAAACCCAGTGAATGTCAAAGACCCTGAGACCGGTTACACTCCTCTTCATGCTGCAATTTCTGCGTGTGAGTCAGATGCCAAGGAATTAACAAACAACCATGAAGCTACCAATGGCACTTCAAATGGAGATTCCGCAGCAGCATTAGATGGATCGTGTAGCGTGGCTGACCGGGCCAGGGATGTTGTGAAGTTCCTTCTGCAAGAAGGGGCCATTTGGAATGACTTGGATGCTAACAATGAAACCCCTGGCTGTTTGGCTAGGAGACTTGGGCTCAAAGAGCTTTATGGTTTAATGGTTGATGCAGGCGTGCGAGCTGAAATGCTCCTTAATCGATTGGATGGTTATCAAATGCTCTCAGATGATGACGGCGATGAGAAAGAGGATGAGGATGCTTCTCTTGTGGTGGAGGAATCCGAGGAGGGAATGCCGCACCCCGCTGCTGAGCTGAGTAATGGGGCAAATCAGAATAGGGTAGAGTCAGCAGACGCTGATGTTACCAGCTCTCGCTACCTTCAATCAAAATTGACATTCCAACATGATCGATTAGTCGACGAAGATCAAAATAGTGTTATGATGGCGTGGGAAACAGACATCATGTCAAATTCTGCGAAAGCCCTTCTTCCCACTCCTGGATTGCGTGTTGTAAACATTGGACATGGAATGGGAATCGTGGACCATCTTTTCCAAGCACAACAGCCAAGCGCACACCACATCATCGAAGCGCATCCTGCCGTCATAGAGGATATGAAAAAGAAAGGTTGGCATGAAAGGCCCGGTGTCACCATCCACGAGGGCAGATGGCAGGACGTCCTTCCAAAACTTATAGATGAAGGGAAGACATTTGATGCAATTTATTACGACACTTTTGCCGAAACCTACTCTGACTTCCGAGAATTCTTTTCCGAGCAAGTAATCGGCCTCCTTGAGCCGAACGGCAAATGGGGCTTCTTCAACGGGATGGGTGCGGACCGACAAATAAGCTATGATGTCTATCAGAAAGTTGTGGAAATGGACCTCCTGGAGGCTGGATTCGATGTCGATTGGGAAGAAGTGAAGGTCCCGCCGCTTGAAGGGCAATGGAGCGGTGTTCGAAGGAAATATTGGGATGTAGATAACTACAGATTGCCGACTTGCAGGTATTTAGACTAGGTCTAAAGTCAGAAATGTTAAGATTTCCCCCCCTCAGTGACTGTATTTTGACTTCAGTTAGACAGTGAAATGGCCCATGAAAAGTTTCGCCATGTCATTAAACAATATAGCGAAACTTGAGGCCCCGTTCCCATAAATATTCTCGTAAAACTAACTCAGGCGTATTTACATCTAAAAAAAGTCGGGAATTGCTTTCAACGCCATGACTACGTACCAATTCCCGCCAAAACTTTTGAGAATTGCGCACACCGCTTTAACAACAGATTGTATTCCCTAACCAGAAAATATTAGTTCAAGGGAATCCCTTGTAAGAGTCGTAAGTCAGAAGTAATAGATCTCTTTTTCTTGAATTTGCCAACATTCATGGATTTAAGTTGCAGTCTACACTGTAGATATAATAGCCATTATGAAAGAGCTGCCGGAAGAACGCGCATTGGGGCGTCTGGACAGATGAGCTCCTATCCCTTGATGTCTAAACTCCGACTTTTATATCTAATCTCCTTCAGTCTATTATGACGGTGTCTTCCATGTATTGTTCAATCTCTCGATACCACATACATCTAAACTTTTGTACCTTCTTGTTGACTTGCCCCATTTACAGCTGTTGCTCATCACAATGTGATAAAAATTGGGTATATGAGCTGAGTGTTCCATCGCGAGAGACTCTACAGGTTTCAGGCTGGGATGGGCTGTCGGGAAAGGAGGAGCAAGGAGGAATCACATATTAACTAGTTGATTCATGAAAAGATTTCGAATCACACTACTGGGGCCCGTATTCTTTTTATATTTGTTATTTGATTTAGTCAAGCCCACTGTCGACGACCTTTGATTCATCGAGTATTTGATATGGCTATTCTATTAAGACATTAGCGGTTTTATAGAGCAAATTTTAGTAATAATCGATTTGGGTACTCTGTAGAAGAAAAGGTAGTGGTGGTAACCAGGGGAGAAGTTAGCAGGAGAGAAGGTTGAATATGCTGAGAGAAGAGCAGGTAAGTTACAGCAGGAGACGCCCCCCAATCAACTAAGCCGGGCTAGCTCAATCGGTAGAGCGTGCGGCTCTTAGATCACGTTCATGTGACCGCAAGGCTGCGGGTTCGACCCCCGCGTTCGGCTATCTTTTTTCCCAGGTTCCTTTTTTTTTTTTTTCTTAACAGTTTGTCGCCCGCGTAGTTTTTCAATCGGTCAGCCAGGATTGTGTAATGCTGATATTAGATATTGATTACGGCTTTATCTGCACCGTAATAATCCTTCTAGACCTGAAATCTCCTTGCTCACTGCATCTGTACTCTTCAGCGTCTCTATACTAGCCCTCTGGGCAACAGGAATGATATCGTCTAAACTCCTCAAGCCCGCATCACCCTTCCATTCACACTTAGCAAGTCCCGCAACAATCACCCCAAGCAACGTGTCACCAGCACCGTTAACACTGACCACATTCTTATCCCCCAGGACTTCTTCCGGCGGGAAGAGACGCATGTAAACCCCGCCAACAGGGCCATTGCTACCACCGCCATAAGATCTGCTCAAGATATAACATGCGTAATCCGCAGAGAGAAGCCGCTCATCATCATGCGGCAAGATCTGAGTAAGTAAGACGCCCTTCGGGCCGAGTTTGGTGATTATGCAGGGGATAAAAGGCAGAAGCTGAATGCTTTGTTGCGGGACCCCTTCATCTACGAGCTGAGAGTTTGTTGCAGAGACTAGTCGATCGCGCGAGCCATTACTAGGCATTTCTAGTGAGTTGATGACTTGCCACCATTCCGCGCTCTCGAAGAGGCCAGATTCTCGCGCTGTTGTATACATGGCTGTCAGCTCGTGGCGGTTAGGGGTCACGAGGTCGATGGAGTGGTTTGGAATTGTGATTGACGGCTGGATGATTGATTTTGAGTTTGAAAGCGAGCGTGTGAAAAGGCGGGTTGATTTTTCGTTGGATACTGGTTCAAATGCGATTTTGGCTCCGTGGGATTTCGCCAGTGAAATCCACTTTGCGATGACATCTGGGCTCCAATTCGCATCGATGACGATCCAGCTGGGCCGTGCGCTGTGGATAAGAGGGCGCCACATGTGTCGAAATCAAGATGCTGCTCAGGCGTTTCCATGATAGCCATATCTGCCATGGCAAGCATGAGATTTTTCCTCTCGTCATTGACAGAGACATATTGAGAAGTCCTGGAGCCAGTGGCTAGGCTAAGAACTTGGATACCTTGAACTTGCAGATTAGATTGACAGTTTTTTAGGCCAGAGAGCGCTGCACGGCCGCTGAGATCGTCCGCAACGACGCTGCAAAGGAGCACTGAGCTGCCAGCGTAATTCGCTGCTAGAGCTACGTTGTGGCCAACTCCCCCTAAGCTTTGTCTAATTATTGAGGGGTTAGATGTTTGGAGAGCGGGGATACCGTCACCGCTTTGTGTCACGGGTGTATAATCGCATGCAAAATCTACTGCAAGAGACCCGGCGACTAATATATTGGCCTCTTCAACATTCGCTAGGATGGGTTTGGACGTAGGTATTGTTGGAATAGGACATATGAGGGTGTTTTGAGCTGAAGGGGACTCCGACGATAACGGAACACTTGTTAAATACCCTGGCATATGTCTGCATATCAAAATATAACCCAAAATCAGCCAGAGATTCCAACCGTAGTTGATTACAAAATTAGCTCACCGATTCTCTTCCACTTGACATCCCTTTTCCAGTTTGGCAAGCTCTAACGCAACTTTGGTTCCGCGTTCCACATTGCTCTCTACCAAAGCTGTGTTCGTAGTCACGCTTTTTCCATGACTCAACTCCTTAATTTTAGCTAGAACGAAAGGGGTGTTATCACTGCCATGGATGTCTTCAAGCTTAGAGGATTCAAGGGCTTGTTCTATTATATCATCTATCTCCTTCTTGGGGAATGAAAATTCCCCTGGCACTGGATTGGCGAAAACCAAACCCGAAGATATGTTTAGACGGGATTGTGCATCTGGCAGGGTATTAGCATGAGAGGTCCTGGTGCTGTTGGACAGATAAAACAGTAAGAAGAAAACGAGCAAAACAACATAGCAAGTGTAAAGTAAATCTGAATGTCACCAGAACACTTACAAATGATGGCAGCTGCTTCAGCTTCATCACATATGATTTTCTGTGCTTTTATTCCGCTGTTTCTGGTATAAAAAGCAGGGAAATCCACACTTCCCTCACGTCCATCTGCAAAGACTCCAACCATCACCCCTTCGGTCTCGAGGTACTCAAGCGTCCGCGGGATATCTAAAAAGCTTTTACAACCTGAGCTGATAAGCGCAACAGGAGTTCGACCAAGCTCAGTGAGGTCGGCTGGGCATATCTTAGCATTATTTGCGACGTTCAAGCGAAAGGCATCCCGCTAATCTCACCAGATATATCCATAGAGTTTTCCCCACCACGGTGCACACCACCTATTGGATGTTAGAGCTCGTATCCATATTGATTATCGCTTCTACCCTGAATGAACGCACCGAGGCCACCAGTAGCAAATACTTTGATCCCCGCAATATGAGCGAGCACCATGGTACCAGCAATTGTAGTCCCTCCATTCATCTTCTTCCCGCTCAGACCCTAGTAAACGGTTAGCGATTGCTGCACACTATAGTTAGTGGTAGCTCAGTTACCAGGCCACAAATATATCCGAGGTCCCTACGAGAGACCTTCAAGATCTTCTGGGTTTGGGATGAAGATGCGAGCTCGGCGAGCTCATCAGGTGCCATTCCCACTCGAGCAACGCCGTTGAGGACACCTATAGTAGCAGGAACCGCACCTCCCTCTCGTACAATCGACTCTAGTCGGGATGCTAGAGCGACGTTATCAGGATATGGGAATCCTATCTCCAGCTTTAGTTACAATTTATAGAAGCAAATCGAAGGATTCCATGGGAGGCGCACCATGCGTATAAATAGTCGTCTCCAAAGCTACAACAGGCCTCGATGAAGCCACAGCATCTTGCACCTCTTCTGAGATTTTCAGGAACTTGTTTATCTCCCCAAATTGATTTCGTCCGTGAAACGAACTATAGCATCTTAGCTCTGTTGGAAGTTTGAAGTGCGGATTCCGCCATTTCCAGAGGCGAGCCGCAGTTCGTAGAGCGTTCATACTGAGGCAGCCCTAGGATATCCTCTTTGTTACATGAATGGGAATAACTCAATCGGTTTCCCGAGCGCAAACCCCCGTGATTCGACTGAGTTGTTGATCATCAAAACATATTAGCACTATGTTGGAAAGCCTACCCTAATCGCTCGCTGCAAGACCACGTGACCCAAACCCTGAGAAATGCAGTCAACTCACTCTAGCTCTGATAAAGAATATCTAGCAGATCAAGTAATAAAATATCTGATACAGCTGAAAAGATTGCGGTCACGGTCTTCTCAAATACAGAGTCTAAATAATGACTTTATATACTTAGATTAAGTGTTTCTTCATTTAATCTCTGATCTTAGATGATTCATTTGTCTCAGAAATCGAATTTTAAGAATCCCTCTCGTTTATATGAGTCAAATTATCAAAGAGATATTCGCAAGATTTAGAACACATCTATCTGCTTCGACATTATATCTATTTGTACACAGCATGCGCAGCGGATGTCATTTTCGTGTTTGGTGGAGGAAGTTGGGGAAAGAGAATCCACGAATCTAATTGGTTCATGCTATAACTGCATGTCCGCTGCGCTTGTGGCCGCTTCGCCTCCCGTGGTATCTTCATACGGGCCACATACGCTGCCAAACCACAGCATCAGCTCGAGCAATCCCATTTCTTGTTGCTCCACGTCTCGCTACGATATCTACAGTATCCGGGACCTTAAATTGGTCCACTGGTAGCAAGCCCTGCCACCATGAGGCTCTTACCTACCGCAGCTGTGCTTTGCGGCTTTTTGACTCCTTCAATCTCCGGGGTCCTTGCCACGACTGCCAATTCCACCACACACACCTCATCGCGACTGGTATTATCGAACGATTTCAGCCCCCCCAAAGTGTTCAAGAACGTCAATCTCCTCAGAATTATAAATCTTGAAAAAGGCTACGTGCGGGAAACTGTCAATGTCGTGATAGAGAACACTGCCAAGGAGCCGCAGGAGCAGTACTTCATCCCTTTCGCATCAGATGTGAAAGTGGGGGGAATAGAAGTGCGTGATAAGAATGCGCCATCGGCTGGCAAATTTCTGGTGGAGACCACGGAGGTGTTGCAGTCGAGGTTGGTTTGCCATTGCAACTTCTGAATGGCTCATTTGCGCCGAACGTAACTTCGGCGGAAGGTCTCTGGTACAGGTTGCCATTCTAACATGTTTAATGTTACAGCCCCAACCAATACTTCGTCGTTCACTTCCCGGAGTCACTGAAAGCGTCCTCTCAAATCACCCTGAGCATATCCTACTACATCCTGCAAGCTCTGGCTCCGCTCCCTGCAGCTATTGAGCAAGACGCTAAACAATACCTCTCATACTCGTTTCCCGTCTACGCCCCATCCGCTTACACAACCGACAACCAGAAGACAAAGATCAAATTCCCCAGCTCCAATGTGCCAGATTATACGGAGACTTCTGGCCTGAAATCCGGTGCTGACCCAGATCGACAAGGGAGCACCTACACGTATGGACCGTACAAGACCTCCAAAATATCCACCAGCGCCACAGTGCCTATGATAACTGTCCGCTATGAATTCACCAAGCCAGTCATAACCTGCTCCCTCCTCGAGCGAGACATCGAAATCTCGCACTGGGGTGGCAACCTTGCAACAGAGGAGCGTCTCTGGCTCCGCAATGACGGTGCCAAGCTCTCAAAACACTTCTCCCGCGTCGGGTGGGCTATGAGAAACTACCACAACCTTCCCACATCCGCAATGAGTGACCTGCGCATCCCATTGCTCCCAGGCTCCGTCGATGCTTATTTCACCGACGACATCGGCAACGTCTCAACAAGCCGCTTCCGTCCAGGTGTGAAAAACCGTGAGGCGCTACTGGAGCTCAAGCCGCGCTACCCCGTTTTTGGTGGGTGGAAGTATAGTTTCCGCATTGGCTGGAACAATGCGTTATCATCGTTCCTGCGCAAGGCTGGTGGAGAGTCGTATGTGCTCAAGCTACCATTCCTGGAGGGCCCAAAAGTGCCTGAGGGAGTGCAATACGAGAAAATCCAGTTGCGCGTGATCCTACCTGAAGGCGCGCGGGCTGTGAAGTACGAGCTAGTTGATGGCGTTGGGATGCCGTATATGGTTGAGTCAGAGCTTGGACTGCACAAGACGTTTATGGACACCGTGGGGAGGACTGTTTTGACGTTGCGGACGACGAATGTGGCAGATGAGGCGCGGGAAGGTCATATTATTGTATGGAATGCATCACTTTTCTTGATTCTTTAACGCTTGTTGCTTCTGAAGGCTCCCTGGACCTGAATTGCTAACCGACTAATCCTGGCAGGTGACATACGACTATCCGGCACTCGCGATTCTCCGTAAACCACTGACGATGGCGGCAGGTCTGTTCAGCGTATTTGTGACTGTGTGGCTAGTGGGCAATTTAGATGTCAGCATTAAGAAGCGGTAGGGGAATCCGAGAAGAAGAAAGAAATAATGAGTGTTTTTAACCTTTTTTTTTTTTTTTTTTTTTTTTTTTTTTTTTTTTTTTTTTTTTTTTTTGGTATTTGCTAGACCTTTTTCTTGATCATGTCGTTTTTATACATGTACTTTGCTCATATTCCAGGGATTAGTTATAGCTATCCTAATTTTTATTTATTTTTGTACATTTCTAAAAGTTCAATTTCACTGGGATATTCACTTCAGCTCAAAGCAAATTTGGTCCTGCTTTGGTCCTGCTTTGGTCTTCTTGCGTGTGGTTGTGCTTTTATACTTGTTTTCCCGATCTCCTGGTGACCTAGGTTGTATGAACATTGGTAGGAAGGGGGGAGCGTTGGGTTACAACACGCAACACAACCGAGTTGTTTCTTTTCCAGCATCAACTTGTCATCCATTAATGTATATATTATTCTTCCCCAACATTTTCTGGCGTAAATCGGACGCATGATAGATAAAGAGACATACAGGACATTCAGCAACCTATGTTTACAGAGAAGGCAAAAACAGAAGCCGCAAACCCCAATGCAAGACATGAAAAAAAAAAAAAAAAAAAAAAAAAAAAAAAAAAAAAAATTGAAAATATATAAATAAAATGCCCGAAAAAAAACAAGGACGAAGGGAGGACGGTGATCAGCATCAAGCGAAAAAATTCCCTCTTCGCCAATAAAAGAAAAACATCATATATACATGCTATATCCTGATATGTAAGTCAACCGCCGTCCGTTTCCCCGTACTCTGCCGTGAGCAGCAGCTACCACACCCCTTTCACCCCCCAGACCTAGCCCTCAATCCAAAATTAACACAAACAGCCACAAGCAAGCCCACACAAAGCACCGTCGGGCCCCACTTCTCATGATAAACATGCTTTACATCCCGCCGTTTCCGAATCTTATCAATGCGCCACATATACAGCAGCAAGCTATACACGAGCGACAGGCAAGCGAGTATAGTAAACACCCACGACGACACAAGCGTGACGGTGTCGTAGTCGAAATTGAGTAGGGCGGCAGCGATGGAGCCGAGGATGATAGAAAATTCGAGCCAGGAAAGGAATGTGCGTTCAGCGGCGAAGTAGACTTTTGGTTCGACACGGACGGGGACGTGGATTCCTATTGGGCCGGATATTGGACCAGTTAGGTTGGGGAGTCATACTAAAGATAGCACAAATAGCAAAATGATGGAGTGGAAATAAATATGTAAAAACTTACGTTTCCCCTTCGGTGCTTTAAACCGCTTAACTTGCATTTGATCTGGCGGTATGAACCTCCCCACCCCACTGACGCCATTATTGATGGGCATCGCCGTCGGTCTCGGGACGGGTGCTAAGTATTTCGCAGCATTCAGGGTAGATCTTCCCGCAGCGCGAACGTAGTGTTTCGCAAGCTTAATGCGATATTGCCAGCCACCGATCCTCCGTGCCTCTTCGAGGTCATCTTGTCCGCTCGACTCGTCTTCGGAGTCATAGAGTGGGTAGTCATCGCCGCCGATATCAATAAGATTTCGTTGGGCAGCGATACGCTCTTCCATATCGAGCGCGTTACCCATAGCTTGGGAGATGCTGGGGTCTTGTAAAGGGTCGTCGTTGTCTTCGCCTTGAGGAAGGGGTTGGAGGGATTGGAAATGGATTGCGTTGGTTCCGTTCACGGATGAGGATGATGCGTGGCCGTTTTCGCGTGCATCGACTTCGTTGCGCGCTGCGGGATCACTACCACCGGCATCGTCAGCGTCAGCGTCAGCGTCATCGTCGGACTCGTCATCATCGTCGCCATCATCGTCCATGATGTCAGTTGTCGATTGGCTAGTTTGGACCGGTCGCTCGATGCCGAACCTGCGGGTGATGGGTTTTCGAATATCGACGTCCATCTGCGGCATCCAGAAGGGGAGCAGGTCGATATGGTCTGGGAATAGATTTGCCGTTCCATGAATGAACTTGCTGAACTTGGGGACAGCTTCCACCAGATGACTTGAGATTAGATCCCGGATCCATGGTGGAGGTGCTTGACCCGCCTGCGTCTGCAACTTCACTTCCAAAATAGCGTAGGGAAATCTTTCGACATCCTGCGCGGGTAGTTGGAGAAAAGGGTAGTCAATTCCGATATCCATTCGCCGCCAATTGGACCCAGACCTTTTGCGGCCATCTAGATTATCCTCTCGGATCATGGTCAGCTCGGTATCCAACGATATTCGCACTCTCGCATCTCCAGGAAGCTGGAATGCAGTCCGATGATAAAACGACCTCGTAACTGGCTTGAGCTTCCGAGTAACTACACGATATTGCACCTCCCGCGCCAGCTGCTCCCAGTCAGCAATCTGTTGCTCGCTCTTCTTTCCATCCTTCCTGGTCTTCTCAAAGATGCTCTCGACAGTCATTCTCCCAGCCAAAAAAGAATTTACATGTTTCTCCTTAATCGGGAACCGCGCTTTGACCGATTTTTCTCCTGTCCAATCCTCCCGGTGCGTTTTCCTCTCAACGAAAATCTGATCATTTTCCATGCCACCATACCACCGTAGTCGGATCGCCTCCGCACCTTCAGTCTTCTTTAAGCGCCCAGTATATAGCTCCCAGGTTTCTGGATTATCATAGTAAATAGAGGAGATAGCTGAATCTCGCTCATCGAATTCTTTTGTGGGATTGAATACCAAAACGGGAGATGCTAGAACTCGTTAGATATCCCCGCGCCCCCCCCCAAAAAAAAAAAAAAAAAAAAAAAAAAAAAAAAAAAAACAAAACAAAAAAGAAAACGTTTCTTGAGGACTCCAAACAAACCTTCAGGATAATAAGTTTCAATTCCGTAATGTTGTCCGGATGTACCCAATACTTAGTTGTCTCCCGGATGAAATTCTGCTGCGAACCGCCCGCTGCACTGTCACCGGTAACAGGAGCGCCCTTGTTCCTAACCAAATCATACAACCTGGACAATTTAACCACGAACGCATCGTAGTTATCCTTGAAAAACGGCTTTGCTTTTAGCCGTGCTGCGAACACGGGCTTCAAATGCCATTGAGTTTGTTTCTATCCCGCAAAATATGTCAGCAAAAAAAGTTTTTCACCACTACTGTTCCAAGCATAGAGAGAAAGAAATATAGCCGATCAAAAATAAGAGACGTGGAATAAAGGGTGGGAAAAAGAAGATGAAGACCTTACATCATGCTTCTTGATAATCTTCTGAAACCCCGTATAATTCAACTGCACATACTTGGCCAAATCATGGACGTCGGCAATAATATCACTAAGATCCTCCTCTAGCAGCAAGAAATCCTCATCGGTCGGCGCCATTCCACCGCTGACTGCGACACTGCCAGCAGCAGCTTCAACCCCACGACTGCTAATCTGCGACCCCCTCCTGCCTCCAGCACTATTCCCACCACCCCCGGCAGCAGCAGCCCTCATCATAGCCACGACGCCATTAACCTCTTTCTCACTCTGCACAATCCGCGCGACGATCTCATCGCTCTTCAGCTTCTGGAAAGTAAACACCTTATCCAGCTCGCTCTCCAGCAGTGCGACGAAGCGCCTCTCGTCCTCCTCCGTCCATGGCTTGCGCTTGGGCTTTGCGGGTTGGGTTTCCTGAGCAGCAGCGGCGGTCGGGGTGGTGGGACTTGACTCGTACGGGGTTTTCAGAGCAGCTTTAAGATCATCGTAGGCTATGTAGTGCCAGTAGTATTCTTTTATGAGAGAAGCGCGGAGCTGGTGGCCGAATCTAGCGTGGGGTGGGGGTTGCTTGTCAGTTTGGTGTGAAACAGCCGGGGTAAACCGGGGTGCTGGGAGCCAATTGGGGAAACTTGAGAGGGGAGACTTACCTCATGATTGCAGCGGGAGGTGCGATGGGTAGGGGAAGGGAAGGGAGGAGGAGGAGAAGGCGAAGGTCGAAGAGGAAATGCAGCAGAGGAGGAGCAGTGGAGAGAAGCTAGCTGCGAGCTACGGCTGACACTGTGGCTGGGATGGAGCTTCAAACTCTATTTAAGAGAACACAGAAGTTTAATGGAAGATAGCATACGGAGTACGGAGTATACACATATGGATACACAATACACGCATGACCCCTCCGAGCAAGGGACATCGGCGGCGACGAGATCCAGGTACAGGACAGGCAGAATTGCGCGAAACAGCAAATTCGGAACAAATTCCAGGCCAATGGTGCAATATCACGTGGATCTGATATCGGCGATGCAAGATCGATGCTGAGCCGCAGCCCAATCAGGGAGCAGTGGTAGCCCACGTGAAAACCTTATCCTAGTGGACCCAGGTAGAACTGTCGATGACCTCATCGCTTAGCAGTCAACTCGTTGGCTTCATCCTTGAAGTTATCAGGACGGAGGACTCGAAATGGACGAGGAAAACCGCAGAGTCCCGAAGAGCCAACACATAGCCCATCCACCAACAGTACGCATACCATAACGAAATCAGCAGACATTAGTTCATGGACCATCATATGCTATGTATCTTGTATCCCGTAACTAGTAGTAAACAAGGGAAAAGCAGCCAGCGAACAAAATTGAAATGCAAGGAACTCCACCCCTTTCTGCTCACACAAGCCCAATCCGCCGTATGCTCCTCCTCGCCCCCTCTCCAACAACACTAACCATCCCCTCCGCTTCTAGCGCTCTCACCGCCTCCGCGAACTCCGCCCCTTCAACCTCCATGCTACCCCCTTCGTTCAGCTGTCTTAGTACCTCCGACCACCGCACCCCACTCCCACCACCACGACCCCCAAGCTCCTCCACAACCCTCAAAACCTCCCTCTTCAGATCCTCCCGCAGCCGCCTCTCGCTCGCACTCGTCCCCTCAGTCAACAATCCCATGTCAATCAGCCCCGTGCGCGCATCCGTTGCGGCCTGTTTCAGTGCCGACCGAATTAACCGTACTGCTTCCTCTACATCGCTGGCGAGGACTTCGCTTGATAAGCGCATGCGGGCGTGTGCTTCTGCGAGGCGAATCATGGATTCGAGTTGGCGGGTGGTGGCGGTGATGCGGCGATTGGCGGAGCGGATGTCATCGCCCAGTTTCCGCATGCCAACGTAGGAGTCTATCAGCGCCGTGCCCGCTTCGGGCGTCATTACGGGGTTGATATGTCTTTTGGCGTAGGTAATGTAGCTGGTGAGGAATTCGACGGGCTGGAATACGGTGGGTCAGCGAAAGCGGTCATTCACGCTTTAAGTTCAGAGAAATATGAGTCGACTTACAAGAACTTCCTCGCTGGTACCGTGTTCCGGTGTGTCTTCCAGATACATCCCCACCAGGTGCTTCGCCAGCCGGCGATCGTTTTGCTCATCGATGCGGTCGAGAACAAGATATACCAGGTCAAACCGCGATAGCAACGTTGGTGGCAGGTCGATGTTTTGCGGAACGGGTAAATTAGGGTTGTACTTGCTTCCGATCGGGTTGGCTGAGGCTAAGATACTTGTGCGGGCATTCAATGTGGTGATGATACCCGCTTTCGCGATTGAAACAGTTTGTTGCTCCATCACCTCATGCAGGACTGATCGTGTCGAATCGTTCATCTTGTCGAATTCGTCGATGCAACAGACGCCTCCGTCAGAGAGTACGAGGGCGCCTGACTCGAGAACTAGCTGCCTTGATTCTGGATCTCGGGTGACGTATGCTGTAAGACCAACGGCGGACGAGCCTTTGCCACTTGTATAGACCCCCCGGGGTGCAATCTTATGCACGTATTGCAGCAGTTGCGATTTTGACGTTGAGGGATCTCCGCAAAGCAGAACGTTGATATCACCACGATATCGCGGGTTACCTCCCTTTTCAAATGTTTTGTTCGTTCCGCCGAAGAGTTGGAGAAGAATACCTTTCTTCACATCTTCCATCTCGTAAATGCTCGGTGCTAGAGACCGTGAGAGTAGTTCGTAGACGTCAGGCCGGGCAGCAATTTCTTTTATCTTTTCCTCTTCCGCTGCTGTAATTTTTCTGACATGCTCCACTTCACCTGCAACCTGTTCAGAGAGCTCCTGCTCCACGGTTGTGGCATCAATGCCAAGCTTCTTGCGGTCTGTCTTCTGCACATGAAGCACATCCACATAAGTCTTGAATAGAGCCTTGGTAGTTCGTTGACGTGGGTTCACGCGAACAGGGTTGCTGCGAAATATGCCTGTCACTTCAACTCTATCACCAGCTTTGCAAACATCAACCAGTTCATCATAAGCACAGAGGGAGACCGAATGTGGTGTTTGTCCATCGGGCACTGAGTCGGGGGTTTCCTGGAGTTTGATAACCTGCTTATCGGCAAAAGTCGACCGGTTGTGAATGAGTTGCATAGAGTTAGATGTCCCGCAAATTTCTCGGGGGCATTTAGTAGGCTCTGCAATTTTGCCGCGGTCGATGTCAACGGCAACACTGAAGTGACAAGTCTCGCAGCGGAAGAACGCTGTAATAGTGAGCATCAGTGCGTTGTCAAATTGTGACTGGGAGGAGGGTGATCGCTACTTACCTTCCTTCATGTCAGGGATTATAGGAGTTGCCCGAATAACGAGGCCTTTGATACTGATGAGTTTATCCATGTCTGTGGTTGAAGGTGTCAATAACAAATGTTTTTTTAAAAAAAAGAAAATTGAGGTTAAGCTAGCGTACCAGCGGGATCCAAGTCTCTCATGTTGACCGTCTTGTCTAATCCAAATGGTAGGACCTTGAAAGTTTTGGTTTCCACGTCCGCCATTAGATTTGGCACCTCCGTCGGCTGACCTCGTCCAGCCTCAGTTCCAATATCAGAGCTGGTGACAGGCGGTGCTGAACTGTTATCTCTTGCCCTAGGTTGACGTCGTTGATTGGCTTGTGCTCTGAGTGATTCCATTTCCTTCAATGCCAGTTCAATCATGACATCCCTCACTACCTGATCCATGATCGGAATAATTTCCTGTGGGTACGCTTGGACCTGGTGCCAAAGCTTCAGCGTTGACGGGTATGCCTTCAGGTTGCGGATATCCAGGTTGAGCCCTGTTACCCCAAGTTGTCGCATATCATTCAGCATCTTGATGTATTCTTTTTCGTCAGCTGCTGCACCCATTGCACGGGTTTCTTCTTCAGAAGCGCCATCTGCCCACATGCGGTATTTCTTGGCGAAATTGTATAGGAAATTCTTAAATGCGGACATCGAGTCCTGGATGGAGATGTTGGTACCCCAAATGATACGAGTAGAACTTCCACCAAGGGCGTCGGCCTCGGAGGTGTCTGGCTGTACATTTGAAAACGTGGCATCTGAATGAGGTTCACCATCACGGACTGGCATGCCATTCTCATTGACGAATACTCGTCTCCGCTGGCTTGATGAGGATCCGAAGGCATCGGAGTGGATAGCACCTCGTCTTGTCGAAACATTGGGAAGGCCATTTGATCCAATTGATTGAGATGACCGAACAAAAAGACCACTGCTGCTGCTTGGAATATCAGCTGTCCGGCTCGGGCGGCTGTTTGCACGAGTTGGGCTTGAACTAGACATGTAGCGAATTGGTGAGGAATCTGTTTAACGATGTTGATTTATGTTGTCATTAGCCTTTGTTTCATATTCTTCAAAACAAAATAGACCTATGAGCGTATGATACTCTAATACCTCCAATCAGGCGAGCATTTGCTCTGGGAGTTCTTTCAATATCATCAGTGCTTTGAGGTTCTCTAATTGGGGAACTGATGTCCATTCTTGAACCCGCATCGTCGGGAGGAGCTTGTTGAGGTTCAGGTGGGGGGGATGACTGGAAGCGTAACGGGGATGAAGAGGGAATGCCGGCTTCTCTTAGCGATCTCGAAGCCCGTGGAGTAGTCTGCGAGGCATTCTGCAATGGTTGCTCGCTGCTCGTCGCACTTGGGCGAGTGGGAGTTGAAGTTGTAGAGTTTCTTGCTGGTCGACCACGACGACGGGCAGAACCAGGAGACGACATTGTGCAAAAGTCTGTCTAAGTGGTTATGATTGCCAGTGGTGGGATGGATCAATTATCACTAAACGTCAGTCCTAGTATCGATGTGAGTGGTAAGAAGGAGAGTTGTTGGAAATGATTGACGGAATTTTTGGCAAGAGGAACGCGAGAGAAACGCGAGCTTCTAGTAACGCGTAAAGTGATTTCCTATTTGGGATAGCGCGTGCGTCCAGCAAATCCTTTAACGCCGAATTAAAGCCCATTTCTTTATTTGGATACTCTTACTCGTAGGAGGAATTTCGTCGCCTGCCTTTACACTGAACTCCCCATTAATCTCTCCATTTTAATCTCCAATCTAGATAATTTTCAAGAGAGTATTGTTTCTTTTGAAGGTTGTTCCCAAATGGACAGGAAAATAGCTGACAGCTGAATCCAACATTCTCCGAGCCCCCCACCATGAATAGCCATACGCCGGGCCAGAAGTGGATGCACAGCTCTGTGAGCGGACTCTTCTCAAGAGTTGCCATCTGGATTCTGTTTCTTTCCCACTGTGTATATAGAGATTTCTCCAGCTTAGCACGACGTCCCCATGCCCTTCGGGAGGCTCGCGGGGCGCGGTCATTGCCGGGGTTCCCCCCCCCCCCCCCCCCCGACGTTAAATTTATACATACATACATACAAACATTCTCCAAGCGCCAACTTCGCGATAAATGGTTGTTGTGAAGGGTTGATTCGGAGCGAAGGCCGTTGTAATTCGAGCCAGCAACCTTGAATTCGCTCCGAGTAATCTTGACAACCGCAGAAACGCCAGAAACGCGCTCGCGGCAGCGCGTCTGTGAAAGCTAGTTACTAGTCACTATGGGCTTACTGACCTTCTCTATCAAGGCGATTCAAATAGGTGAATATGATATGGCTGTCTATCCATGATGCTCAAGCGGAAGAGACATAGATGCAGGATCTCTGGCCGTTGTGACGGCCAAGAATTAATGATATGCTGCCGTAGCCTTGCATTATGGGTTGAGTCTGCCATAAGTCATAGTAGCGACGTTGTAGGGCCAGGCCACGGGCCCAGCTGTGGGAGGACCCAGTAAAGCTCATATTCACCACCATTTGTACGGAGTAGTTCAAGTGCAAATACATCATCAGCAGTCTCAAGGCCACAGAAGAAGCCTCAGGCAAAGCACATTACAAGAGAGAGTCTCACAAACTGGGTTCAGATACAGAGAAAGGAATTTAATGTTCTCGCTGCATAGGACGGCAACAACTGTCATGCAGTGTAGGTTGAGTGACACAGCCATGGAGGAAAGTGGACTAACCACGGAGTACTTCTTTTCCCTTAACTTACGGGTCGTGCCCTTGGTGTATTTAACTAACTCAAGGTTAGTTAACTAGTGACTTATCAGGTGGATGATTGCCTCATTGTTGTTGACCAGGTTTGAAGCAAGCTTTCCCCTTGCCAGATCGCTGATCCAGAGAGAGCCTGAACGGTAATGTGCTGTTCGACTCATTATTTCGCTCGCTAGTGGACTGCTGTGGCTGTCGCATGGCTCCACAGTCATTCTTCACACAAAGACTGACATTTGATGAGGACAAGTTTCGCCTTGAGGTTCCTCAACACTCCGACCCAGTTCTTCCTCGTCAGGGGTACGTTTCTTGGAAGTCAAGAGAAGAAGGCAGAGGGCATGAAAGAATGTATCATGGTCCTCTTCCTGAATCCGGGAAACAAGGCCTCCTTTGCCATTGCCCTACAGCGATAACCTTCATGGAAATGAAGGGATGAAGGTTTGGGTTTTATTGTGTTGGGGAGGGTTACTAGATGGATATGGTGGTGTCTGAGATGAGGAAAGTTTTGAGCCTAAAACATTCTGCTTATTTAAAAAGAAAAAACACCTTGAATGGGAGATCCCGTTATTTATAAGGATTGATCCAGGGACGTAGCGGTTACCCCAAACAGGATCTAGATCCGGCATATCGAAACCTCGTAGATAGAAAATCACCACACACTGCCACTTGAGGCAGACATAATTGTGGACGCAAACTGCCATCATGAGTTGGAAGCTTCCAGTTTGCTTTTGCCTCTACTAACAATATACGTAATTACGTATGTCAAGCCAGCCGGAATTTCCAGATCCCTGGCACCGTAATCCCAGCATGAAGAATCTGGGGTTGATTTGAGCGCACAGTAGTCCCATGCAACCGCAAATATCCGTGGTGAGGTTAATTTACACTTATCAGCACGTCCTTGTTATTCTCGTAGCAATCCCAGCAGAGTAGCAGCGGCTATTATTATTATGATTATGATTAGTATAAGTAGTTATTAGTTAGTTAACTATATTATTATTACTATTAACTGTGGAAAACAGACAAAGAACCACCAGCTATTAATATCCAGGGCGACAACGCTATACTGACACTTGGGCGGTTTCACTCTCGACGTCATTTCTCACAACATCCTGTCGGAGATCGCAACACTGCAGATGCAGCTCACTCGTGTGATTGGCGCTGCAGCGAGCCTTGGAATAGGCATGGAGCCCTGGCCCAAGCCCAGCCTGCCCAGCACGGCGGTAAGGTGACACAAGGAACAGTCAACCCTGTTTGTCGAGATTTCTTCCATCATCCCTTCGTGAATGTTTTTGTTTTCATTGATTGATTCCCTCGCTCGCCGCCCGGCGCGCTATGGTTCAAAGATTTGACGCTGGCACTGCTGGCGCTCCTGGGAAGTTGGGGACTTGGAAGGACCAAACAGACCCACTCGGGTCAGCGCTATGGGAATAATGACGATTGCTGGTCCGCCGGAGCATCAGCACTGATCCAGCAGTGGAGACTTTTTGATGGGTTGACAGCGCAATCGCCGTCGTGATTGCCCAATATCAGAGTGGCCGGCGCCTCACCAAACAGAGCGGGCCGCCGAACTCTCCACACCAAAGGGTTTGCCCGCCCAACAAACAGCACACGGACGGATGGCTTGACGACATCTCCAAAATATGCGGGTTTATATTGACTTCTGCTCCTAATTTCCTTGTTTTTTACTTTCTTTCTTCCGCTATACAACCACTATGTCTTCCAGGCAAACACGGCTTTGAGAGTCGCCTCATTGACCTCCCTCTCCATCGTCTATTGGAGATCGACTACAGCAATTGAAAGAAACTTGTTGTATTCCCTTCATTCACTCTCCCTTTGTGTGCCCTTTGGCGGCTGCTCATTCATACAGTACATAATTCGACCTTCTCTGTATTGTTATTCTCTTTCCCTTTCCATTTCAGTCTCTTCCCTAGAACACGCCCTCTCCGGTCTGCGAAGTCGGGACTTCTCACATTTGAATCGGCCAAATATTGAACTATTAATTCCTGAATCACCGTCCAGTTCGTCTCTCCCAGCTTGAGGCTAGCTGTATATCTCCTCAACTTCCTCCATTGTGTGGGCTACAGCGAGGAATTCTGGTGGACTATGATTCTGGCCCCAGCATAAAATGTCGTCCCCCAGCAATAGCGACAGCGTGGCCGCTGCGCTTGATGCGCAGAGCGGCACAGGCCAAAAGACAGCGGGAATGTCAATAACCACCTTTTTGGCATCCCTAGCTACCGCTCTCATAGTCTTCACAGCTGAAGTCTTATTATTTACGCTGCTCAAGGGAAAGTTGACCAGGATTTAGTGAGTGATTTGGTGTCCACCCATGAAATCAAATTTAAAAAAAGTTCAAATTTAAAAAAAGTTCAAATCTCTAACAGGGGCTTCCTGCTTCCTTTTCTTTTTAGCCAACCGCGAACATATCTGGTCTCAGAACGAGAACGTACCAACCCTTCCCCGCCCGGTCTGTTTCGGTGGATTGCTCCTGTGTTCAGGACGTCCAATTCAGAATTCATCCAAAAATGTGGCCTGGATGCTTACTTTTTCCTTCGCTACCTCCGCATGCTTCTCAAGATTTTTATCCCACTTTCGTTCGTCATCCTACCTGTGCTCATACCCTTAAACAAAGTCGGAGGAAAGGACACACGTGCTGTTTCGGTCACAGATGACACTCCTTACAATGTATCTGGATTGGATCAGCTGGCGTGGGGTAATATCGCGCCAGAGCATACAGACCGTTATTGGGCCCATCTGGTTCTTGCTGTTGTCGTCGTCGTTTACGTGTGTGCGGTTTTCTTTGACGAACTTCGAGGTTATATCAGACTACGACAAACATATTTGACATCACCTCAGCATCGGCTGCGCGCATCAGCCACCACTGTCTTGGTGACCGCTATCCCGTCGAAGTGGTTGTCTGTAGATGCTCTTGATCGCCTGTTCGATGTGTTCCCCGGAGGCGTCCGCAACATCTGGATAAACCGAAACATGGATGAGTTGAGCGAGAAAGTGAAACTGCGGAACAAACTCGCTTTGAAGCTTGAGTCGGCAGAGACAGAACTGATAAAGAAGTGCAAGAAGGCCCAACTTAAACAAGTTAAAGCTCAGGCCAAAAAATCCGGCAAAAAGTCGTCAGAGGTGGATCGCGAAAGGATGGCTGCGGAACAGAGAGCTTCCCGTCTCGCCCAGGGACCAGGAATTAGTTCAGGGGATCCCCATGAGGCTCATACCATTCGGGAGGTATTGCATGGCCGAATGCGTGAGTCGAATGCAGCACAAGACGGACGTGGTAATGGTTCTTTTATTCCACGTGTAGGTGACGGGGTGGGGGCTGTGGGCTCGGGAGTAGCAAGGATCGGAAAAACGGTATTGGGCGGTTTCAGGAAGGCTGGTGACACGGCCGAGGGCAGATTTCGAACCACCGGTGGATTTGATGGTGAGGTGGGAAATAAAACCGGAAGCCTACCAAACGATAGAGTCGTGGAGGAAGCGAGCTCTGAATTTAGGAATGAAAAGCCTGCTGTGGGCTTGAGGAGAGAGGGAGCCACTGCGGCCAACCCGCAAGGGGCGGATGTTCAACATGAAGGTAGGGCCAATCCCAACCTCGACCTTGAGGAGGATGAGACTCGACTTTCCGGAGAAACGCATATGGAAGAAGGGCCCCCTGCAATGGATGGCCCGGCAGACCAACCATCACGTCCAGCGAAATTAAAACTATGGAAAAGCTCGAAGCAGACAAACCCAAAGCCCAACCCTCAGGATGACCAGTACCCCTTGACTGAACTTTCCCCTGTGACTCCCTCTGGTAAGAAGAAGATAGCTCTTCGACTTAAAAGACACGCGCCTGCTAAAGAAGGCGATCGGGTTGCAGGACAGGAATACCCTCTGGCGTATAACGAAGAGTTTGAGGAAGATGACTATGGCGACCCTCTGTGGATGAAATACATCAAACAGAAGGATCGTGAAACTATGCGCCTACCCATTTTTGGTTGGACTTGGATGCCCGCCATACCTCTTCTTGGCAAGAAAGTCGATAAGATCTATCACTGCCGCCAGGAAGTCGCGCGCTTGAACCTCGAAATCGAAGTAGATCAGCGGAACCCGGAGAAATTCCCACTCATGAATTCTGCTTTTGTTCAATTTAACCACCAGGTGGCTGCACATATGGCATGCCAATCTGTCAGTCATCATATACCCAAACAGATGGCCCCACGATTGGTGGAAATATCTCCAGACGACGTCATTTGGGATAATATGTCGATCAAATGGTGGGAGCGGTACCTGAGAACCTTTGGGGTGCTCGTCATTGTTACAGCTATGGTTATAGGCTGGGCTTTCCCTGTTGCTTTTACCGGCTTACTATCTCAGCTTGCATACCTGGAAGGGAAGTTTCCTTGGCTTCGATGGATATCCTCAATGCCTGACTGGTTGATTTCAGCCATCCAGGGTATCTTGCCACCACTATTTCTTGCTATCCTCATGGCCGTTTTGCCACTAATCCTCCGGTTTCTCTCCCGGAACCAAGGCGTGCACACAGGGATGGCTGTCGAGCTAACCGTGCAGAATTATTATTTTGCATTTTTGTTCGTTCAGATATTCCTCGTCGTCTCAATTTCGTCTGGCTTCACGACTATTTTCAATTCCATCACGGACGTGACTAGTATACCCCAACTTTTGGCCCAGAATATTCCTCGTGCGAGTAATTATTTCTTTTCCTACATGGTGCTCCAAGCAATGTCTGTCAGCGCTGGCGCACTGGTTCAGATTTTTGCTCTAGTTAGCTGGTTTATCCTGGCTCCGATTTTGGACAACACTGCTAGAATGAAGTGGGCGCGGACCACAAACCTGAATCAGATGCAATGGGGTACTTTCTTTCCGGTCTATACGACACTAGCATCGATTGGTAAGTAAACAATATTTCTTGTTGCTATCCTCTTTTACGTTGAAATTTCTCACTCGTACTCTAACGCATCGCCGTTATATTCCTATAGGGCTTATCTATTGTGTTATTTCTCCGCTCATCATGGTATTCAATGTTCTCACCTTTGGACTCTTTTGGTTTGTATATCGATACAATACACTATATGTCACGAAATTTCGCTTCGATACCGGTGGTCTTCTTTTCCCGAAAGCTATCAATCAGCTTTTCACTGGCATCTACGTCATGGAAATCTGCCTGATCGGCATGTTTTTCCTAGTCAGAGACTCGGAGGGAAATGTGGCTTGTGAAGGCCAAGCGATATGTATGATCGTGGTTGCCATTCTGACGGTCGGTTTTCAATACCTTCTTAATGAAGCATTCAACCCTTTATTCCGGTATCTCCCGATCACGTTGGAGGACGATGCCTGTCGCCGAGATGAAGAATTCGCTCGAACCCAACGGCGGAAACTGGGTCTTGTAGAAGGAGAGGACGAAGAGGAGAGCGATCAAGACAACGACAGCGCATTCAACCAAGGCGAGAGACTAGGCGAGCAGGGCGACATCAAGTTAGACCGTATTGAGCGCAGGAAGGGAAGGAAAGGAACAATGACTAGACAGATCGGCAAACTCATCCCGGGCAAGTCGAAACGCATTTCATGGGCCGACCGGTCCAAAAACGGCCGGTCCAAATACTTTGGCGGACGATCCGACACCACCCCCCTGACCGTTCAACGCATGCGTGAAAAGCTGGCACACGATGCCGAATCGCAAGGCCCATCCACCCGCGCCATCGGCCAAGCTCTGTTCTCCGGCATCCACGACGAGCTTGAAGACCTGACTCCGGACGAGCGTGACCGACTTGTCCAACGGGCGTTCCAACACGAAGCGCTCCGCATGAAACGGCCCGTTATCTGGATTCCTCGAGATGATATTGGAGTCAGTGATGACGAGGTGTTCCGCACGCAGCGATTCAGCAAGCATATATGGATTAGCAATGAATATCAAGCGCTGGATGGACGGTGTCGGGCGATTTTTAGTCGGAGCCCACCTGATTTCTCTGAAGTGGATTTGATTCAGCTCTGAGTTGTGAGTATATTGGTTTGTGTGGCCACGTGTTTGATCTTCCTCTTGCTTTTTTGGATCCTGTCCTTTCAATCATTTTTTCTCTCCTTTTTGTTTTTGGTCTCTTTTCATTTGGGAAACATATAGCATTGCAACGGCGTTTCGTGCGAGATGATTCTATCGCAACCAAACTGAGGGAAAGGAGGAAGGGAGTCAAAAGCATTATACCCAAAAGAAACAGATGAGGATTTCGTCTTTTTTTTTGTTTCCTTTTTTCCCTTGAATTTTGCATCATGACACTGTACAAAGAGCGCACAAAAAAAGGGGTATAACGCATCTCATGTGTTCCACACGATCCTTCAGACCTCACCTACCTACCACTTAACCATGACTTGTCCTCCCCCACCCCACGAACCATTCAGCACATATTCATACACACACAAGATCTTCATCTACGTTGTTTATATCATTTTAGAACGAAAGAAAAGCTCCATGGCTGTGGCGCATCCATAGCGAGTTTTCAGTGTTCCTTCCTGTATATAGAATTATCTGCTGGACCCATCAATTGATCGATCGACCGATCGATCGATCGGCGAGTTTCTATCCCCGCCATGGTTTGCATATGAATCACCTGACTGCAGCCCCGCGCCATGAGCACTAGTAAATTATCTAGTTTAGTTCTCTTCATCATGATGGTGATGACGATGATGATATTGGTTTTGTATATATTTATTTGACCTTGCTGCCTGCTACTGGAACCAAGGGGAGCAAACACATCAGGCAAGCCTCGAACGCCGCCGGGTCTCAGCCATCTGCACGCCTGGCCCACAGAAATCATGTTTCGTTTTTCCCGCTCATAGTGTGGGTTGATAAGATAGACTATTGGCTGCTATATTTAAAGATGGGCGGGAATGAGTTTAGACGAGAGGAGGAGACTAAAAAAAAAAATAAATTAAAAAAAATCAAACTGAATTAAATCAATAAATAAATAAAAAAGAGGAAAAGCAAAAACTGGGTTGGCATAGAATGCAGCGAGCCCCCGTCCACACGGAAGAAACACGTTTGTGTTTGTGGACTCAAATGTGGAGGCTGAATGCGATGATGATGCACGCCATTGCCAACATCCCAGCGCCAGGCAGGGCTGGGCTCCCACATCGAGCTTCCCACGACTTCCTGCACTCCGGGAAACAAAACACAATGTTGGGACTGGTCTTACGGAATGGAAGGATTGGTTGGCTCTGGCTACATCTATCCACGCCTGGCTTTGTTTTCAGCCCTGGTTTGTTTGGAGTCGAGAGAGTAACGCTCATTCTCCTCAGGGCTGATGGTGGCTTTTGGAGACAACAGAGCCTCCAGGCGAA